GAAACTTTGCAACTCGTCTACTGCCCCGTGCTTTTGGCATGTCGTCGTTGTTGCACGGCATCGGCCAGCTCTTTGAGCACACTTACCTGCGTGTATTGTGGTGACGAGGCAGTCGAACGTGGAAATTGACGACGTACCGTTTCTTCCCATCCAATGCAGGCGTCCGTGATGCTCTTCCCATATTCGAGAGGTACACCTGGGTTCAGTTTCTGCGCACCGGGTTGGAGGTTCGATTCGAGCATCAAGCCCACAATTCTAGCATCGCCTGCTGCAATTTGGTTTGCCTAACAGCAACGTCAAGTCCAGCACGAAGGCATGATTGCCTGGCGTAAGTACCAAGTCCTGCGCGACCAGCGGCTGGTTGTTGTGATTCTTGTTCGAATTGCCGTGGGAGCAATCGACCATGACGTTTTCCAACCGATTTGCTCTCTTCAGGAGCTCCGCCACCTTGTCAACGTGCTCCTTCTTGTAGTTTGGACCAGTGGTGCCACCTCGGAGAATGACGTGGCACGCTTCGTTGCCCTATTCCAACGACCTAAGCACTGCATTCTCTCATTGCAGCGAGCGGCTTTAGTACCGAGGTCTTTACGATGGCAGCGAGCCCTTGATTGCTCACGCTCAGGAAACAGTGTGGGTGCGCAGCCGACACAACTGCATCGACAGCAAGTTGCCTACCACATCCCAAGTTAGAGTCGTGGTCATCGAGTAAGTCTTCCAGTACAAGGATCCGCCTGTGCCGTTCTTAAAACCAACTGGCATCGACAAGCCAGAAGTTAACTCGCGGTGCAATTGACACTCCGTTGTCCGCGCACCGATGGCTCCTGCTAAAGAGTTAGCTCCGTGAACCAACTGATGGGTCATTTACCCCAGCTCACCAAATCACTGAAAAACTGAGGCGAAATCGTGTCGAGGAATTCACATCCGGCCTAAAGTCACGCTACTAAGCGCACACATCGTTTCGAAGGCGACGCGTACAGGGAGGCCCATTTGGTTGATTTCAGACAGCAACTCACGCGCAATTCGCAAGCCCTATGCCGAGCATGTCAGGTTTGACGGCGCAACCACCTCTAGGTCTGCTTTGTACCTTGTTGATGTTGAACGTGCCGTCGATGTCGGGGTCGTTGATGAGGCCCTTCCAGCCCACAGTCGTGCGAGGCTTTTCAAAGTACACGCGCATGATAATGAGCAAATCGTTGTCGAGTTCGTCCGCGATATTCTTCAGCTTTTCAGCTACGTCAGGGCATGTGACCACTGCATGGCATCTAGACGGACCAGTGTACCATATTCTAGCGCGGCCTTCACATCGTGAATTGAGCAAGGGCCAACGACCACGACTAAGCGGTCGTCCATGCGACACAGGATGTTCGACACACCCTGGCGACCTTTGTTGACAGTTCGAGCGATGTTGACAGTACGAGGGATTTCCTCCAAAAGGCACGCCGGCGGCAGGAGCGGTCGGATCTCCGAGATGCGAACATCCACTAGCGCCTGCTTGTCCATCATTTTCACGTCTTCACCATTGGTGATGGACGTTTCCCGTTCGCGGGACTTTTTGTCCTTGTGCTTCATGTCTTGGCGGTGTTGTGCAGCGGTTTGTCGAATTTCGTGGTCTTGTTGGAAGTGGGGCGCAAAGAGGTAGACCAAGGTACCGCTCCACGCCAGAGCTAAGCCGGCGACAACAAGGCCAGCCACGACAGACACATTGGACGATTGCAGCGACATTTGCCCAGGACGAACCGACTTGGAATTTGGGGCAGTGGCCACCCGCTCATTGACCGGCCAGCTTTTCTTGGTTGAACAACCGCAATCTTTTTCTATGCGTCTTATTGGTTGCACTTACAACGAATCGATGCACGACAAGGTGGCTACACTTCAAGTGCGTCATAAATTGTGGTCAATTTTTACCGATTCTGCTTGATTTTGGCGGAAATTTCACGCCAAACGAAATTGCACTTGACGCGCGGACAACACCTTGCACAAGTCAATCTTTCGCGGAGGTGACATATGCGTGACAAAAGTATTGTCATACGATCCGACACGAAGCCGAATATATGCACGCCCTAATCTAGTGCGCCATAACCGCACCAACATGCTAATGTGCACGATGGGCCTGGCATACATCCTGAACCGGGGCAACGTGGTGCTGCCGTGTGCGACGAACGTGAATTGACGATATGCAATCCACCTGTGTAGGTTGTAGTTCCTTCGAGCTACTGCACGGAGCTACTTCGACTGACAGCCTGTGGCCTACTAGTACATCTCAGTACCTTTTCTCCAGCATACTAGTTAAGCCATCATGAAGCTTCCCCAGGAATCCCTGGTGAAAAAGAAATGTGTCGCCCACGCCACATCCACGGTAACGTGACGTCGGGTGTGTCACAATAAGAACCATGGGTTTTGTGCATGTTGATTGGCTATCTCTTATCCGGACGGCCTGCTTGTCCAATCAGGAGAAATCCTGATTCTACCTCCTTTGGGTGATGACGATGTCGTTCATAGTCTTTTCCGCATATTTCATGACGTAAGACGAATTGGTTAAAAGGTGGGCGCACATCAAAGAGATCAAAGAGAGCATTTTCATAGCTCTCCAAAAGTGTTGCATTCAGAGTTCGATTTTGCGCCAATTTTCCTAGAGTTATGGCCGAAATATGTTTGGAATGTAGATTCATTGCATCTATTTATATTTCTATGTTTTTATGTCTGATTCTCCTTGTCGAATTGGTTTATAGAGGTTTTGACGATATACTTGTGGTATAGTGACTCCATGAACACTCTATAAATGAATTGTTTTATACGTAGAGTATGGCATGACATTCTAAACGTTGTTTTATATTTTCCTTGGTTCGACGAGCCTCCGTCGTGATGGCGCGACAGACCCGTCTACCTCCTCCTGCCTCGCCTCCGCTTGCTACGTGGCCAGCGTTAAGGCCCCCGACATGTCCCTATATCACATTTGTATGGACCCACGTGACAGCGCCAACACCCCACGCTTTCGCCCACCACAAGCGCGTTCCCCGAATTGGACGACGCCGTCCGAAAATTCAGGCATCATCCGGATAAGGGGAACCGTGGGCGTCGAAGGATTCAAGCCCCAAATCAAAATTTGCCGACACCATGATGCTGTCTCGTCTGTCCCAAGCAATGCGCGCCACGCGCAACCTCTCGACCAAGTCGTGGCTTGAGTCTGTGCCCATGGGCCCTGCCGACCCCATTCTCGGGTTGACGGACAAATTCAACAAGGACACGGATCCGCGCAAGGTGTCGCTCGGCGTTGGTGCCTACCGCGACGACAACGGCAAGGTATTCAATTCATAATGCTGCTTCAAGTGTGCTCAATGGTGTGTATGTAGCCATATGTGCTTCCATCCGTGTGGGAGGCCGAAGAGCGCCTCCTCAAGGCCAAGAAGAACAAAGAGTACTCTGGCATCGGTGGTACCAAGGACTTTGTCGACTTGTCGTTGAAATTTGCTTACGGTGACGACTCGAAAGCTCTCCGTGACGGCCGCATCGTGGGTGTCCAAGTACGCTCTACCGTCATGGCCCATCAAACTCTGACCTCATTTCAATTGTAGACTATTTCGGGCACTGGTGGTTGCCGTTTGGCGGGTGAATTCTTCTCCCGCTTCCTCGGCAAAAACACGCCCATCTACCTTCCCAACCCCACATGGGGCAACCACATCCCAATCATGAAGGACGCTGGATTAGACGTGAAGCGTTACTCTTACTTCGAACCTGCGTCGCGCGGTTTGAACTTCTCTGGCTTGATCAGCGACCTGCAAGGCGCGCCGTCGAAGTCGGTGTTCCTTCTGCATGCGTGCGCACACAACCCCACCGGTACACTTACGTTGACGTCAACTTCGTCGTGCTAACTCGGTCACTAGGTGTGGACCCGTCTCCCGAGCAATGGAAGGAAATCTCGGCTGTTATGAAAGCCAAGGAGCACATTGCGTTTTTCGACTGCGCGTACCAAGGCTTTGCATCTGGCGACGCCGACCGCGACGCTGCCGCCGTCCGCCAGGTTGGTTCTGAAGAGTGGCCTCCCAAACTTGATCTAATTCCTGGCACAGTTTGTTGAAGACGGCCACAACGTGGTGCTGTCGCAATCGTACGCCAAGAACTTTGGCTTGTACGGTGAGCGCGTGGGTGCGTTGAGCATTGTGTGCAAGGACGCGGAAGAAGCTGCCCGCTGCGAGTCTCAATTGAAAATCTTGATCCGTCCGACCTACTCGAACCCACCCATCCACGGCGCACTCATTGTCTCGACCATCCTCGGCGACGAGAAGCTCAAGAAGCAATGGTACTCGGAGTGCAAGGGCATGGCCGATCGCATCATCTCGATGCGCCGCCTGCTCAAGGAAAACATTGGCAAAGTCGACGGCTCGACGACCGAATGGAACCACATCACGGACCAAATCGGGATGTTCTGCTACACGGGCTTGACCGAGCCCCAAGTTGATCGCATGATCACCAAGCACCACATCTACTTGACCAAGGACGGTCGCATCAGCATGGCTGGCGTCACGTCCAAGAACGTCGAGTACATTGCCCAGAGCATTGCCGAAGTCGTCCAACACGCGTAATCTTAATGCCATTATCTCGTCGGTTCTCGCGCTCGTCAAATTCTTCGAACGGGAGCAGGTACACAGACCAGGTACAACTCGGTCAAGATCTGGGCCGGCTTGAGTTTGAGAAAGAACGGATGTGGTCGTTCGAGCGCCATGCCACCACAGCTCCCCTGTGAACTCGACGCTCTCACTGTTTCCTCGGCTTGTTGCGGGCCTTTTGCTTCCGTGCGTACACGACGTACTTGCTGATGCTGTCATGAGCCAGGAGCTTCTCGAGCGTGTTGAAGTCTTCGGCGAGCGTTCGATTGTCGATCGTGCTGTGGATTTTGCTGTGGCAGCTCCGGCAGATCCTGATGCAACGGTTCAAAAAGTCTCTCGTGTACCCGCGCTTGAGATACCGTGCGTGAATTTGCCGAGGTATCAAGTGGTGTTCCGTGAGATGGACGGGGCGTTCGCACATCGCACACCTTTCGTCGCCGCCGACATCATTCAGGACGTTGTCAGCCAGCACCACCGACGTCAAGTCCACCCACTGGACGTTGCCAAATTCTACGAATCGTACTTCCACAGACCGCGTCGCCGCATCGAACGACACCACATCTGCTTCATGCCACGAGTCGTCCTCGGCTAGAATGGCCACGCACGCTGCGCCAGCGATAAACCCCATGTTGTCCGGTTCGTCCTCCTTTGCTGAAGAGGGATGAAACCTGGCATGCAAATGCGCCACCGCAAGTTCGATGACTGTCGCGATATCGTTGGATTTCAACTCAAGTTCCGCCTCGGACCCCAACAGCGTGTCTTCAACCACTCTCGCCAGCAATTCGAATGTAGTTACTTCGCGTTTCTTCGACTTGCGCTTCGCTTCTATAGCTTGTGCCTCCGTAAACTCTTCCATGACCAGCGCCACTAGATATCCCACGACGCCGTCGCCAGGCCCTTCTGTCAACGCGCATCGCAGCGCCGCTTCTACACATGCTTCCACTTGTTGCATCAAGTTGAGGTTTGAACGTCCGTCCTGTGCGACCGACAGGACCTTCACTCCGTGGATATCAACTCGCTCTCTTGCTCTCCGCCCTGTATTTGCGACGTTGCAGTCACCTGCGTACGTGCTCCTCCTTCATCTCTTGACGCGACGGAATAACCAAGTTATCAAGCATTCATCCATGCTGAGCGCCGCATGGATCTCCTCGCGCGGCGGTGTCTGCCTGCACGTTGTCGTTGTGTTGCACATTCGGACATGACGCTAAGTGAGAGTGAGAAGGAGTGAATGTCTTAACTGAAGTAAACGACAAGAAAATTTGCTGTGAGAGTGCAAGTGAGTGGCCATTTGCGGTCTTGGCACCATCAGCATTGATTCGAGAATTATCGACGCGCCGTCGAGCACGATGCCCGCCGCGGATGCTGAAACACCGACCCTGGACTTTGTGGGCCTTGACATTGTCGGTGCCAACCACCCACACGTGCATCCCTTCTAACCGTTCAATGGCCGAGTAGGGCTCTAAGCAATGCGTTGTCGCCCGCCCTTCAGGCGATATAGTCTTGAACGAACTGGGCGGCATGACCACGGCGACGCTCGTATCGTTCAAGGACAAAGAGCGGCTGCTGGGTGAAGCGGCTGTGCTGGCGTCCAGCACAAACCCGACCAACACGGTGGACTACGTAAACCTGCTTCTGGGCAAGACGTTTGACCAAGTCATGCACCAATTGCAAGCATTCCCGTGCCAACGGTCTAACTTCAAAGCAAACGACGCCGGTCTTCCAGTGGCGTCGGTCGAGTACAACGGTAGCACGGTCGAGTTTAGCCCCGTGCAGTTGATGGCCATGCTGTTGGCCAAAATCGGCGGCAATGTCGCCTCAGATCGTTCGTCGTTGAAAGTCGGGGTCGCCATCCCACCGGGGTGGAGTGCCGCGGAGCAAACAGCGCTGTTGCAGGCCATCAAGATTGCTGGCTTTGGCGCCGCATCTTTGGTGTCAAAAGACGTCGGTGCGTTGTTCTCCGCTTGGCGAGTCGCGATCGTCTTTTCACATTTGACTAGCACTGGCCCGATGCTACCACCAAAAGCATCCCGTCAAGGACGAAGCCGCGGCGAAGACTATTGCGATTGTCGATGTCGGCCACGTCTCGACCACGGCAGCCCTCGTCCGCTTCTCCGGTACGATCCGCTTGCTCGTTCTAGTGATCAATGGGTATGATCCAACATGGCGTCGCAGCCACTGGCGAAACCATCCTTGCCCGGGCGTACGATGGCGCGTTGGGGTCTGCAAACTACGACCGCCACTTGTACACGCACTTTGAAGCAAAGCTGAAGGCATCCCATGGCGTGCAGATTCAACCGGAGAGCCGCCAAAGCCGCCGCCTTCTTCTGGCTTGCGAACAGCTAAAGAAATTGCTCTCGACCATCCCTGACGCTGTCGTCCACGTGGAAAACGTCGTGCCCGACGCAGACATTACATTGAGCATGACGAAAACCGAGTTGGAGCAACTTGGGCACGTTGAAACGACTGCGATCCGAGAGTTGATGGAAGGGCTGTTTGCCCAAACTGACGTCGCGCCGGCCGACATAGCGACGGTCGAGATCGTTGGCGGCGGCACACGCATGCCTTTGGTGCAAGACGCCATCACCAAGGCGATCGGGGCGCATGTCACGCTTGGACGCATGCTCGACAGCGCGACCGCCGTCGCCGTTGGCGCTGCATTGAGCGACGACGTCGGCATGTTCTTTGACGTGTCTGTGCACGACGGCGACGTTGCGCTCGAAAAGTCGATGCAAGATCTAGACCACAACATGACGATGCTCGCAAACAAGCGCAACGAAATCGAAACATTCGTGTACGACATGCGCGCAAAGCAAGGCCAGAAGCACGGCCACCTGATTGATTCGGCGGTCGTGGCGCCGCTCCTGGACGCCGCCGAGGACTGGTTTTACTCGGACGACGCCGCAACGCTCGAGGAAGCGACCGTCCGCGTGGACCAATTCAAAACGGTACACCCGTCGCGGCGACGACGATGCCTTGACTCGATCGCAGGACATTCGGAACGCGTGCCAAGCGTACTTTGCAGCGGTCGAGAAGGACGAGAAGGAGCTGGAGCACCAGCTCGAAGTGGAAGCTCAAAAAGCAGCGCTCGAAAACAAGGACGATGACGACCACGACTTTCGAAAGGTGGGTGGCCCGTGTTGCGAGTCAAAGTCTCATGCGCTGGGCGACGCCATGTGCAGCTCAAAACCCCCGACCGCATGCGACTCGTCGTCAAGAACAAAGACGAAGGCAACGAGTTGTTTCGCGGCGGCAACATCCAACACGCTGCGGCGCGCTACGTCAAGGTATATCGCGCATCACCACCACCACGTCATGTGCGAGATAACGTGGTATGCAGGCACTGACCCACGCGACGAAATTCTTTGACTTGCGCCCGGACGAAGCCGCCGAAGTGAAAGCGATCAAGCTCAGCTTGTACTTGAACTTGGCGCAGTGTTATTTGAAATTGGAGAGCTGGCAAAAGGCCGTTGTCAATTGCAAGGACGCGCTCGACTTGGACCCGACCAACACGAAGGCGCTGTATCGCCGCGCGTTGGGGTACGAACGGTTGAAGGACTATGCCGCTGCCTTCGAAGACAGCCAGGTCAGCGTCCTCGTCGAGCCCGTACACGTGCTGACTTGCGTGCGACGGCTCGTAGAAAGCGTTTATGTTGGCCCCTGGAGACAAGGCCGTCGTCGCGCTGAACGATCGGTTGAAGGCGCACATGAAAAAACAAGAAGCCACGGAAAAGAAGATGTGGGCGAAAGCCTTTGCCTAGGTGAACCTCAAGCTCCGCGTCCATGTTCGTAGTAAACATGGAGATTGATGTAACAAGGCGCGTCGATCGATGGTTTCCGCAGTGCCATATGCAAATCCAACACTAGAATGGCCTCGTTTCGCAGCGACACACAGCCACTGGAACGCTAGCGAGCATTGTGCAGCATGGAGCCGCGGCTGTTTCGTCGGTGCATCGACTTGAGCGGGGTGTTGGAGTGCGGCGATATCCGCGCCGACTTGGCATCGTCGTCGTCCTGGATGTCTTGGAGCGCGCGGAATTGCGCTTTTTCTTCGTCGTACTCGTCGTAATGGCGCGCATCCGATCGTCGTGGCGCAGCCGTCTCGAGCTCGTTGAATTCATCAATAGTCACAGCGTCATCGTCATCGTCATCGTTGGCGCTGCGTGTCAAAGTCTTTTCTTCGTCGATGGCTTTCGCGCCGCCGTCGTCGGGGGGGCGACTGTCGAGGCGACGTTTTGAATCCGCTGCGGTCTCCTTGGCGTCTGCAACGTCATCGCTTTCGTCGTCTTTGTCTAATTTCGCGCTGCTGCCGTCCGAGGTGGCCTTCTTCGCCAACTGCGCCACGACCTTCTTTGCCAAACCGACCCTCACCATGGATTGAATCGAGACGGCCGCTGCTGTCCTGTCGTCGAGCACCTTGGCTTGATCAGGATCGTAGTGTTGCATGGCGGCGGTGTGAATGGCGCCCAAGATGACGGCAATGCGGCTTTGCATTGGCGCAGGGTACTTCTTTCGCGCCTGTACGAAACAGGGTGAGCGTCCATCGGCATCGACAACTGCACCTCGTCCACGTTCTTCATGGCCGCGTCAAACGCGACTTGGGACATGGACTGAAGCGGTGCTGCAGGGCGGCCGTGGAAATCCGACATGGCCTTGACCAGCCGCGCATGCACTTTGACCGCTTCTTGCTGCAGCGCCGGAGACGAGTCCCGTGGATGATGGAGAATCGGGACCCCGTCGTGCTCGACCACCGGCGACTCGTGTAGCTGCTTGAGCCGCAAGTCCACGAGCCGATCGATGCGCAGTTCGGTGGCCTGCCGACGACCGAGCACCCCTCGCACCACCGCTTGCAACTTGACGATCGAGCTAGCCACATCCGTCGCGGACAGATCCGTCCTTGGTGCCGTGTCGCGCAGGCTCTAGACACAGTCGTCGTCATGCCCGTGTTGCGTTGGTCAGCCCGAAGCCAACCTGGATCTGGGACGTGCGCGTGTGGTATTGTCGCACCAAGTCGTCGACGAACGGGTCGTAGTCCTCTCGCACGACTTCGATGTCGAGGTGGCCGTTGGTGTGAAACACAAATACGTCGCCGACGAGTTCGCTTCCTACGTCATGCTATCATCAAGTCGACTAGGGCGGCGTCCTCGTGTACCGGTGGACGAGTCGTGCACCAGCACCCTTTGCGGGTCGATGCCTCCAAGTTTGTCGGCTACGATCCGTCGCAGGGCGTTGGCTGTCATGTGTCGAGTGACGTCGATGTGAATGTCGCTGCCGTAGCGAAGGACCCAGTTCTCGGGCGTGCCGAGTTGTTTTCTTGTGACGAACCCAGCCGCGACTCGCTGGACCGTTGTGGCTGCACGGTGCAGATCCAAACGAGCCGGCATTTCGACAGGCAGTTGCTCGGGTGGCGGAAGCACGGGACTTGGTAGTTGCAATACTTGTTCGCCCACGGCAGCTACCGGCGGCGGTGCAATCGACTGCGGTGGCAGTAGCGGCTCCATAGGAGTCACTGGGTTTGCCTCGACAGACGTCGCGACTGCTTTGGGCTGCACAATTGGCGTTGGAGTTTGCTGCGGCGCGGCGGCTGAAGAGACTACAGACTTCACCGGCACGTCGTCGGTTTGTTGCTGCGAATCCCTCACGTCCCGATCGGTTTGAATGATCTGGGACGTTCGCATGACGCTGCGGTCTTCTTGTGTGGTGGCGCGCGGCGACGACGCCAGGCCGTAGTCGATGCCGTACCTGTGCGCTTCCATCGCGACGAGTTGCGTGAGCGTCGGCAGTTGCTGCTGGTCGTTTAGCTTTGCCTGAAGCTCCGCCTCTCGCTCGGTCCATCGCTTGCGTTCGGCTTCCAGTTCCAAGCGACGCTGTTTTTCTTCCTCTTTTTGCGTCTTGAGTTCCTGCAAGATTTCTCGCCGCCACTGCTCCTCCGCGCCATCGTTCAAGATCGGGCCGATGTGCGTGGCGGTCTTGGCCATTTTCTCCGTCGTCTTTTGCATGAGATCTTGCGCGAAATGCGCCCACTCTTCGCGCTGCGCTTGCGACTGCACGTGCATGTCTTTGAGAGCTTCCTGCATCCGCGCCAAGTGCTCCACCATCTTCTCTGCAAATGACTGGTGCTGGTGCGTCAGCAGCTGCGTCTCTTGCGCGCGTTCTGTCTTGTCGTGGGCGAGTTGGACCTGGATCGCTTCGATTTGTTTGGTTAGGACTGCCGTGTTGGCACTGATCAGCGCATTCACAACGGTCAAATCCGTGGGCTGCGGTGTCGGCGGCGGCGGCGGCGACTCAACCGGTTCCTTGGCCTCCACTTGAACTATCAAGGGAGGCTTGGTGCTCTGGGCTTCCGCCGCTGCATGCACGTGTTTGTTTCGCTGGTGCTTCAGCAAATACTCGGTCGAGAGAAACCTTTTGTTGCACAAAATGCATTCGACCGGTCCAGAAGGACTCGTTGTTGGGAGGGTGGACCCCTGGGACGGCGGCATGGTTTGGTGCTGCCGCGTCAAAAGCATTAGCTCGTACGTCGAGATTGTGTTCTGTTTCTGCTTGATCTCTTGTTTGAGATGGCGCAGCTCGGCGTCGACGGACTCGTTTTCCTCCGCCAGGACTGCACATTCATGCTGGATTTGGTCACACTGCGACTCGAGCTCTTCTGCGTGCACCACGAGCGACTCTTGGACGTTGAGCAAGTATTCCACCGTCAACTAGGATCGCATGGTCAGTTGCTCGAGAACGAGTGAACACTCCACACGCACCTGTGCAATCTGAAACAGCTTCAAGAAGTATTCATCCGAGTACTGATTAAAGTCCTGCAGCGTGATGTCCGAGAAGGCGAGGTTCTCGAGTTGGTTCTAATGCGTATGTCAAGGACATGAAGACAACAACGCTCGCCGTGTGTACAACATACCTGGATCGTGTCGATGTCGGTCTCGCGGACCACGCGATTCAAATCGATCTGGGCAATCGCGCGCGTGTCCAACTTTCCTCGGCGCTGACGAAACGAAAACGAACGCGCTGGCAAGTTGATGGTGCGATTCGTTGTACCTGTGACCGCCGCAGATGTTCGTCGGCCGTCGGAGCCAGATCGATGCATTGGCCGCATGGATGATTTCAACACCCCAGCATGCATCTCACTAAGTGGGCCGAACACACCCCTTTTCGATGGCGCGCCGATGCCTTGTCGACGGCTGTTCCGATTGTTCAGCAAGCCACGGATGTCGTCGGTCGACGGCCGGGCATGCTGGCCGTCTTCCATGCACGAATATTCGAAAGATATGCTATGGGATAATATGAGCGACCTTGGAGGAAATCGTGAACGTGCCACGACCTACTGTAGACAGGAGATGCATGCGCGCGGCGCATGCTAAAGTCTTGCTCGGGTGCTCGACGCGGAGGTCGTGATGCATTGAGACAAGTTGCGCCAGCGACAGGGACGGCCTGAAGCGTCTAGATTGGACTTGTATGGCCATTCTTCGTGGATGTACATGGCGATCATGTGGTCGCACGACGACTTTGCAATGCATGATATCATGGCGACGGTTGTCAAATTAATATTCAGAAAGGAGGATATTTGTCATACTGACAACCAGTTTTAAAATTGTAGAATTTGAAAATACCACGTGGAGCTTGGTCGTCCACCTTCCCATTCTCTCGAATCCCGACAAAAATTCAAACTGCACGTTGTCCTCCTCATGTGACTCCATTTGGCCCAGCGCGACGTTCTTCTTCCACTCGTATCCCTTACAAAACCTCCATGCAGCCTCCATGTTGGCGCAGACACCGCTACAAAGTCCATCCACGTCGTAAAGAGCGTACCATCACGTGCCCAAACGAAGCGTGTTGTTGCGCGGACACTGAAGCGACTGCATGGTGACGTTGCAGACGAAAGTAGTTCAGGTATCGTTTGTGTCGAGATGTTTCGCACGTAACTCGTGTCATAGTGCAGACATCGAGCGCCGACGACGCCATTCATGGCGACCCCGTTGAGCCTGACCATGTACAGACGCTACAATTGGCGTCCGCCCAACAAGGCAAGCACCTCGCGGTGTCATGGCGCACACAACCTTGTCGGGAAATGCCATGTGCACCACGTCGACCCGATGAATGGAGGCCGAGCGAGGTTATTGCAAAAAACGTGCCATTGTTCACGAACTTTACACGATCATGACATTGGCAGCGTCACGACGCTTACACGACGCATCCATCTCCCAGCGGCATCGACGACGTGGACGACGAGGAAGTCGCAGCAATCAAGTCTTGGTTGGACTGCACAAAGAGGAGCTCCCTTACGTTTGCGGACAGGTAGTGACGACGCTTCTTGACAACATCTGGAGTCGTCGGCGCCGCGGGGAGGCACAGCACCGACCGCGCCGCGCGAGACAGCAACGGCCATCGCTTCGCCTGCCATTTCCACCACACGAGGGGGTTTCCGTCGGTGGTCGCAGTGATCGACTCTTCAATCAATGCCGTGTCGAAATACCGCGTCATTTCGGCCTCAACTTCTTCGGTCACCCCTGGCTGATGCAAGCTGGTCGTGTCGTCCACGCATGCGCCTCCTTCGTCCTCCGACTCTCCTCCGTACATCGACAAGATGCCAGACGCCTTTGCCTTGTCCGACTTTTTCGCCGACGCACTGGCCGCCTTCACGCGAGGAACGAGCTCAACCAGCCGATGCCGCAGCGCCTCCTTGGCCGCGGCAATTTCGTCAGGTGATACCCCAAACTTACCCAGACGCTTGCGCTGTCCTGGATCCAACAGCGCTGCCATAATGTGCGTCGGGCAGAGTGTCCATTGCTCCAATCGTCGCAATGCGGCGGCCTTGACAGCGCCTACCACCGCATGGACCGTTTCTGGACCGTCTGGCAGTCGGCGGCAATGGTGACACAGCGCGTGGCGCCAGTAGCACACAGTGTGCAGCGTCGGCATCGATTCCTTTTGAAACGCGTCCGCCGCCGTCACAAAGGGTGTGCAAAACGCGACAAGGTCGTCGGTCGGATCGTGCGACGCATCGGCACTTTGAATCGAAAACCACGCGGGCCACAGGTCGTGGCGAAGGGCCCATTGAGACCGCAGCACGTCCAGCGCTCGAACCAGCGTGTGCCACGTAATCGACGATACGTCAGCATATTGCAGCATCAAGTGTATGATGACACCGACGACGGGATCCGCAGTGTGCCCTGTCCACGGCGTGTGCGGGTCCAGCTGCAGCACGTCGTAGAGCACAGCGTCCAACTCAACCGAAGCAAATGTTTGATACGCGTACAGCGCCCCCTTCTTCGCACCGATGTCGTCGTTTGGCGCCGTGACAACTCGTGTGGCCATGCCAGTGAGGACAGCCACGGGCCGGCCAATGTCCGCCAGCGACAGCTCTGTCAGCCCCTCGACCGCAGGTAGCAGCACGTCGTCGTCGGAGCGGGTGTCGCCGTCAACTGCACCGCGTTGGTGCTCGGACGTCGCATTCGTGATCTCATGGACATCCAAGAGCCGATTGTGGAGCACAAAGTCAGCATCGATAAAATGGATGGTCAGTGCAACATGCATCGTTTGGTGTTGGACTTGTTTGACACTGGGCCACTGGGTGTAGCTCACGCCGACGTGCACGCCGTCCTGTTGAACGACCAGAGTCACTCGTTCGCGAAGGGCTGCTTTCCCGACTTGAAAGCGCTTGATGAGTTCGTCTTGAACGGCTGGAGCATCGGGTTCCCACTTGTCCAAGGTCGGATGGCGCTTGCCAACTTGCATGAGGTTGCTGCAAAGCCGACGAAAGCCCGCGCCGGTGAAAACGTCGACGGGCAAGACGTCATGCGTGCACAGGTGCAGCAGGTCCTGCACGAGCGCTTCTTTCGCCCGATCGTGGGCTTTGCGCATCGCGCAGACGTGGCTGAGAAGACTGGACGTCCCGTTCTTACTCTTGAACGTATACACGACCTTGCAATCGTAGCACCCGACGAAGTGCGACCCGCTTTCGACGACCAGCGCGTTGTGCTTGTAGACAAACCCGAACCGATTCCAGCACTCGGCTTTGCTCTCGCCTGCGTTCGGTCGCAAATCGTACGGGGACGACAGCGCTGGGTTCGACGACGCAGCCACGAGACTGGCCGTGATGGACTGCTTGAGCACGTCTAGCGCCTTCTTTGGAGGCAAAACTTGGTGGGGCAGGTGGGGATTCGTCGCTGAATGGAGGACTTGCAACGTCGTAGGCGTCCCCATCATGTCCACTGCAGAGTTTGACGAGCCCTGAACGTGATGCCGCTTGTTGCTTCGTTGGGGAAGATGTGGTGAAGGGTTGGTTGTGTAGTTTAAATAGTCGGGGGCCGCTCGCTTGAGTTGGTGGGGTCGTCTGGAATCCGAGCAGCTTTCAAGAGCATGGATGCCGCCAAACGCAAACGAGGACGACGAAGACGTTGGCGTCGTCGAGCATGCGTGGGTTGTCATCGTCGACGTGCCGTTTCGAACCTTGTACTGATACACAACCTTGCAGTTAAAACATGCAACGTACGTGGACTCGAACGCTTCGAAGGGTGCCCCATGCTGGTACACATGTCCGAAGCGCTTCCAGCAGTCCGACTTGGTCGCCACGGGGTTCGAATGCAACGTGAAACCTTTCTCCATGTCGTCTTCGAGAAGCGCCTTGGTGATGTCGCGTTTGAGAGTGTCGAGCTCGGGGTTTTTTGGCTTGCGAATGGCATGCAGGCTGCCGCCATCCTTCTTTCCACCGTCATGTTTGTTATCACCGGACGATCCACCGACTCGATCGTGCAGACACTTGTGACCCATGATCGTGGACGTCCCGTTCTTGCTCTTGAACGTGTACACGGTGTGGCAGGCAAAACAAGCGACAAACGACGTGTCCTCGACCTGCACCAAACCTCCGTGCAAAGCATGCACATGGCCAAACTTCCGCCAACACTCGGACTTCTTTGCCACTGGATTTGCCTTCACCTCGAACTGCAAGATCTGGCCATCGAGCCCGTTCAGGTTTGCGTAAATGGCGGCCTTCAAGTTCGCGACATGGTCGGCCATGGCGGCGGCGGTGGTCGGGTCGGCGGAATTCCGCAGCATACAAAAACTAAGATAGTCCCCCGCCCGAAACCACCCGATAAATCAATTCAGCCAATCCGTGATCGCGTTTCAGTGATTTTGGACCAATTGAATGCTCGCACCAGTCAGCTTAATCAAATAGTGTGAAGTCCACTCTTCAACACTAATTAGCACGGAACTGTTTCAGCAGTGTTCGCATGACCGAGGAATGCCCGACGAGCCTCTCATGTTGCGGCAATGCTATGGCATCCCTGTGTCGCCAATCAATGGTATTATCGTATAAAGATTATTCAATGCAGGTGTCGACTCGGCGGCAGCCTCTGTGAGCGGCGACACCTGCGATTGAATATTTGGATATGCATCTGAAGGTGCCCCAAATACAATTATCAACATAAAACATACATTCCAGTTCTACTCTGCCTGTGCGTTGGACACAACACGCATATGTATTCAGCCAATCATGTGCCTCAACCGAAAATTGCAAAAAACTTGTTCAAAATCGAAATTGGTTTGCAAATTTTTAAGGAAATATGCAGGAATTTGGGAGTGGTGGTTGACCAACGCTCTCGTTCTCCGCGGCGGCTGCTGCAAATCACTTCGCATTCGTGGGCCGTGACGACGACGACGACGACGGCGGTGGCAGCGTGATGTTTGGATTCAACGTGAACAAGCTCAAGCCGAACCTGAAGATGGCGGTCAGTCGCATCGGGATTGTGAAGAACAAGAAAGCTATCACGTCGAAGGCGCAGCGGAAAGATGTGGCCAAGTTGTTGGCCGATGGCAAGGAAGAGAAAGCCCGCATTCGAGTGTGGCGCCACGAAAGCATGCGTGTACGTGTGGTTCACTCTCTTGTCCATAGGTGGAAGGGTTGATTCGAGAGGATTTTGTCATCGAAGCATACGAGATCATCGAGTTGCTGTGTGAGCTGATATCTGAGCGCACGCCGTTGATCAAGTCTGAGCGCGAATGTCCGTACGATATGCGAGAAGCAGTGTGCACCCTCATCTGGGCAGCCACGCGGACTGAAATCCCCGAGCTGGCTGAGGTATGCGAGCTGTCTCTGTCGTTCACCGGGCATATCCAGTGAATGTCGCCGTTTCTGCACAGGTGAAAAACCAGTTGACGAAAAAGTATGGCCAAGACTTCACCGCCGCCGCCATGCGCAACGTCGATGGCTGCGTGAACGAGCGCGTGATTCACAAACTCAGCGTCCAAGTACGGTCTCCTCGCCCCATTCTCCATCCTGACGTTTTCCGATCTGGGTTCGCAGCCTCCAAATGCGTACCTCGTCATCAACTACTTGAAGGAAATCGCCAAGCAACACAACGTGGCCTGGGTTCCAGACGAAAGCCAAATCGTCGACCCTCTTGCACCCATGGCCGCCCCCACAGGCTCGTCCATCGGCCAGGCCGGCGTCTCCGGGCCCGACTTTGCCGCCATTTATGCCGAGGTATCCCCGTACCTCCATGCATGCGACTCGACTCACTTCCATCCAGGCTCCTCCTCCAGGGCGAATCCCCTCAGCGTTTCCCACCGTGCCGAATGCAACTCCAGCTTACATCGCTCCCCCTGCCCCATCAGGTAGCTTCAGTGCACTCCAGTGTTGACGGTGGCTGACGTTGTATGGCCAATACGCTGTAGCGCCTCCCAAGGCAGTCGATGCGTATGCCGCACCTTCTGCGGCCGTGGCGCCTCCAGTGGATACATCCTCCAACGACGTACCGGACTTTGACGAACTCGCATCTCGATTTGAGAAACTGCGACGGAAGAACTAAACGATAAAACAACTAGGCCAAGTGACCATGAAACGAGTCTCTGCAGTGCTCTCATGGGGATTGATGCTTTCGTTACGAGAGTCCGATGGACAGTACGAGTATAGTTTAGATGTTCTTGGGTTGCTTGAGTTGGCGCGGTTGCGTCACGTGGGGTTGCGACTTGGATATAACCTGCTTGGCTAATGGCTTCTTCTCGTGGGTCAATGCATGGTTGGTGACAGCGTCGCCTTGGCTCGTCGCGCGTTCATCGTACAATTCTTTGTTGCTCTTGTGATTCGATCGCTCTACAACGTTCTTCATCAGCGACGATGACACGTCCGAACGACGTACTGTGTTCCAAGAACTTGATCGTGTCGCGGTACTTCTTGGCCACTTCCAGGTCATGGATGAGGTTGTTGGCCGTGTTCATGTCCTTCAGGCGTGACTTGTCTTTGGGAGATAGAAGCGCCCCGCTACACAAAGCACTCTCTCACTCCTCATCCACACTAAAGCGTCTCATCCAACATACGTTTCGTTCGGGCCAACTTCATGGAGGATAACGTAGCCTTCGTTGCCAGGCTGTTCCGCCACAGGAACAGTGTAGTGGAAGCGGTGGTCGCTGTCGTTCCAGCGCACCCGCGGGATCGAGTCGTCCGTGTCGATGTGCAAGCTCATGGGAATTCCAAAAATGAAGACACGCAGCGGTGGTTTTTATCTCGACGGAACTTCAACTGGACGCTGATTGGTGCATTCCAGATATGCGGTTTAAATAGACCAATCAGATGGCAGTTTTGTTATAAAACTGGCAAACTTGAACTGCGGGGGAGAAAAGTCGTCGGGAGGGCCGTCGCCGACGGCGACGACGACGAGAGCGACGGAAGTGCGGCGAATGAAGCAACATCTGTCAAGGCGGCCTTCTGCAGGAGAGAATCTGTCTTCTTCACGCGCATGTTTGAGTGTGTCGTAATGCGTTGTGGAGAGTTGTTGCCAGTGACGTGTTCCAGCGTCGGCACCACGAGCTCGGACTTGGCTGCAACAGCATACCTATTACGATCCGATCAGACCGACCATGTCGTGTAGCATGCAAAGGACGAGTTGTGTACCATGTCTTGAAGCCTGCTTTCCTTGCGGGCTTGCCAGCGTCCGAGTCGTACGACCGTCGTTGGTGCTGACATGCCACTGACACGTCAACACGACCCCTCTTCCCAGGCATTGCCGCCGTCGACGACGTCGCTAACTGGTCATGCGACCCTCCCTGTGTCATGAAGAACGATGGCGAGGTATTATCTGTCGTTCCTGGGACCTTGCCCAGGAGCATTGCAAGGTCTCGTTGCAGCTCTTGCATCCCGCCATCCGAATGCGTCCTCTCGGTGCCGTCCACTTGTTGTGGCACCGCAACTTCATCGTCACTGTCTTCCACATTGGGAATTCCATCCTTTCGCCCATTCACCGCCATGTACATCATGGCGTGACGTGTCGGGCCCAACGGTCGCGGCTGTGGGACCAAGTTCTGCGTGGACTCGACCGTGCGAGCTGGGATAACTCCCATGCGGCTCCACCCAGCGCCGTCTGACTGTTGCTTGCCCATCCACATGTTCTGCGCAAGCACGAGCGCGGGTGGCGCGAGCACGTAGTTTGCATTCCACGATGTATTCGTGGCGAACAGTTCCACAGGTTTGGTTGATGTCGGTAAAAGCCCCATGACCGCCGTCACATCCATCAAATCCTGCGCCGACAGGTCGGCGTTGGGCACGCCAAACGACCTCGGTACTCCTTCTTTGTGGAAACCATGCGCGTCCCGATGCAACTTGCCGCGCCGACGGGACGAGCAGTCTTGTAGCTGCACACTCGACCGAGCGTGTTGAAGATAATTCTTGGAGAATGCACTCGACTTAGCTGGTTCATTGCGATGCGTGTCCGATGCGGGAGTGCTGGCGCGGCCTTGACCTGGTGCGGCATTCTCCGTCGAGTCGTTGTTTGCGGGTGCCGTGGCCGAAGCGTGATCTTGCGCCGCCCATGGGCGAGGATACCTGACGGTGGAGCTGCGATCGTTGTTGGACGGTTTGTTCCACGGCAGGTGCTCTGGGTTTCCCGACCGAATTCCGTCTAGCCGCTTCTGGCTGCCGATCCACGCAGACATGGAGGAGGAGGAAGAAGAAGCGGCAGAAGAGTCGGGGACGAGGTCCTGCACACGCATCTTGGCTTTGTCCAGGAGGGGCTGCAGCGACGCTGCAACAGCGACTGCAACTGAAGATGACGTGGCTGCTCCATGCGTGGGAAACGACGGCGCTCGCGAGAGCAGGATGACCGCGTAGCAACACCGCCTTGTGAACAACTGATCGTTGTGGATGTAGTCGGGATGATCCGAGTCGTCCGTTGAGTGCGCTGCCACCGAGGACGGGGCAAAAGTCGACAGAATGACAGGCAGACTCGACCACAGCTTCCGGTCGTTCTCTGGCAGCGACAGGTTGTCTTTGAGCCCTTGCTCGCCGAGGAGGAAGAGCAGCGCAGTCGCGACGTACGGTGGTGCTTCGAGAACAGCGCGAACATCGGCGGCGTCCAACTGGCCGACCAAGTTGATCGTGGCTGCTTCGAGGACGAGGAACGGCGGAAGCGATGGAAAGTCGAGGGTCGCAGCCACGAGAATCGCCAGGTTTAGGCGGGCACGGGGCGGCATGTGCAGGATGGCGTCGGTGGGGAGCACGGGCCACGGCTGCGCTTTCACGGACGGATTCGTCGCGCTGTGGTGGCCAGCACAGCCTGCCGACGACGGTTTGGTTGGGGGTGCCAGATACAAGTGAGCGTTCACGTGGGTAGCCAAATGGGCATACATGTGAAGCACAGCTTTGAGTCGGTACGACTCGCGGAGGATGCGCCGCGACGTTGGCTGGTGGCTCACCACATGCAAAAGGTGGTCTGCCAAGTGGTTCGACTGCGCCGTCGGCAGGAGCTGCCACGTCATCGCAGTCGACCCATATCTGTCGGTGCGGCCTTGCGTCGTTGCAAACTCAAACTCGCCGAACGTTTCCAGCGCCAAGAGACGTTGGTCGGTCGTGATGTAGTGGCCGTCCAGGACCCACACATTTGGCAGGAGCGCGGCCGTCTTCAAGCGGTACGTGGCTTCATCTTGGTCAGCATCCTGGCCGAGAAGAAGCGGGGGGTTGCCGTGCAGCCGAAGCTCGGCGATGTGCATATCTCGGAGAGCAGCAACGTCATCGAACGTCAACATGCAGTGTTCAAGCGAGAGGAAGCCGAGTGCGGCAAAGTCGGCGAGCGGAGACAGGTCGTGGAGGCGGGCGTTATAGCTCAGGTTGATGTGCCACAGCGTTCGGAGCGACCGGAGGCCAGCGATGTCGACGAGCCGATTGTGCGCCAGGTGCAACGAATGCAAGTGCGTGCATGCGTCGAGATGGGCGACGCCATCGAGGGCGCACCCAGACAGGTACAGCACCTCGACGTCGTCGAGGGGCGCCTTGCTCCGACCCCGCAACAGCGCTTCGTCCGGAACTTTCATCCGAGCATTTTTGGCTGTGCTCTGTAACCGGTCTCGAACCCATCGCAGGTATTTTTACTCGCATAAGGATCCGGACAACGTTTGCTTTACTTAGAGGGGATCGCATGCACGAGTGGTGGCGGCCGCGCTGCGGTGCCGTGCGTGATACAAGTGCTGGCTCAGCCAGCCACGAGCAAGTCTGCCCTCCGTGGCGAGGACGTTCTTCGACAGTTGCTTGTCTGTATCTGCATCCGTCTACGCTATCTCAGCGTTGTCCCAGGGCGCCTTGTGATGGCTTTGTACGAGTGGGCCTTCACCAGGCTCTTCATGGGCGCTGGCTCGTGCCTGAGAGCCTTCAACGGCAAACGGATATCGTACTTTGACGGTCGTGTCGTCCTGCGAGTGAAACATCTCCGCCATGTCAGCTCCCATGCAGGTGGTCCATGGCCGATACGTACTGTGGCGCCGTCGCGCATCGACTCATCTCTGGCATGAACGCGCCATCGGTACCTGACACCCGCTGGTAGCTCGCGCTCCACAGCTCCTTGGGGTCGAGTTGGGTCATCGGGACGTTTCCCTCCACGTTGAGCTTGATCTGGGACGTTCGCACCAAAGCATCGATCGATCCTTTGATGCTGAGGCGGTCCCCACAGGCGTCGGCGCTAGCTTGGGCCAATTCGTCGGTGGGCAGCCTATGCCAGCCCACGAATTCGGTCGGATGGAGCCGATGCCTCCTCACGTACTCGCTGCCACACTGTGGCTGGACGTGCTGGTTGGTCGATGCCAGCGCCACATACCGGGCCTTCCACTTTTGGCACCGCTTCTGTGGATGGATGCGATGATGTGTCTGCGAGATGCACGTGCCACCACCGGCACAAGACACGTACTTGAGTTTGGTCGTACAAGGTGCGAAGCGACTTGTTCTCGTCCTTGAGCTCCTTTGTTCTGGTCAGACGAAGCGGCATCGACAGCCATTAGCGGCACCTCGACAAGTTTGGCCGTGGCTGCTTGTGCCTGGCGCTCCTTCGACGCAAACTCCTGCCGCCAAATGACTACGTCGGTCGCACCCCGGTCACGAACGCACCTCTTGGATGTCGACGAGTTTTCGGTCCATGTCGTGCTGCAACGACTTGAGCAGCGAGATCTATTGCCGCCATGATGTCGAACCCATCCGACGACACCGACCTCCTTGAGGCGAAGCGAGCTGCCCTTCTCCAGGATCTCGTTCTCGACTTTCTGCAGCCACATCACGTCAAGCGTGTGTCTGGTTGCGGGCTCGTACCATCTTGTGGTATTGCTCCGCCTGGAGTTTGAATCGATGCATGAGGTTTTCCACGCCAATGCTTTGCATCTGGAGCTCGTCTTTCAATTTGGCGTTTGCGACAAGGGCGTTCTAGACTCGCATGAGGTCGCGCATTGTCTGTCGACTCTGTCGGCACCTTGCTTTCGTCCGCCATTGCATTGAATGCCTTCTTCAAATACTGCGCATCGAGCTCCTGAAGCGACTTGCGAAATGTCTACCACCATGGACATATATAACTTGGTCGAGACAGGACGACGACCTGTTCCAGCGCCATCTTGTGGTTGAACATGTCGACCCGCATGGCATGAATCTCGTCGTTGTGCCGCTACAACAACGGTCAATCAGGACGTGCTCGAACGACGTGTAGAGAGACCTTGGTGTCCGCCTCGAGTTGCCGCCGCAGCTCGTCCACGCGCTGCTGCAGCGACTCGTTTACTGTCTCGAGGGTACTACACGTTTCCATGCGGACGTGCAAGGCGCAGATTTTCGAGTTGAGCACCTACGATTCCAGACACGTGCACCACCCATGCATCCATGCCATCCGACGTACATCGATGCAGTGGTCGGCTTCCTGCTTTTGCGCGAGCTCGCGGTCCTTGAACACTTGCATGAGTGCTTCATGCTTTTCCAGCTCGTTTGCCATGGCGGCTTCCATCGACTGCATGTGGTCCTGCTTCGACTGGTTCTCTCGCGTCAGCCGGTCAATGAGCTTGGCTTCTTCACGGAGCTGCGCTTCTGCTTCGTCCAGCCTCCGCTGCACATCGTTGGCTACATGACAAAGTCATCTCGCAGCACCGTGGATCACCTCCACCCCACGGACCTTCGTCAGTCGCGTCGACTCGAACCTTCTTTTTGCTTCTACGACACCCATCAGTCCATCCTTGCCGCTTTCACATGCATGTCGGCGCTAGACATACTTTTTCGGCGCCATCGCGATCGCGGCCACGAGCTCGACAAAAGTGTAACGGATTGCGAAACCGTCAGGGGCGTGAAATTGAAACAGTTCCATCGACCTCCCCAACCTCCATGACGAACGCATGATGCCTTTGCCCAACAGGACGCGATCGTTCGTGCCATGCGCGCTCTTTCGCTCGGCTGCAAGATCATCGACCAGACACATTGCCGGAATCCCTTTGCTCACGTCGTACCTGCCGGCGCTCGTGCCACCGTGAAGTCACAGCGTTGTTTTTTCCTGTAGAGTGGGCCAGACGACCGATGCTTCTTTCTTCGTGCGGTGGGCACTTGCCGCCGACGACAAGAGTCGATGGCCGTGCAACGTGTGGAGCCATGGATTTCACCGGAGCAACGTCATGCGTCCAAATTTCTGTTAGTATTAAAAATTATCGTGGGGGGGAGGCGGTGTGTGTGTGTGTGTGCTGGATTCGAGCCGTCGTCACTGAATGCAGCACCGCCAGTGGGACTTGGAAGGCTGCGAGTCCTTCGGCGCCTTGCCCATCGACGCTTCCATGTGATCTCGGCCGTGCATGAACCGGCGCAAGCGGACTTCGTGGTCTTCGCGTACGGTCTCGGCCACGTGCGGGTTCTCCTTCAAGTGCTGGCGCAGTGCCGCGAGTGCTTTTTCCGTTTCAGTCTTGCCCTGGGTAGCGTACTCGTCCGTCGAGATCAGCGTCGAGTGGAGCCCCGGCATCTATCGATCCACGCAACGTCATGCACGGACGACGTTCGACCATGCCAGACGCACCTCCGACCAGTACCAGTAGTACACGTGGCCAAACAGAGCTTCCAGCACCGACCACAGGAGCGCCACCGTCACGATCACCCACGACAGCACGACAGACGACGTGCTTTGGAACAGCAGCATGATGGAAAACAACTGCAGGGCTCGAGCCAGTCGTTGTTGGTTGTCCGGCAGAAGCAGGTCCTAGCAAGAATCTTGCAACCGCAATGCACTACCAAGTCGCACCTCCGCTTCCATGCGCCGCAGATCGGCCAACACAACCGCGACATCTTCGTCGTCGTTGCCGCTGTCGACCGTCGAGTCGGCCGACGTGGTGGCTACCTCCGCGTTAGCAGCCACGGCCCACAGAGACAGTCCGCGTTACGTACGCGGCGCCCACCACTGGAACCACCAGACAAAGGCCATCCCGACAAGCCCAAACAGTAAAAAGTAGAATTTGCCCAAGTGCGGGACTCCAAAAACGTCGTCGCTGGCCCAAAACGTAAAGAGGAGACCCATCGCCTACACGTGCATCGGTCAAGACACGGCACCGAAACGTGGAGGCGCACCCATTGAAGAAGCGAGTACACGGCAGGCAGCATCATGAACCCCGTCACGGGGAACGCGATGGTGGTCAGCAACGACGCGCTCTGGACGAGTCCGGCACCTGGAAGGAGTCGGATCGTGCTTTGGCTTTGCTTGTACAGCTGGTACAATAAAAGTGCAATCGAGCACACAATTCCGATCGCCGCGCCGAGGACGTAGTGGAAGGCGCGGCTTTGCGCCAATTTCGCTGAAAAGAAGTACAAGAGGTACCCCCACGCGAGATTTTGAACATATTGCAGCGATATGACTGCGCAAGCACGGGTGACGTGCCAAAAAACGCCATGTAGTTGAAAGTACCCGAGTAGAAGACCGTCGTGAACGCGACGTGGGCCTGGCTCGTCATGTACCCAGTCTCCAGGCCATGGACGGTCACACAGGGATACTGGTGCGGGCTAAACGTCGCCATGCACATGCCCGAGTTGTTGGTGTCTTCGCAAGCGACAGGACATCCACGGGAGCAGCCTTCGCAGTACCGCTCTAAGCAGGGAGTGCGTCAGTGCATAGTGTGGATGGAAGCATAGGCGTACTCGTAAAGGCGGCCGCTTTGCTCAAGACGTAGAGCGCCATGTCCGGCAAGACATTTCGAATCGATGGGTACGCGGAGCCTTGAACGTGTTCCAAAATGTGGCACACCCGCGATGGTGGTCTAGGAGACATGAGGACTCGCAAGAACATGACCTCGACAATACGTTGTGTAGGTATAGGTCAGCGACGACGCCGAATCGCTCGTGATCGCAACGCGCAGATTGCTCCATCCCCACATGAGCGGTTGCATTGACCCGAGAAATTGCTGGATGTCTCCGTTAGATTGTATTATTCCGCACGAGAAACGATCGGGCCTACCTTCGCAGGAGTGACGTACGGGTCGACTTGATCCAACCAAGCATTGAACTGCTCAAAGCGCGCTACATATTGCACTAAGTATGGTTGCCGCGGACTAACAGATAGTGCGTGATGTATCCACAACAGACAGTGGTGCGGTCGCATGAGATCCGTACTCGTTCAAGCTGTCCACTCGGAAAGGAAGCGACGAGCTCGGCGAGAAGCAGAACGTCTTGTTTTCTTTGAATTGCCGGAATCGGTATGCTTCTTGCGTGCCTTCTTGCATCCACGTCACATTGGTGTTTGCGGCCTCTGCGACGGCCACCCAATTCGCGTTCCACGCGTCACCTGGAAACATAACGCCACCCGTCAACACGACATCAGAGACGACGCTCGATTCTGCGCACGTACCCGAAGGAGTGACAGCGACCATGTACATGATGCTGGAGCACACAGCAACGAGGATGGGCACCACCACTTGCGTCTTCATCGTGCACGTCAAACGATTCTTGTGCGTCTCTCAATTCAAACGGCCACATGTCCAATTTCAAACGAATCGTTCGGATTGGTCAAGGTCAATGAATTTCATCCAATAAAATCGTCCATGAAATCCCTTCTCATCGAGAAATTTTAGTGTTTGTCGATATATTTTCAATGGTACTTTTTATCATGTGGACAACATGCAGGACACAATGGAAATCAAATATATTCGATCACATTGAATGAAATTGACCTGATGGACGACCATTTGGTCTATTGTGACTGGTCAAATTATACTGTGTTCACATTGGTTCAATTTGTCCCGAAGCAGTCGCAGTACAACCAGACGACACTCGTGACGCAGCTTCAACTTGCCACTGTACGAAAATCTGCCAGTGCCACAGCCCCCGCGACCCCTTCACGCCGACCATCCATCTGCAATACCGGCGCCACGGAAGCACCTTCGCATCCATTCACCGCATCCGTGAAAGCCGTTCGTCTTGCAATGGTGGACAGCGGTGGCGTCGGTTATCCCTAGACAAGTTTGCTGTACGTGGTGCGGACAAGGGCTTGCCAAGTCAAGTCAACGGTTCGTCGCAGCACGTCTTTTGCCATGACGTAAGGCCACGCAATGCGCCATGACAGTCTTCATGCGCTTGTTGCAGCCTTGCACATCCGCGGCCTCCATCTTGGGTCGACGGTCGTCGGCTTATTGTTCGGTCGTCGTGTGGTGATCTATATTAAGAGGCTTCGACGCAACCCAGATGGCGTATACTGGCCCGCGGTAAAAAGATCGAAGGTTTGGCTGGCTCCGTTTAAACGTTGCCGGCCGGTGAGTCGGCGGATGTCCCACACAACTCGCGCAACTTGGCCAGAGTATGTTTCAACGGGACGGTGGTTTCGCTTGCCCGTGGCGCGTTTAACTGGTTGGTTCTATCGAAAGATAAACGAGGGTTTTGTGCCCCTTCCTGCGCCGCCGCCCTTTCGGCACGATCGATTGAAACACCCATTTTGCGATTGCTACAATCTCGAAACCCACGTCGTGATCGATGGCGGACCAAGCAGCTTCCATCGCGGCGGCGGACATGCCACCCTCTTCCACGGGTGCTCGTCAGACGGCTTCCACCCCCCATACACAGGACACCAAACCGAAAAAGCAGCCGACGCACGAGCCGTCGTCGCACGACTCGCCGCGCCCCTCCGTCCAGCCGATCGCAGCATCCTTAGACATGTCGCCAAAGAGCCATTGCAGCACGGACGGCGGCGGCGCCATGGCGACCCCCGACGACTGTGACATGCACGACGACGACAATGAGCACCAGATCGACGTCGATTACTGCAGCTCAACCAGTGAAAACGAATTCGACGACGACGATGAAGACGATGACATCGACCTTGACCAGTTGAACTTGCAAAACGGCAAGTCGTGTAGCGTCGAAGGTTGCACGCGCGGGGCGAAGCGCGGCGGCGTGTGCATTGCGCATGGAGGTGGCCGCCGATGCCAAGCTGACGACTGCCAGAGCTCGGCCGTGGGCGGCGGCTTTTGCATTGCCCACGGGGGCGGGAAAAAGTGCACATTTGAAGGCGGGTGCGAGAACAGCGCGCGCAGCCGTGGCTTGTGTCCTGCGCACGGCGGCGGCACTCGCTGTCGCCATGAAGGCTGCACCAAGCACGTGGTCAGCGGAGGGCGATGCGTCGCACACGGGGGCGGCCGGCGATGCAAAGCGGTCAGCTGCCAGAGCTCGGCCGTGTCCCGAGGCCTCTGTGTCATGCACGGCGGGGGGCGCAAATGCAAAGCCGACGGATGCAACAAACACGTTGCGTCGGCGGGACTCTGCCGCGCGCATGGCGGTGGGCGTCGTTGCAAGATGGACGGGTGCATGTCCAGCGCGCAGAGCCGCGGCTTGTGCTACGTCCATGGCGGCGGCGGCCGGTGTCAGAAGAAGGGATGCAGCTCATCCGCAAAGAAGGGCGGGTACTGCATTGCGCACGGCGGCGGCCACCGTTGCAAAATGGACGGCTGCAAGAGCTCGGCCGTCAGCGGCGAATTGTGCCGGGCGCACGGCGGCGGGAAGCGCTGCAGCATCGCAGACTGCAAGAGCAGCGCCAAGACGGGCGGCCTCTGCATTGCCCATGGCGGCGGGAAACGGTGTATGGTTGACAGTTGCCGCAGCAGCGCTCAGCGCATGGGCCTGTGCAAAGCCCACGGCGGCGGTCGCAAGTGCACCACGGACGACTGTGTCAACAGCGCAGTCAGTCGTGGCAAGTGCATTGCTCACGGCGGGGGCAAGCGGTGCATCATCCCCGGGTGCTCCACGACGGCGCGCAAAGGGGGATTCTGCTTTGCGCATGGGGGGCGGAGCTTGAAGGACCACCTGAAGGAGTGCGACCCCGCCAGGTTTGTGGTCGGCAAAATCACAGTCGACGATGGCGGCGACGACATGGTGGTGCTGCAGCACGATGACAACAACGCCAGCCCGGTCAAGATCGAGCCCAACAACCACGTCGATGACGACGACAGGTCGATCGCGACGGACGACGATCCGACCGAAACGAAGCGGCCGAGCGGGTACTCGTGGCAACGATTGCAGGAAACCGTGTTGCTCGAGTCGAAAGCGGAAGGCATCGCGGACGCGGCTTCCGCCGACAACGAAGACGGCAGTAGCTCGGACGGCGACAACTCGTTTCGGCTCCTCGTCTCGGCGGTGCTGTGCAAGTAGCGGTCGCCGCGACCGACCCCCCCTTCCTCGTTGTTCAGTGTGTCCGTTGTCCTTAAGCTTCATGTACGATGATGTCGACTAACTGATCACGTCGATGTCGCACGCCGCCATCGAATGGATGAAACGAGCGGTCCGTCGCTCGTCTCCCGCGCCTCCTGGACCGGAGTGAAGACCGTTGGGTCAATATGTCCACCGTGCTTTGATGGTGTGCCGCCTGTGCTCTCTTTGGCTAGTCGTTGTATGTTCGCTTTCATCTCGTGCAAACGCTTTGCATGGCGGCGACAAGGCAGTTGGGGTAGTTTCGATTGGATTTCGTCGCATCTAGTAAAGCTAGTCCAACTTGCGCGACGACATGCTGTAGATGACGCTGTCTACGATTCTCGCGACGGCAAAGACGCCCCCTGTCAGCAGCACGTCAGGGCGGCAGCGATCGAGCGACGAGCTGGTCGTACCCACGATGGCGCTAGTGCTAGTCACGAACTGGAGGAACGACGGCTTGCTCTCGACGTACTCGACCTTGATCGGAGAAAACTCGTACATGAACGACACCCCCGGGAACGACATGACCCCTCCCTCGTTCGGCTACAATGGCGCATGGGAATGAAGCGGCTCGCGCGACTCGGGCGTACCTCCGACGTGTACTCGGTCACCGAGTACTGGTAGGTTTGGATCGGCGGGCCGTACAGCGGCGTGTACTGCGTCGGGACGATGGACACGCCATACTTGTAGAGCGCAACTGATGCAGATGGTGAGGGCGACGAAAGGAGCGAGCGGCCAGCCGACGATCGTACCGTTCTTCTCGACCGATTTGTGCACGTCCTGCAATGGGTTCACCATGTTGGGGATGTCAGGACCAAACGACAGGCGATGCACGATGTGCGACGCATTGAACTCGAGAAAGTCCATGAAGCTGAACATGTTCAACGAGCCTTCGTGGGCAAAGCTCACGACCCCCGCGACCTTGTGCACATCGACAAATCCCGTGAGCCGGCACCCTTCCGACTCACCCGATGGCACGGGGACGGCCGTGATGTTGCTGTCGGCCAGCAAGTCCTTGTTTCCCTTGACATCGCTTGCATCCATCGCGACATCTGCCGACACGTCGATTACACCCTCGACCCGTCCACAGCGACGCACCTTTGCACTTTTCATGCAGAAACGTGATGTCCACTTCGATGTGCATGACGGCATCTTGCTACACACGTTGCCTTGATGTGAGAACCAGTCATGGCATCGCGACACTCGACGCACCGGGACCGTGTCAACATGCATGCGGTTCACGACTTGCGTGGTTGTGTAGATGCCGAGCTCCGAGAGAAAGAGCAGGAAGACGATGGCCACACTGATAACGGTGATCAAGGCGCCGCATGTCGTCTTTTCCTGAATCCCTTCCACGCCCTTCGTGTACACGTCATACTGGCGCAGCCTATGGAACATGGCGCCGCCGCCGGTCGACGGAATTGAATGTGCAACGTGGCAAATGACGGCGCAATTTAATTGAATTGTTTAATTGGCTTATAAATACATATATGAAACGCCACGTTTTCAATAAATTCAACACGTTGCCGAGGTGAAGATCCGAATTTGGCCAATTAGGCCTTTGAAACGGGACAGCAGCGGCGGACACTGCGATGGCACCTCCATGGAAGGTTGTCGTGATCTGCGCGGCTGCCTCGTATCTTCCGCACAACGTGCACGCAGAGATAGCCGACGGGTCGGCTATGCCACCACCGCTTGATGGAAGCAGCGTCATGGAGAATGCCCAAGTGGTCACGGCCACTCACACGTCGTCGGCGTCCCCACCCGAGTCCGCCAAAGTCACCATCAAGGGCATTAAGGTCATAACATCGTCGGTCAGTGCATACGGGAGTGCGGACGTGGCCACGTGCACCGGCACTGGAGCTACTCCAACTACCTCTGGACGTCGGGAAGATGAACTGTTGCCCAAATCCATCGAAGTCGATGAGCGCTACCTCGTGGATGGTCGTGCCAACAACGCCAAGAGCAACGACGATTCCATGCTTTACGAACTGGATGCGTTTGAAGCGTTGCTCGGTGACATCCATCTGTCCTCGCATCCTCTCACAGACTCGATCCAAGCGGACGACGTTGCTGCCCGCCATGACACACTCGTGCTGCCACTGGGCGATCCTGCCTCTATCGCGCACGACGAAGATTCCTCAAGCACACTACCATCAAGCCCGCCCGACGTTCGTGCTGAAGTCGTTGGCGATGACGCAGGCAAAGGCGATGACGACGTCGCGCAGGACTCCATTGGTCGTCGTAGCACGGAGCATGTCAGCCAAGCCCATGACCTCGTTCAGGACGCCGCGACGGTGCCCATCTCTGGTCATGCTGCGGCCGCAAGTCAGGAACGAGATGGTAGCTCCAACACAGAGTTGGGAGCGGCCGACGACGACGTCGTCGTTATGTCGGTCGACAAGGAAGTCCTGCATGTGGACGACGAAAGCCCCACGATCCTCCCGCCTGGCAACCCCCGTGCGACCGAAACAAGGCCGATGCACCACGACTTGCCGCAACACACGCTGCACTACCAAACGCATGGCGCCAGTGTGCAACATGATGTGCCTCGAGCACACGGCATCGCAGCACGACATCGCGACCTCGACACTCCTCCTTCCCCACCAAGTCGTTGGCCAGTCGCGCCCGACGCCCGTCGTGATCGTGACACCGCCGACTTCATCGACGACTCGACAGAATCGTCGTCTCGAACCATGTCGAGGCACATGGAAGCCGCATTCTCTCAACTGCACGTCCACGGGACTCGCCTTTACGCGTCAGCGCGGTCGTCGTACGCTCGAGTCCATGCGCTGTCGGCTGCGACTGTCGACAAGTTCTCCGTGTGGCTTGACATGGCTCTTTCCAACGCGCTCGACGTTGTTCTCGGTGGAATCGATCGCGTCGAGGCCGCGCACGCGTGGTGGCGGCATGATGTGCTGGCATCCAGTCAAGACCTCCAACTCGTTGTACGCAACGTGTGGGGCGTGATGCTCTTGGCGCTCGTCGCGGCTGCGTATGGAATGCTCTACGTCGCGCTCAGCCACGCGCCTCGCGTCGGCCTCGATCTGTGGCGGACCCTGGACGACTCGACCAAAGACAAAGCCCGGGGCGCCGTGCTCGTCGCGATCGGGGCCAGCTTGGTCCTCCTCAAAACGATGTGGTGGTACTGGGCGACGTTGGTTGCCGTCGCGTCCTTTTACTACTGGTCTGGCAATGCCACAAGGCGCCATGTCGATCCGCCGCCGACAGCATCACAGAAGCGCCCGTCCCTGTAGCCCCGACAATAGATGAACCAACATACCACATCACCATCGAGTGGCGCGTCGTCAAAACATCCTGCGGACGTCCGCAAGTGGCACACACCAGCGTAAATAAGACGGGGGTTGCATTGATCTTGCTGGAATGTGGCGCCGTCGACTACTACGCCTGGCCCATGGACGTGACCGCTTGGAACGGCATGGCGGCGATAGCGGCGGCCGTGATTCCAGTGCAACCTGTCAAGTGGAGGCATTTCAAACGCGGACAGCTCTGTACGAGGCTGCCGAGGGCCGCGTCCGTGAGTTGGGTGCAATAGGTGAAAGTCGCTTCTTGGAGCGCACGGCATCCGCGGGCCAGATCGGCAACGCCCGAGTCCGTAATGTTGACACACCACGCCACGTTGAGCCTACTCATCGTCGCAAGTGACCGTCGCGCCACCACCAATCTCGTGTACCGTTCCAGTCGAGGACATGCTCGCAACGCCGCGAGCGACAGATCCGTGACGAGGCCGCAGTTGTTCAAGTCGAGCGCTCGAAGCTGAAGACACGACGATGCAAGGCGCATGATGCCCGCGTCCGTCACTTGGCTGCACCAACGCAGCCGCACTACTTCCAAGCTGTCCGACGCATGAGCTCCGACAAGCGCGCGAGGTCCGTACCTCGAGCAGTGCCGAGCCAGCGAGAAAAGCGCGGCATCCGTGATTTTGCATTGTCCCAGGTCGACTTCTTGCAACTGGGACAGCGACATCACGGCCAGAAACGCGTCGTCCGTGATGTCTGTGAATGACACGTTGAGCACGCGGAGGCGCAAGTGCATGGCCGACGTCAGAACAAGTCGAACCGACTCGCTCGTGATGCGCTACGAGCCATTCATTCGTGTGCACAGTACATCATCAGCAGGTCTCGAGTACCTTGCAACGAGAAAAGTTGAGCTCGTCCAACGACCGGTACGCTTTGAGCAGGTACAGGATGAGGCAGTGCGTGAGTTGCGAGCATCCCGCCAGGCTCAGCACCCTGAGCGACAGACACGCCCGAAGCGGGTAAAACAAGGACTGGTCCGGCTGGAACGCCGCGTCCGTGATGTGGCGGCAGTTGTCGAGCCGAAGTTGCTGCAGCGTCGTGCATCCTTGCAAGATATCGCGCACAACAGTGTTGCTCACTTGGATGCAGTTCGACAGGTCCAGGTATGCCTATCGCCATCATCAGGTCGGTCTGCACGACGACGCTGCCATGTACGAGATGTGGACACCGGAACGGAATCTGTCGAAGCACCGACTTGCGAATGCCGCCACACCCACCGAGACGAATCACTCGACGCGAGATGGACAGGAACGCCGACAAACGATCGTCAGTGACCTTCCCGTGGGCAACCAAGGCCGCCAGCAACGATTGAGCGAGTTCTTCGGGGAGCCGTCTACGCCGTGCAACGAGGAGCATGAGTCCAGGACGTAGTATGCCTCTAACGAAGACACGTACGGGAAGAGCGCGTCGACTTTGCGCAGGGGAGATCCATCTGCGACAACCAATGCTTGCACACACATCTCGACGAGTGTGCGCACGGTGTGTTGAGTTGAACATTGTCCAGCATCCCATGGGAGGATGCGAGCTGGTACAAGCTTAGGAGAACTGTGCTGCAGCTGCGTGTATGTCCGCAGCGCCATCGTTATCTAGCCACTTTTGCTTCCTTCGTCGGCGAAGATGTCGAATGTCCCGTCGGTGCCACCTCCGACCTCCGTCCGAAGAATGGATGCTTGGACTTCGTGGCCAAGTGAATGCCCGAATTATGGAAATGTTGTACGATAATGTACGTGTGTATTCGTACAATGTATGGACGGAGGCAAAATTGGCCTTGTCCAATCGCAGAAAATTCAGCGTACAAAGTACATTCACAGTACACACTTGCCCCATCCCGTACCAGATTCTCCACGTGACAAAAACGGGTTCGATCCATAAGAAGTTGCCGATGGCTGCGGCGACGGGCGAGTGAAGGTGGCGCGCGATGCTGGCGGCGTTACGATGGCCAGATATCCTGAGCTACGATATACTCAATGCTGAAGAATGTGCTTGTGGAGTTGACAGAGCGCTCGATTCACACTGTTTCGGGGATCTTCGAATCCATTGAAAGCCCAGAAAACGTGCATGCATGCAATTTCCCTACCACCACAGTATTCTCGATCATGAGCAATCACATACCTCGTGCTCGTCGAAACTACGCCTCATGGCTCCTCATTAGCACAGCTCCTCCTCCTCCGCTGCGCACCTCATCCTTCAACGCCCTTCTGTCGGGGCTAACGCGGTGCTTCCACAACGATATCAAATGGGATGATGAGCTCCCAATTCCGCATATGTATCCGGATACGGAAGATCTTGCACGGTTGCGTGAATGCGAATATGGCCGAACTGGCCACACTTGCTCGCGGGGATCCTGCAGGAGCCGCATGGCACAGCTCGTTGCAAGCATTTTGTGGCAAGTATGGAGGTACGAGAGTCCAACAGCTTGCTCCGCACGAAAACGTTCCGCAAGGTGCATCTTCGTTTGATTGGGACCGATCTGCAAAACGCGCCGCGGTCACCAACGTGTGGTCCCAATTGCAGAAGCAAGCTGAGGATAGCTCGGGTACGACGCGTTGAACCAGCAATGGCAAGCCTAATGCACCTCTGACTCGGCAGACACGTTGCTAAGCCTGACAGTTGTCAAAATATTCATGCGCGACCGAATGCACATCGACGTCCTCTTGTCTCTTGAGGTAGACTGCCCGCATTCCTCGAACTCGTCCGTGACACCAGCACACCGCTTCAATGGGCAAACTTGGTGGTGTTGTAGGCACTTGAACTGTTTGTCCGACTGGCCGAACACGCGGCGGACGAACCGGCAGCTCTCGAGGCCATCAAGTGTGCCATTAACTCGGTCATTGCAAGACCTGCCTTCGTCGCGGCAGTCCTTGCCACACCAACGTACGACCACATTTTTCACTTGACAACTGTACGTCGCAATCCATCGGGGGCTTCTTTTCACTCAACCGCCATGTAGTTGGCCAGACCGTTTGAGTTTCACACGCTGGTGTGGAAGCTCCTCTTGGCGACATTTGAACATCCAGCCGCCATCGAGCGAGTCGAGCGGACACTGCACGGCTATGCCTGTGTCTTGCCTGTAATCACCTGCGTCCACTTCGTTTTTGCCGCTTTGAACCACCAACCTTTGACGGCTGGATTAGACGTTGGCGTATTGCATGCAGCCGACCGAGTTGTTTCTGAAAGACGTGGACAGGATCGCCCTTGCCACCGAGCTGCTGAAAGTCCTCTACGTGTTCGCTTCGACGTGGCAGGTGCAGCCTTTGTCCGCCTCGCTAGATCGGCTTTACAAACTGTCGCTAGAATGCTACCCACCTCCCTCCCGACATCGACTCGACCGCCGACTCGTGCGTCCTCGTCTACGTGCTTGCGTTGCTCGGAAACGCAGCTCTGACATGCATGAATAGCGCCATGGCCCTCTTGAGCTCGACGTTGGCCCTTCCCAATACACAGTCTGTTCTCGACTTCAAGCTGCAAGTAAGGAAAAAAGCTCCGAACGGCACTGCTCACGGCAGACGTAGGCCGCGAACGTCTTGTTGATCGTTCAGTATCCAGCTCTCGTGGATCGCTTCGTGGCCCACGATGGCGTGAAGCATGCAGTCGCGTTCGTGGAGTACGCGGTGCGATGCCATCCGCACGCCTGAATCACGTCCTCATGGGTGCTTGGAGCAGATCATGAAAGTTCGCGTGGAGAAGACCCAGTACGGCGAAACTTGCCATCGTCGCGCTGACAAGCTTGGCGCAGGGAGCCATCGATCGTGACGCCACTCGTGATTGGATTGCACCAACTCGCCAAGAACAACGCGCACGGGTTCGAAACACTCAAACGCGCCATCTTTGCAGGCCGCGCTCCTGGCGACAGCACATCTCTTGGTGCGTTCATCAACGATATCGAACGAAGCTGCATAACGACAACAACCTTTTGTCGCAGCGGTGGCGAATGCGCCACCATTGACCCACGCCAAGCCAAACCTGCCACTGTCGCAGCTCCCCATGAGCCCACCGTCCCTCGTCAAGGGAAGTTTGCACGAGAGCATGTGCGCCTTCATGACGTCTACCAACACCGACTTGAAGCGGTGCGTGAGCGAGTTTCTCTTTACGCTATGCCACAACAATGGTACGTCCTGCATGGCTGGCACGACTGTTTCACGCGCCTCTGAACGGCGTCGACTTGGCCGTCACCGTGGCTTTTCTCCATGTAGCGCTCGAGTTCACCCATTGCACGGGGCTCGGCAACGCCGTCGCTCTCCTCCGCCTCAAAGGAATCATGTAGCTTCGGTCGTGCACGACTAGCTTGGAACACGCCGTCGCCTGCTCGAGGGCCATCTTAACGACGTAACGAGAATCACCGTCGCGGTGTTCAGATTGCATGCCTGGCAGCCATCCCATCGGCGAGATGCCGTCGTGTTCAAAACAAGTTCCTCTTCTACGCGTCGGTGACGTGGATGACGTGATAATTGCGCTTCCCAACCCGAACGAGGACGGCGCGCCCTTGAACGATCTGACTCGCGTCGATCACAGCAGCGTCCGAGTCGACGCGGACGTTGTTTACGTACACGCCTCCAGCCTTGATCAAACGTCGGCCTTCAGCTACAACCATATCCATTTTAGATGCTCGACACAATGGCCCCACGCACGATTTCTCGTGTACCTTTGGACGGGATGGCCCCGATGGTCGCGAGAACATCCACGGCACGCTTGCCCTGAAGTTCACTCCATCTCAAGCCCGATCTATGCAGGTCGTGCTCTGCGGTCATGGGAGAGGCAGAGAGAGGGGAGAACGGATGGTACCGGGGGGCGTCAATCGCCAAAATATCAGAGGCAGTCACACCATCCAACGACCCGCCGAATAACACGTTGGCGGCCACTTGTGCAGCTTTCAATGCATCGCTGCCATGAATCATCTTTGTCGCGTGCTCTACATGGCCAGCGCACGAGCTCGCACGACTTCTCCACGGTTGTCAAAGGACGGACCAACCTGCGAGAATCTGCTGGGCACGGCGGTCCTCTGGGCGCGCCGCGTGGTCGGCGACAATCGCGTCGATTTCGTCCACGTCCAAAAGCGTAAACGTTTTCAACAGCGTTGCAACATCAGCGTCGTCGGTGCGGATGAAGTACTGGTAAAAGTCGTACTACCAGCGGCGACCGTGAGCTTCGTTTCTAGTCATACCATCGACATAAATCGGTGGAGAACTCACCACAGATGTCTTGGAGCTGTCGAGCCAGACAGCGTTCCCGGCAGACTTGCCAAACTTTTCGCCATTCGCTGTCGTCAAGAGGGGCACGGTGACCCCGTAAACCTCACCCCCATCCGCCTTGCGGACTAAATCGCAGCCAGCCACGATATTGCCCCACTGGTCGCTGCCCCCGACCTGAACGACCACGTTGTGGTGCCGGTGCAGGTGCAGAAAGTCATACGCCTGAAACAACTGGTACGAAAACTCGAGGAAGCTCAATCCAGCATCTGCATCGAGCCGCCGCTTGACGCTATCGCGGGCCAGCATTGCATTCACGCGGGCATATGCGCCGCACTCGCGCATCCAGTCCACGACGGATATCTTGCCGTGCCACGACATGTTGTTGGCAACCTCGGCACCAACCTACACGAACATGGAAGTCTTGCGATGGCAAAGCAACATCGCACCTTGGGGCAGTCAAAATCAAGCACGTTCTTCAAGCTATTCACCAAGTTGCGAGAGTTGGCGTCAACTTCTTCCGCGGTTAGCATGACTCGCTCGTCGGAACGCATGCTTGGGTCACCAATCATGCCGGTAGCTCCGCCAACCTATGTCCACCACACACACGCGATCAGAAGCTCCTCATACGTGCATTTCACCATACGAGCAAGATGGGCTTGATTCCTGCCAGCTGAAAGTGGCGCAGTGCCATCACGGTCACAAGGTTGCCCACGTGCAGCGACGATGCCGTGGGGTCAAAGCCGCAGTAGACGCCAACAGCCTTCTGCGAGGAGCCATCTTGGTGCTTCTTCACTGCCGCATCTAGCACGGATGACGCATGCTCGTGGGTCAATCCAGCCAGCAGGCCGCGCTTCCGTAGTGCCGCCAGTGCTCGACTCATGTCAACCTGCGAGCCGATGCAACGAAAGGCCGTGATTCCATTGGCTTATAATGATGTAAATTGATTGGCCAAAACGAATTGACTTTCAACCAGTCATGTGACTCCATTCCTTCACGAGAGAATCAACGTGAAACGGCTGTGCAGAAATTGCCTCTCCACCAGCCGCGCCATGCGACGCTGTCTCACGGCGGCAGATGATGGATGCGACGTGCTGGTGAAGTCTGGATTATACTGATTTTAAGTACTCAACTCCGAGGGCCGTTGCTGGCTTTTCGCCAGTGCGCACTGCTTCAAAAAGTGGATGGGGTGTGTGCCGAGCGCGGAACGCAAGCGGTCCGTGCGGCCCACAGAGGACGACTTCATCTTGACGAATTCTCCACATGCCGTCATCCTCGAGAGCCCTCAATATCACCTCATGCCGCAAGCCATGCCGATGCGCTTCAGCCTTTTTCAAACTATACAACCCCAACAACATACCCTTGTCGACCCCGTCGATCTCGTGCATGACGACTTGAAACCGATTGCAGACGAATTCCTTCTTGACGCCGACGACTTCATCTTCATTCGCCAACTCTCGACCGCCCCGAGTCGCATCGAATCGTCGTTGGCCCAGTATAATTGCACAGCTGTCGTCGTGCGGCGCCTCGCGTCTTGCCTAACGAATGATGACTCGGATCTCGTCAAAGAAATCATCGCCATGTCGCGGTTGCGCCACATCAACATCGTATCCTTCATCGGGTTCTACTTTACGTGCAGTTTCCGGCTGCACTGTGTGACCGAATACGTCGTAAGTCGCACATTTTCTCGTCTAGACCCTATCATGATCCGTACGATGGCTGACGCGCTCTTCGACGACAGGAAGGATCCAGCCTGCGTCAGCTGCTCGACCGCCCAAAGCTCGATCTCTCTTGGGACGACCACAAGCTCTCTATGGCCATGTACATCGCCCAAGCGATGGCATATCTCCACTCCTTCAAGCCGCCGGTATGTCCTCCACCAGGCTGTAGCCGACGCATGAACTAGTCCATCGAACATCGATAGACCATCCACCGCGACATCAAGGCCGACACTGTTCTCGTGACGCCGCAACTCCTGGCAAAACTGAGTGGCTTTGGCGCGGCGCGGGTGCGAACTTTTGACTCAACGATGACAAGCACTGGAGGTTCGTGCTCGTCGATCCTACCGGCACCACAAGCCACTCACATCCATAGCATCGTAGTGGGCACGTTGAAATGGTCGGCACCGGAACTTCTCAGTGGCGACGACTACGACGAAAAAGTCGACGTGTACTCGTTCGGTGTCGTCCTTACGGAGCTCGACACGCACGAAACGCCTCTCGCCAGCCACACCGTGACGGACACCACAACCTTGATGCATGCCTTGATCACAGGCAAACTGCGACCCCAAGTCGCCCCCACCTGTCCCCCGCGCATCGCGCGGCTCGTCCATGCGTGTTTACAGCATGACACGGCCAAGCGCCCAACTAGCGACGAGGTCGTCGCCATCCTCGCCGACATCTCCATCGCAAAAAGTGAACAGAGCCCCGCTGTAACATAACAAACGTAACCATATTCTCACTCGTGTGGCTTCCGCACAAGTTGTCCGAGTTCGTGCACGACCGATTCCCGTGCATGTGAGGACACAATGTCCTCGAGCTTGGGAGCGACTATTCACAATATATTTGTTAGTCCTTCACCCGCCAGAAAGGAAACCCGCTCTACAAGCGTCGGCGCGGCCGTCGAACTCGAGCGCAACTCCTGCGACAGATGATGGATCAGGCGTTGCGATGCGGCCAACACAGTCGTGGCGGCCTGACTGCACTTGCTCGCTTCCTTGGTTCAAATGTGTCGCTGCGTTTGGTTTGATGGCGCTCTGTCGTGAGATGCCATGGCGCGCGATCGACTGCGAACCACCAAATTCGAGTCGCCCTTCTTGGAGAACCATGGCTGCCATCGTCGGTGGTTGCATTCAGACCACTGCCTCGGGGAATACTGTCCTCGCCCTCGCTGGAGGGTGATCTCTTGCCCAAAGGAGGGCCCTCGTATACTCGTTGGTTTAGCGCCACAACGCATTCGTCTTCTTCAAGCTATCGGCAGCATTCTTCATCACAGCGGCCGCCACGCCTTCCCAAGACAGGACCGTGCACCTGAACCAATTCGCAAGGCGCATTCGCAAGTTAACTGTACGCTAGCAGCTCCGCCACGTGCCTCACGAGAAACCCAAACCGTCAGGCTTACTTTTGCCGAAACGCGCGCTTTTTCTCGCGACATTCCTTGCAGTGCCTCCACTCCCGCTTCGACTGGAGGCATCACCCCCGACGAGCTGTTCTTCTTGTCTTTGGTATCTAGACACGTGGACATCTGGCAATACTCTCCATCGAGCCCGCCTTGGTCTCCTGTCCGTCCATCCTGATATGCTACACGTTCCCTGTTACACCTCCACGGGCATCACCACCTGCTTGGTCGCACAAGCCGCGTCGGGATCGCGTATGTCGGTCGCTCTGGGTGAACGTGGGTCATCATGCCGTTCAAACCGAACGAAGTACATCCCGAGAATTGAATTCCGCCCGAATTTCGGCTCAATATTTTCGTCAAAATGGTGAAAATTTTCACGTCCTCGTCCATGTATACGACCTGAATAGCACCACTCGATTGGTTAAAACCGTCGTACGGGCCGAATTACAGACAAGTGATACAATTTTTAACCAATCAAATGCAATTCAATCCAATCATGGGATTCAGCGGCCTCAATGCGTATCCGAAGAAATGGCACAGGGTCCGGCAGACAACCCAAGGCAACCACTGCATGCGCTTTCGAGCGCGCTTGAAAACTCCGCGGACGCCATGCCGGGACAACGACCCACCGCTGTGGCCACCGCACCTTTGTCCTGAACGGGTCGCAATGACCAGATGAGGCCAGAATTGTTCTTGTCCGATAAGAACAGCTTGGCCGGAAACTATCTTGACCATCGATTGAACGCGTGCGTTCAATTTGCCATCATCATGTTCTGGTGCGCCATGACACATTGCGCAAGCTTACCATGGCTATCTGGGATCCCCTAGACCGATGCTCTCTTAGCCTTCCGATGACGGTGGCGCGCCACGTCGTCTCATGCGGGCCTTGTTCCTTGTGACGTGGCGCGGACGAGGCGACGGTATAGGTCGAATTAGTTTTGATTTCGTGGAAGAAGAAAGCAATCCACCGACCATATGTGCAATTGCTCGGGCAGGTCGTTGTGCCAGATCAGCTCGAGATCCAGAAGTTTTTCCGCCGGCGCGGGGCAGCACCACACAAGTCGCTTGACCTTGGCTCCGTCACTTGGCGATGCCGCACCAAACATCTCCAACAACCACGCGACCCACGATGCAAGCAAACGATGAAGTGTACAACTACTTCTCCGAGTCGAACAGCGATGACCCGGAAGATGGATACCAAGGGCGTGGCCGCCTTCCACCAGTTGCAGACATGTCGACCAGAGACATGAAGCTACAACCGCACGGACCAACGACATCCATCCAGCAAAATCCTACCGGTGGTGAGTCGATCTGGTTCATGTTGCTTCTGTGCGCGCCGCGCATGGCAACAAGCATGGCATGGTCTGCCCAATGGGCTGCCTTCGGCCCTCTTCTCTCGACCATTTTTGGAGCATCGTGGAAAGTGCAACTCATCCAGATTATCGGCCCCATAACTGGTTTGCTTGTCGTTCCGGCGATCGGCGTCCTCAGCGACCACAACAACAGCGCATATGGCCGCCGGCGGGGGTATCTTCTTGGTGGTGCGGTGGCGACTCTCTTATGCTGGTCCCTCATGATGAATGCTCAGTCTATCGGACGCGCGTTGGGCGACACCTCAACTGATCAACCCATGACTGCAGTCTTCGTTGTGGTGTGCTACCTGTGGATGGACATCAGCGTCAATGTGATACAGACCAGCGCCAACTTGATCATTGCCGACTTTTCCGGGTACAAACAAGTGACGGGGTTTGCCATTGCGTCGAGCTATGGCGTTGTTGGAAGTATGTTTGTGTCTGGATTCATTTGGACCTTTGGCCCGGCGCACCAATCGACCCAGTGGTTCTTCCTCATGCTTATCGGGGTGGTCCTTATCACGGTGTTTCCCGTCTGTGCTTTTGTGACCGAAGTCCCGCTCGCGTACCTTCCGCATGACAGAACTTCGTCCATGATGTGGCAGTATGCTCCAGGAGGCCAAAGCGTGCTCCGCTTCAAAGATGCAGCACTTGGCTTTTACCGTGGAGTTCGGTACCTACCGCGGCAACTCGCTGTATTCTGCGTTGTCGTCGTGTGCGTCACGTATGGTTTCAACGCGTACAATGGCGCGAAGAGTGTGTATTGGGGTGAATACGTCTTTAACGGAACATCCACAAACGCCAACACTTGTGACCCCACATGCTCTCCGGCTCAAGGCCTTTTCAATGATGGCGCGAAGTTGGCCGGTGGGCCAGTCGACACTGCTTTCAACATCGTCAGCTTGATCAACCTCGCCTTGCTTCCGTCCCTGGTTGGTCGCTTCGGTGCCCGCCGCGTGCTCCTCTGGTCCACGACGCCACAGATTCTCCTGGTTATCATGACATTTTCTCGGATTGTGGTGCTGGACATCATTGTCGTTACTTTGTGCGCTGTTTCCCAATCGACGATCATGGCGCTTCAAATTCCCGCTGTCATGCACGTCATTGGGTACGGCGAGCAAGAAGGACTTGGACTCTACGCTGGTGCGTTCAACTCGGCGATTTGTGTTGGGCAGCTGTTGAACTTTGCGCTGTCGAGTGTTCTTGTCAGTACCCCCATGGGCCCTGCCCTTCCTATCCTCTTGGGAGGCATCTTGAGTCTCGCTGCGTTCCTTATCGTGCGCAAGCACTTCACCCTCCACATGAAGACATACTGATGTCACTTCAACTTTGGCGCGCGAATTTGAAAATGGACCGTCGAACGTGTAAAACTAAATATTATTATGCTGTATATGTTCATACTCGTTCACAGTATAGTATTGTGATAACAAGTTTAAAATGAGTGCAAATGACAAAACACATGTCGTGATGTTTCGTTTCACGCTTTCGGGATGGAAAATGCGGTCTGTCGACGCCGTCGCCATGCTGCGCAAGAACAACCTATGCGATGCCCCGACCATTTGAAGGCGGATATTGGACTCGTGGGGTTAGAACGGTGCACTTGCAACTGGATCTGTACGTCATGATCACTCTAGTTGAGTGCGCAACCGTACAATCCTGACGGGCACAAAGGTGATTCAGACGACACGCTCAGCAGTAACATTCCACCACAAAACGGAACTCGACAAGGTGGGCTTTGGGAGTGATGCCGGCACACATCCGACTGACATAGCGAGTCCTCCATCTCGGGCTATACATGTCGACTCTGCGCTTCCGAAACGGACGACTGCTTTCCTCGAGCACGAGCACAATCACTACTATCAACCGAATGACCATGCCTTCAATGGCGTTTGCCGCCTCATGGAATTCATGCTTCCGAGATTCTCCAGTGTGCCATGATACACTCAACCAGCACGTTCAATTCGTCGCGCGCGCCATCGCCCACTTTGCTGGACGGGTGGATCTTGCTGTGTGCTGCACAGGCGGCGGTGTTACTTCACACTCCTCTGCTGGCCATTTGCGCCAGAATTATATTACATACCATTCTTGTATGCACCCCATTTGAAACATTATTAAAAACGGTCTTCGGTGCCATTTTCAATTTCCGACCGGCTCTTCCAAGGAAGGATGGGCTGCTTACCTTCCAAGCATCGGCAACCTCAGTACGTCCATGTGCCTGACGGGAGCTTCCGTCCCGCGCCCGTCACCCCACGACAAAACTTCACCAGTGGTGGAGCGAACGGAACTCGCATGGGCGGTGGGACCAACGGCAGTCGTCCCGGCATCAACAACGGGTCAACTGCTCCGCGGACGACGACACGCACGACCACAAACGGAACCACCAGTCGCACTGCAGGGCGATCGTTGCGGGCTCCTGGCGAACGCGTCGTCGGTGGAAGCGCTCCCATCAAGATTCTCGACGATGTGAACTGTGGCGAGTACGTTGAGCTCGAACAGTTCAAACATGACTACTGGCTTGACCCGAATGACATTGTCCACACCCGCACTGTGCAAAGCAACTACATGAAGACCGAGCTGGGTCACTACCTTGGGCAACCTGTCTTGATCAAGAGCCTGAACTTCTCTGCGTCGGCGGAGGATTTGGCCAAAAACAAGAAGGCGCTAGTGAGCGAAGTTCGGTCGATGACTCGCATCCAGCACCCAAACATCGTCAAGTTCCTGGGTTTCTACATCACCGAAGACCATGGACTGTGTTGCATCTCCGAATACATGGAAGGCAAGACGCTTCGTCATTTACTCAACAATAAACGCCAAAACCTGACCTGGGCGAAGGAAAAGATCGCGATTGCAATGGACATCGCCTCCGCGCTCGTGTACATGCATTCGCTCAACCCACGTCTCATCCACCGCAACATCAAAGCAGAGAAAGTTTTGTTGACAAACCGCCGTGAAGCGAAGCTCAGCGGGTTCGGCTGCGCGCGCGACCGCACGTTCGAAAACACGATGACCGCCGGCGTTGGCGACATTCAGTGGAGCGCGCCCGAGCTGCTCCAGGACGGCGAAGACTACGACGAAAAGGTCGACGTGTACTCGTTCGGCGTGGTCCTTACCGAACTCGACACGCGGGAGATCCCGTTCGCCAACGAGATGGCGGTCATGGCCCGCGCCGACATTACGATGAAGCTCGTCACAGGTATGCTGCGACCGGCCGTGTCGGCGGACTGCCCACCGTGCATCAAGAAGATTGTGCATCAATGCCTCCAACACGACGCGTCGCTGCGTCCCACGAGCGAACGCGTGCTGCAATTGCTTCGGGACGCGCGCCTCCAGTTGCTGGAGATCAAGTAGAGAACGACAACGCTGCCGTCCACCGTTGATTTATACGTGCTTTGGAGATTGAATTCAAAGCTTGTGGGTATAATTGTATGGGTGCGATTGCCACGGGACATGCATTGAGCTCGTGTCCATGCTGTACGAATACGATATTCTCCTTCTCAGCTTTACTCGCCTTGAAATCCCAGACTCCTATTTGCATGCATCACCACACCAACTTCCATGACGGACACGGGTCTCCCTTCATTTTGACGTGCAGTCCACGTTCGCAGCTTGTTGAGAATACAACCAAGCTGCCCACCATCATGACCTGCGCGCGTAAACACAACAAATTGCCGTCAGACTTGACATCGCAGACGTGCACGCGGCTCTCGTAGCTTGGTTCCGACGCAGCCGTGACCGCTCATGGCCTTGTGGCGTTGTTGGCGTCAACGACAGTTCGCGAATGTGAAGCATGCTTGAAAACCGGACAAATGGCGCTTTTTGATTGCAGGGTTATCCGGATTTCCCGGATAACCATCACCTGACTACCAATTTAGCAAAGCATGCAGGCGGTCGATGCGGGACAGCCAGGTGGAATGTCGGGCCGAACAAAGTTATGGGCGTCGTTTCTGGGCTTTTGGATGGTTGCGATGAATTTACGTGACACAGATCTAACGCGTGGCGTGTTGTGCAGGTGGCAGGGCTGTGTCGCATGTGGTACATGGCAGGATTCTTTGACGTGCAAGACACTGCCGCGTCTGCAGTGCACAAAGAGTTGCGTGTGGCCTCCGACACGATGACGTTCATCGTGTACAGCTCGATGTGGGAGGAAGGAAACTACCCCGCGCGAATGGAAGCGATCGAAAACACGTGGGCGTCGCATCTGTCGCATTGGTTTGCCGTCCAGACCAAGAACCCTGCATATCACATCGCACCATCGAAGCGATCGAAAATGACGCTGCTCGTGCCTCCAGCGAGAGAGATGGAGACCCCGATTCAGTACGCGCTTGAAGCAGTGTACAACGACCAACACCAGTACAACTGGATTTACCTCGCCGCGGATTCGTCGTACGTCCTCCCGTCCAACTTGGTGCATCTGGTCCAAGGGCTCAACCCGAACGAGCCGCATTACTTGGGCCATCCGTTGCAGCTTCCGACGTCAGGTCATTACTCCTGGGCAAAGCTCGACCATCTGATCTTCAACTCGATGGCTGGCATTCTGCTCAGCCGCGCCGCCGTCGACTTGTACTTGGAAGGGATACGTCTTGGGTGCAAGACTCGGTGTGAAGGGTGCGGCGAGGACCTCACGATTGCATTCTGTCTTCGCGAACAAGGCGTCGTCGCTGTCGACACCCGCGACCCGACCCACCATCGCCAGACGTTCCACATCTTCCAGCCAGGCAGCCTCGTCGGCAACCAACGGGTCAATGGGACGTTCGACTACACCCCCGAGAACTGCGAGTGGTTTCAACTGTACTCGTTGTGGCCCATCCAGATGAACTTGGATTGTTGCAGCACGTACTCGACCATGTTTCAGTACACAAACGCCGACGAAATCTACGCCATTCACAGCATGTTGTTCGACATCAAGCCGTACGTGCCAACAACGTCCGATGTGGCGGACAGCCAGCTCGTCGACTTGATCCTGGAGCACGGGAAGGACCTCGACCAGATCTTTCCGTCGTACGTCCACCCAGCGTATTGGAAAGTTCGCAAGCTCCTCCTGCAACAAGTCCAACTTTTTCGCATGGGCCAGCGGTTGGACGAACGAGACGGCGCGACCGTGGTCCAGGTGCGCCCGATCAGCGACGAAGCCAAAGCGGCCGCGGGAACTTTGGGCGGCGTCGTCAAGCACAAAGCAGGGGAGAACACTGAGGCAGCTACCACTACGATCGTCGCCATTTGAGTGCTATCCCCTGCAGCTCGTGTCTGTCCGTTGTAGAGATAATCGCAGACACCCTCCATCATCGAGTTCTCCCTCGAACAATTTGTTGCCTCAAGCGGGATCCACTCCTGCAACTGCCGTCCCCACGAATTTACGACGTGAAGATACAATCCGCCATGGAACTTGCCGATATCCCTTAGCTTGTGCCGTCGAGTTAGTTGCAAACGGGTACGGCGTTCTCAAGTAGCAAGTGCCTTTGACAACGCTGGCCAGTCGAGCACCCACGCATCCTCGGCCACGTCGGTTTTGTGCACGAGCTTGGCTCGCAACGCCACAAGTGTCGACCCCGTCGAGTCGAAGACCGCTGTCCACTCGACTCTGCCCATCTCGGACATGTCACGGAGCGGCAATTGCGACGGCAACTTTTCGACGGCGTCCGATTGGGTCTGGCCATGCAGACGGCGGACGCGACCAAGCTGACTGCGCCACAGTCGGACACTCCGACCCGTGATCGCGTATGACGACGTCGTGCCGCCATTGTAGCAGTGCTCGACGACAAACAATGTCAAGGGGTCGTTGGTGGACGGGTCGGTCGGCGGACATCGAGTGACCTGATGCATGTTCATGAGATGTCAACTTGTTTTGACGTCAGCACCTTGGCATACGACCTCGACAAGTCGTCGACGTGATCGAGCGAAAGGAAGAACCAGTCTGTCGCTGGGTCACGCGACGGCAGTGGCGACAGCGGCGCGTTCTGGAAGGCCACGTCGACGCTGGTCACTTGACCGATGGCGTTTTCAAATGTGTACCGGAGGATTGCCGGGTGCACCAGCAGCCTCGTCAAATACGCCCTGCATCGTCCGCATGAGCACACAGCCCACGACATATACGACGTCTTTCTCACCGATTTCCCCACTGCCCTTGCTTGGTTGGAGCTGGGAATCGCGCGGCGACTTGCACCTTGTCCACGCCACCTTGGGGAATTTGATACGTCACGACGTCGTTGGACTGTCCATTGAGTTGGACGGCATCGGCTCGAATCCACGTCTGGCCGCGGTCGAGGCTTAGCTGTGCGCCAACCTCGACAAGCGTGTACGCCACAATGCTGTTGCTGGGGGCAGACGACGCTAGAGCAGCTGCAGCCGCAGCACTCGAAGCATGAGTCGCCGTGGCGGTCAGCAGGCGTTCTGCATCGTCAACGCTGATCGTGTGGTCTCGCACCATGGTCAAGATCAGGTTTCGTTCGTCAGCCAAAAGTGATAGTGCCGACGTCGAAGTAGTCGTCGAGGACGGCATAGTCGTTACTTGACCTGACGACGGCGGCGGGAGCGCAGACGTGTCGACAAAGAGAAAGTGCGCCACGAACATGTCATGCCTATGCGTTGAACAAGCGTCCATGCGTGAGGGATGGAAGGAAGCGCTTCACGATGCTGGTTGGCGACTTCCAGTGGTTGGCGCGCGGTGCCATGGCGACGTCGAAGAGGTGTCTTACCTAAACGGGCGAGAGTCGCCATTGGCCTCCACGGGTTTCATCAGCTTGACACGCAATGGCAAGTCTCCCGACGACTGAAATGTTGGCAAGACTTTGACCGTGTCTGAAATGAACCATGTTCCAAGTTAGTGTCGTCGGACTATTCGCGATAGAAGGGTGCGCACCGAAGAGCTCAGGGGGAATTGGACGATACGAGCGAATGGCTGGAGGCAGGGGCCAGGACGACGCAGCCACGTCGTAGAGATCGGCGAAGTTGCGAGTGGTGTCGAAGACAGTCTCAGTTAACCGTGGAGCATCCACAGTGTCCCCAAACACGTGTAGCACCTAATGGAATATTTGTACACCATGGTAAATAGAACGCGAACGTCGAACCTTGATATTGGGGGTCGGACTCGTCGGGGTCTGCACAGACAATCGGAATATCGTGCCGTTGGAAGCGCGCGTTGGCGCCGTTGTGACCTTGATGGACCAAGACAGTCCGTCTGCCGTGACGGCCTTGTTCCATGCGTCGTTGAGCAGCGTGGTCCTGTTCGTTGCTTCGAGGACGACGAGGTCATCGTCTTGGCAGCGTTGGAGGAGGATGACTTTCAAGTCGATTGTCACGTTGCCTTGTGTCGCCCATGCAACGACAGTTTCTTCGTCTCGCAGGATACCTATATGCCCAGCCAACGTCGACCCGATGTCAGCGCCGTCGGCTTTGGCAACCGTCACGTCTTCCTGCTGGACGAGAATCCACGTGTCCGCCCCTTGAAGAAGCGTTCGGTAGTGCCCAAGACGATTGATGTACGGGTATCGGTCGTGGTGAGCCTTGGCATGGGACCCTTTCGTGCATCCACTCGAAGGAAACGGTGTGTATGAAGTCTGGCTCTGGCCGCAGCAAGGTAGCTCGCATGACCACGAGTGATACACGTACGAGATGGCAGGATGGTAGTTGCACGAACCAGACACATTATCCTTCTCGGCGAAGTCAGCGCCACATTGGACGCATTGATGGATCGCGTCGGCGTCAGCTGCACTGTCGTCGATCGTGCTGACGATTGCCATGACTTGTTCCAATGTGACCTTTTGAACACAATCTGGATAATTTATCCGGTATTAGATGGTGATCCGGATAATTTGCGAGTTGAGGTATGTATCCGGATATCCTTGCTCGGTTTCGCGCGGGCGGGAGTTGAAAATGGACGTGGGAGACGACGTCGATGACGAATGGGTGTGGCCGAATGAGCTCATGGAAGCGCGACTGATGGAAGGCATCCTGCGTTGCCAAGTGTGTGGTGAATTCCTTAGCGGCCCCGTGATCCTCCAGGGATGTCGACACACGTTTTGCTCTGAGTGCGTGCGCAAGCATTTGTTGGCCAAAGGAACGAACGCATCTTGTCCCGAATGCAAATGCGCCTGCTCATCGAGCGACTTGATCCCGAATCGTCCTTTGGAACAGCTCGTCGGGCTCTTTCGTGCACTCAAACCTAAAGTTCTTCATTTGTCGTCCTCTCCATCGTCTGATGGCGGAGCGACACGGTTAGCCGCGTTCACCACTGCAGTCAATACATCCGCTGCGCCCACATCACTCACATCCGATATCACGACACGGCTACCCACGATTTCGTACAACGTCATGAAGGACAGTCAAATTCGACAGCTCATGGACAAGGTTGGGCTTCAAGCCATCCTTCCAACATCCAAAGACAACATGATCACGTGCCACAAAGAGGTAAGTTCACTTGATGTGAACACTACGACCTCAAGTCTAAGTTAGTACACGATGCTCTGGAATGCACAACTCGACACGATGAACCCGAAGACGGCAAGTCAAGTACGCGCCGAAGTCATCGCGAAGTTTCGACAGCGTCAGCAGGAGAAGGCCGTGATGGCGTCTACCAGGCGGTCCTTGGGACTTCGTCCCGACGACCCCATCGAAAAAGCCATCACAAAGACGTCTGTACTGAACGACAACTTTCGAAAGCTTGCCGACCAAGCCAGGGCCCAGAGAGGCAACCCTTCCCAACCTCAGCCAGCTGCCTCTCCAGCCAAAATGTCAAGCAAACCACATGCTGCGCCGTCACCCGTACATGCTGTGAATATGCAAGACGAGGCGAAGGTAGCAAGCAATGTCATGGCGAATGGAGATTTACGTTTTCTGCCGCGAGAAGCACCGGCTGCAATGCCAATGGCTGCACTGGATGGGACCTGGCGTCACTTGCATTCCACCACTCTAGACAAATCCATCTATATCCACAGTGGCAGTGCTCAAGTCACTGACGTCCCTCCATCGCCGTTCGCAAAACCTCCACCCCTGGCGCCCGCCAAGCGGCATGTTGAAACTTCCACGACATGGACGTGCGCGCGGTGCACCCTTGAGAACGAGCCCCACGTCGAGAAATGCGAGGTTTGCGGCGCTCCCACGACCAAGCCCACGCGGCCGAAGCGGTCAAGACAGAGCAAGCTGTCGTTATAGCGGAAGCCGTGTCAAGATGTTGACGTGTTGAATTAAATCGCTTTGGTCAAGTCTATAATCAATCCAAGTGAACTTTGATTTCCACAAAATATTAGATCGCACCGGTTCGTACATCGCACATTCGTGACCGTACATTGTCGGCGTTATCCGGATGCGCGCCACTTTATGCGGATTCTTGGACTTTGGCGCCACAGTTTGAAGAAGCCGACACGCGATGGCCGACCCGACGGACACGTTATTCGAGCGAGAAGATGACGAAGGAGATTATGGAGACGAATCGAATGCCCACCGTGACAGAGCGAGAAGCTTGGAAGACCTTGACCTGTCTGGTGACGAGATGTCGGACTTGCAAAAAGACGGAGCTGATGCTTCGGCGAAACGGACCCTTGACCCCGACATGTTGAACGAGTTGTTGCTTGTGTGCTCAAACCTTGGTATGATGACTGAGACAGAAGACGGCGGTACCATGTTCACCCGCGGGGAAGACTGCGAAGAATGGGTGCACGATTTGCAGCGCGCAATTCGACGAGACCATGCGACGTATCGTCTTGTCGGCAAGACCCTTGGACGATGGAAAATCTTGCAGAAGAAGCTGCTTCCTTTGCTGATCAACCATCAAAACGACTGGTGGGCTTCTCATGTCAATTCCATCTATGACAGCCGACCTGCCTTCTGTAGGTCGTTGGTGTTTTCCATCTTGAAGGTGCTTGTCATGTTGACCATGAAGCCTACGAACGAGTCCGACAACATTGCACTTCAACTCAACTATTTGCGCGGGTACAAGTACGCATTCCTTCAGCACGGCGTGATCCAGGTGTTGATGGCGATCCTGGTGGAACCTTTGTCCCGTGAAGGCTCGTCTCGCACCTCCCAGGTACCCTCACAACATTCCACCGCCTGGGCTCACGATTTCGACCAGGACTACTTGAATATGGAGCTCGTTCTGACGCTGTTCCGCAATCTACTGGCAATTCCAAACGAAGACACCCGTCTCGTCACGTCTGCCACCAACCACTTGGCTCGCCTGCAGGAGGACCTCATCTGCATCTTACACGACGAAAACGTCTTCGATATGCTGCTGCTCTTTGCCGAGGTTGGCCAGCTACCCACTACACTCGATATATGACGTTTCTCAATCTGTGTTCCACTGCTTTTTTGCGTTCTTGTGTCCGTCCTGTACGTTTTCGCTATGAACTATTCTGGCCGGTTGATGGCGAAATCTACTCTAGTATTCACTCGGTGTCCATGGCGGTGCGCTTCCCTTCCTTCTAGCACTCCAATGACGATGAGTGCTTGACAGCGAGTCCGTGGATTATTCTAGGACATTGAAGCAGCAGAGAACAGAGAGTGGAATCTGCTCGTGATGGAAATGCTCGACTTGGTGCTTCAAACAACATCTCCCAAGCAGCTCGTGGCATCCATTTTGGCGCCAAATCAATCGTCTGGAATCGACAATGCTCCTGCCACCAAGAGTACTCCCCCCGCTGCTCTTGCCGCAACTTCTACATCATCTGGCACCGCCGCATCGTCGTCGTCGTCTCTGCTGTCAAAGCTCAATCAAGAACAAAAGAACCAAACGAAGTCGTACCACCGCCATTCCAACTTTGGCGGCATGCTTGTTCTAAATGGCGTCATGGGTCGCAAAACTGTCGTCACAGACTTTAGCAAAACTGGCGACCAAGTGATCCCACAGGCCCAGCGGAAGCCGCAGCAGCGCAGCCGACGGAGCAAAGGGCACGGCATGAACGACATCAGTGAAGTGTTTGGGTCGAACGTCTCGTCCGCCGTCGACGGCAAGTATGTTCACCAGAAGCCGCGAAGCGATACCTTACCATGATGATGGGCTCAAGCAGTCTTCTGTAGGCTGGGCACGACCCTTCGCCACATTTGCGACACGTTGCTGAGCAAGAGCTACACGTCACTAACGACGTCACTCAAGAACGAGTTCCGCCGAGGGAGCGCCAAGTTGTTACCGAACGATCGCTTGCTGTACTTTCACTTGATCTGGTTCTTGACGGCATATCACCGGGCCAAGGGACCGCACTTGAAGAAACTGCAAAGCCAACTCAACCAAGAGTATGAAGCAAGGACGGCGGCAAATGTTCGCACAAACGGCGTGGAAGTGTCGTTGGCCATCGAAGCGCCGCCGTCTCTCGTCGCGACCTACGACCAAAAAGCGATTCTGTCGACGCTGGATATGTTTTCGTTCAATTTCGTGCTTCAATCGATTGAGGTACGTAAATGGGAACTGCCGTGCTACAGGCTCATGTATACTATTGCTACGTAGAGCTATGCTGAGGTGAAGAACCACCACGGCATGATGTTATCGGTCAAGCTACTCGCGGAAATGATAGCGATGCTGGTTGGTGCCCCATCCCATAGACCAGACTCGCACACGACGCCTGACTTGATGCATGCAGACTGACCTGGGCACCAGCGAAGACATTCGACTCCAGCGGATCGGCCATTCCCTGCAGCACAAACTGTTTTACGAACGCGACTTTTTGGGTACGTTCGATGCCCGTCCAAGTGTTTGTCTGGTTTGCTCCATTCGCAAAATGGCTCATCCGTCGTGGGGACACGATGGAATCACGTTTGGTGCATTCTAGACCGGCTGCCGGTGCTTATCAAGTCGTGGATTCCGACCGTGTTTTCCTTTGAATTCGCAACAAACGTCGTCACGCTGACCCATGTACAAATGCCAAAGGAATTTCAGATCGTTGCTCAACACGTTTTGAGTGTGTAGTTAGTGCTCAAGATGCTGGAATCGCAGGGCGACCGCTTGAAAGTCCTTCAAAAACGTCGTCGCGTCCAAGCCAAGTACGACAGGCCAACACGTTGTCCTTTAAGGTGGGCATGTTCATGCCGATAGGAAAAGCAACAAGACCAAGGACGATGAAGAGTCGGAGGAAGAGACCGACCGCCTGATTGAACAAGAGATGCGTCGAAAGGAAGTGCAGTTTGACTCGAAAAAGTACTTTGGGTCCATGGTTACCCACGAAAGCGTGCGATTGTATTGCTATGTCCTGCAGCGGTACAAGACCAACTCGCCCAAAGTCAACCATTACGTGTACGCGTTCTTTTATCGCATTCAACAATTCCACGTACGTTGCTGTGCTAACGTGGGTGTGCACACTGCGAGCGGTTGCTGGTTGCGTGCGAGGTGTTTGATGCTTCACGATCTGTCATCGAAAACGAATGCATCGACTGGATTCAACCATTTTGTCCCGTTGATCGTTGTGTCGTTCGTTGTGTGCGAGAGTGGCTAGCGTGCCGCGGGCCTACTTTTTGCCTAGGCGATCGAAGACGGCACGATGGAACCGATGCTGTACAACATTCACGTGTTGCTTGTCTTCAACAAGATGCTCCAAGACACTGCCGCAACGTCCCGCGCAGAATTCCGTCCATTCGTTGACTTTATCAAGTAATGACTCGCGCTGACTACGTTGGGTCCTATCTCGCTTCTAGGCTGATCATTCGCAATTTCTTTTCGCTGGCTGAGACCAACCACTTGGTGTTTGTCGAGTCCCTCGTGCGGCACCCGTTCGCTCCTCGGACGTGTGCGCAGATCCAAAACAAGTACACGTCGTTGGCGATGGGGAGTAAGGACGCCGTGGCAATCCACCCATCGAGTCCGTCCGCCGAACCCGTCCGCCGGTACATTCCCCGCGAGTATGACATGGACGGCGAGGCAGAATTCGACGGCACGATGTCGTTTGGGGTAGCGAAACCTGCCGACGCCCCATCGAGCAACAAACCGAGAAAGAAACGTGACAATACGAAGAAGTGGACGAAAATCGAAGACCGGTACCTTGCTAAAATGTTCGCCAAGTACCGCCACCTGCCGTCCGTGTTTGAAGTTATTTCGTACGAAGACATGTTTCAAGATCGCGACCGGACTCCGGACCAGATCGAGCGCCGGGTCAAGAGCCTCAAACTGCACAAACAAAAGGACTACGACTTTTCCACTGACGACGATGACGAGATCGCCAGCAACAGCAAGAAGCCCTGGGACGACTCCACCGACGACGACGATAACGCAAAGACTTCGACGAGTCCGACGGTTCCGAACGAGCTTCCGCGACGAGTTGGCAGGCGGCGTCGGCTCACCCGCCCGTCCACGAAGGAAGACAGCTCGGACGACGACGGCATGGACTTGTTGGCGCAGTCGTCACCTCGGCAATCAAATTCAAAACCCGAAGACGGGCAAGCGTCGCCACAGCAACACGACTCGGCAGCATCCCCGTCCTCGTCCCCGCCGCAAACGAAGACACCTCGGCTCGTCCGACCCGCCAAAAACGACGACTCTGACGACGATGACCTGGACATGCTGCTGTCACGGGGCAGCAGTTCGACATGGTCACCCGAACAAACCAAACGGCGCCGCGGAGACGCCGACAGTCTGCCAGACTATATCGTGGCCTCCAAGCGCACCCGGCACGACGACGAAAGCCGCGTGGCGGACGAAGCTCAGCAGAGCGAAGTGCGCGGCGTGATCGAGCAGAGCGAAGACTTTTCGTTCGAGCAGAGCGTCGACATGTAGTCGTCATGCATAAGTTGTTCCATCCGAGATTTGTTTCGAAACCGTCGTCTAAGTTTAGCTCCCCGCGCGGGCGTCCTCGCCGCCGACCTTGTCTCGGTCGCGCAACGTACTTCGCCATGAGCTGTGACAACAACGACGACGACGAGGGCCTGGAGCTTCTCCAGCGCGCCCGCCTGCTTGTTCAAGCAGCGACCAACTTACCCGACTTCAGCACCCTCTTCAAAAAGCAGCCCGCCAGCCCCCACGACGACAACCCGTCCGCCGCCGCCACCGCGTTGCCGTCGAAAACGACGCAAGCACCGTCCACCACGATCGACAACATGCCAATCCACACACACAACACGTATGGCGCCGAATCAACGCCACTTGGCGCTGATCTCGTCATGCGTACCCGACGGGGGCTGGCGCCGAAACGACCGCCTTTCAAACCGTCTGCAACGTACGTCCATGCAGTGTATTGGTGTCGTCGTCTTTGCGGTCGCGGCGTGGGAATGCTGTGTGTGTGCTGCCTGTGGCATGACCAGTGCGTTTTGAAAAGCGACCGCTGTCTTGAGCGCACGCCACCGCGCAGTGTCCATCCACGAGGCTGTGCATGACTTGGCCGTGTTCGACGTGATGAAAACGCCCATGTAGACAACAAAACCAGGAAGAGTCGACGCCGCACGAGCCGTGCAAGCAAGCAACGCAGGCGTCACCGTCCAACGCGAGCGGGCCGAAGAAGGCCAAGAAAGCAAAGCCAAAGACCGACGCATCGAACGACGGGAGCGACGTGGACGACGCCGACCGGCGCGCAGCCCAAGCTCTTGCGCAAAAGTACGCACAAGAGCGAGCGGCCGCACGCGTCGCGGCCAAACTCCGCGAACAGATGGCCGCGGCCGAGAAGGAAGCGCAGTCGCAAGCCGCGTGCGTCCACGAGTTTTACGAAACGTTGGAGGAAAAGGAGCACCGCCTGAAAATCGATCGGAGTCGAGCCAAAGACCGCATTGTCAAGGCGAAGCAAGCCAAAGAAGAGCTCGACGCAAAGCACGCGGACGGAGCGGAGCCTGCGCACGCAGGTCCCGAGCAGCTTGAGAAATTTCAAAAACAGACCAAAGAACGTTTGCTCAAGTACAATCGAACTCTCTCTCTGCTCGAGATCGCGCCCGAACCATCCGTTCAAACGGATGGAATGCTGTCTGTAGGGCGAAAGAAGCGAAGCGGCAGGCTGAGCTCCTGCGACAAGCGCAAGAGCGACAACAAGAAGAAATGAAGGCCAAGCACTTGGCGGACGAAGCGGCGTCGGCCGACGACGCCAAACGCCGCGCAGACCAAGTGCGACGCGAAACAAAGCGGCGATTGAAGGCAATACAGGCTCACAAGGACAAACTTGAACGGTACGACGGACGACTTGCGCCAAGTGGCCATTCAAACAAGCACAGAATGGAACTCGAGCTGCGGCAGCAAGGCCTGGACAAGTACAAACACCACAAAGACGAGATGGAGTGGGTCGCCAAAGGCGGCGCGCCCTTCGCGTCGCCGTCGGTATCAAAGCACGCGAGTAAAACAAACCAGTCGCCCGCCGCCCTTGTGCACACGCCCGACAGCTCCGTGAATACAGGAGATTCGCCTGCACACGTTGACGACGCTCCTGCAACGTTGAGGCGGCCGTCGGAGAATGACACAACTATAGAGCTCTCCCACGGTACGCAACGGCCTCGGCAGGGTCCGCGTTGTTTATGGGTAGCTCCACAGGCGAGCTTGAAGAAGAGATTGCAAGAAAAGGAGTCGAGAACACCATTGTCATCGTCGCAGCGGACGACAACGACGGTGTTGGTCGACAGGGCAAGGTTGACTTGCCGCCGTTAGTCGTCCAATTCGCTGAACCCGCAGCCGATCCGTTGAAGCGAGTCGTGAAGAAGAAGGCGCTGTGGAAGCGTCCTCCCGTGCCGATTCCCACCGTCGACGAGATCGCACACCGGTCCAAGCACGCGATGGTATCGCCGCACCCCTCGTACATCACCCCATGCCAATGTTCCATGGATGCGTAGCCCGCCGTGGCGCCAGCCATTCCCTCCCGGCACGTCTCGTACACAGACCGGATGAAAAGTCGGTCTGCCCCGAGCAGTTTGAATTCCCAGGCCGAGCGACTCGTCAGCGCCACGCGCGAGCGCGCCAAGTACACTTGGATGCATCGAGATGTCTTGCCAACGTCGTGCGTAGGCAGATGGACAAGGCGTCGTCCGCACACGGTTGAGAAGTTGTGTCGATTTAAACGGTTGAAACTGGTTTTTGCAATTCTCGAGCAATATTCGTCTCCATAAATCAAATTGAATTCCAAAGTCCAGCAATAATATCGTTAAATGTACAATTTTGGAGTATATCTCGAATAAACGGAATGTGATAGGCCGACCTCGCCGCAGGAGGGCCCGCGACGCCGTCGCGAGCTCTTGTGCTCCCTCGTACGCGCATCACGCGGGGGTGTAATTGAGGTTGGTATTCGAGTTTCACGTTTTAAATCGTACAGTAAGATGTGGGGTTGACGCAGGCTTTGCACCTACATCGCGTCGACACAGACGGACCACGTGCCCGCTTCGCGCGGGTTGTCGCGCATGCAGCAGAAACACCGACAAAGCACGCGCACACAGCAGAGACACCACCACAGTCGAGCCAGATGGCGACGTATCGAGGGGACGGTCTGGCACGCCGTTGGGACGGGCACAGCGCACGAAGAGTTTGCCTTCGACCCGGACCCAGTGGCTCGATCCAGTCTGTTTCCTGTCGGGTTGGAAGGCCAGAGGGCGTACGCGCCGTGATTGGAGTATGTTCGACCTGCACTTCTCATGCGAAATATTCGGTCGTGTGACACGAACCGACCGACGCCACTTCACCATCCATCTCCATCTTCCACATCGATGCATCACCGGCGCGACTCGGTGCGGCGGTGTGTGTGTGTGTTTTGCTGCACGGGCTGCCGCCGCACCCCCCAGCGCTCCATCAACCGCGGCGATGCTGTCGGAAGCAGCCATGGAGTCTGCCCGTTACGCACCCGAGGCAAAGCCCAAGCGAATCTGGAAAGTCGTACCATGGCGTCCACCCACATGTTTGGACGTAAAGCATAGAACCAACTATGTCGCTGCTAGCCCACGTCCAGCGCCAGCCCCCAGCAGACTCAAGGCGGGATGGCCGCCCGCGTCGGTCGCGCTTTCCCTTGGTCGAATGGCCGACTAGCGCTCGGGGTGTAGTGCCTCTGTACGATTCGATACAACGCACACATTCACTGCATAAAGCACTAGCATGGTTATACTCTGTCGTCCAAATGAAAAACCCACGTTAAAGTGTTTGCTGCCCACCAACGTGCGTGCTCGTCCAGTCATGTCTCTCCACGTCGGCACATTAAACGTGTTTAAACCTATCAACGCGTCGGCGTTAATCGCTCCAATTGAACTGGATGGATTTGTTGCATACAGGAACTCGCCGCCACGACGGGTCGTGGCCATCGCACGCAAAGACGTCGCGACTGTCGTCCGTCGTCAAGCGCGGAAGCAACGCATGGCAAGCACGCGATTCAACTCGAACGCAGCGATCGCATGCACTCCTTGGTCCGCACGTTGTCGCACGGCCCCCGTCGGACGTCCCCACGTTCTGATACGTTTTGTATCCAGAACGGTGCACTGTACGTACCTCTACGGTACAACGGAAGGGGGATCGTGGAATTGCGTTAGACGAGGGGAATCAATGTCGCGCATGGTAACGGGAAACGTATGCGGCGAGCTGCGTGCGCCTCACCCAGCGCTAGCCCGCTTCAATCATGCTGAAACACGACGTGCACTACCGTGACGTGTTTTCGCTGGTCAAAGGTGCGAGATGCATCTTGATGCTGGACGTTCACGTATCTAATGGAATTCCTCGGCTTCCAAAATTTCAGATGCGGATTCGACGCATGCCATTTTGGATATAAACTGAACAGCGAGCGCTATGGAACCTCCGTACGAACGCGGCGCGGACGCGCCGACCGCCGCAGACTCGACGGTGACCCTGTGCTTCTTCAACGGGTGCTCGCAGCCCGCGCGCCCTGGCTCTGTCAAATGCGCTTTTCATCGCAAGAAAGGAACGTGTGTCGGGCCTGCTTGTCGCAACCAAGTGTACGCCCGTGGCCGATGCGTGCTGCATGGAGCCCGGAAACCGTGCACGTACCCCGACGGATGCGACGGATTTGCTCGAAGTCGAGGGCTGTGCAGTCGTCACAGCCGAGGAGGACAACCTAACCACTCGGACGATGTCTCGAACGCCCCCGACCGGTCCAGCAGCATGCACAAGAGTGGCAACTACATCCGGCACCGCCAACCCCACCATCCATATTTTGCCAGCCCCCAGCAACGCGGCGCGCTCTCGCCAGCGAAGATGCTGCTCGAAGTGGATCCGAAGGCGCGGTCTTGCCTGGATGGCCTATTGCAACTCAACCAACACCATCATGACCAAGACCACGTTTACTCCACCATGCATCAGATGAACCCGAGCCCGAGGACGTTGCCGCCGCTGCTCCCTTCCCGGGCGGCACCCTGCACATACACGAACCCAACCAGCCTGCCGACGCTGCCTTCCATCCGCTCATGGTTGAACCATCCTCCATGCATAATGTATTAGCTTGCTCCGAATGGACTGCCTGGTCGTGTCAATGCGAGAAGTTTTCGTGCACATCTCTTAGGTGCCCCCGCTGTTACGTTCCCACACACCTAGGTGCAGCCCGTACACCCCACCGACACGTGGCCCGAGCACACTTGGCGACACAAGCAACGAGCGCTTGCCCCGACGTCATCCTCCCCGACGAGACATGTGCGAACGCAGGTCGGGCTAACTCAGGTCGACAGGATGCAGCTGATTCTTGGTAGATCGAACAACGGAGGCGGCACTCCCCATCGCCGCGGGAGGACTCCACAGAGGAGAAAGCGGTCAGGACACATGCTGCGGCGCTTCATCTCACCTCGGCCGTCGCGTGCCGCAAGGAGTCGTTGCTGGACTTGTCAATCCGCCGCAAGCGCGGTCGAAGTCGTCCGGTAGGTGAGTAATGGCCGGACTAGCCAAATTCCATGAGATCGACGAGGTGTCCAGCCACATGCTGCGCTGTCGTATGGTCGATTGACCCCGTTCGTGTGCTTGTCCCGCTGGGCAGCAACAGGAGCAATGCACGAGCACACTGGAGCAACTTGCAACCGTGTAATGTGTGGCATCGCTACCTCTGTTGGTTGCTGCAGCCGCCGTTGCCGTTAATGCGTTTGTGTGGCAGCGAACGGAAACGACGACGCCATTGGGCATGTAGGGCCTGTGACATTCGCCGCGAACCTTCCGAGCGAACGCCGTTCGAGCTTGGACTGGTCGCATCTGTCTTGGCAAGGTGCAGCCGACAGCATGTCTCTCACGCCTGTGGCGATGGCGCGGTGCGTGCTGCGCGCTTTATACTTGCCGTGGCGCCTCATCTCTTTTCGGAGGGTGTCGACCGATGTGCAGATGCAGAATCCATCTTCATTGGCTAAAAAAAGGAAAAACATCGGATTATGAACCAATGGTTGCATTTCTCAGCGCCTGGTGAAACCGTTGAAGTGGTTTCCGCAATTGCGATTTAGCCGATGGAAGCGCATCCTCGCGCGGCGCCGACGGCGTATCTCAATTTGGCCGAGTTTCAGCGCGGTGGAGAGTGGGCGGAAACGAAGACACCGCCGCCATCCAACGCGTCGTCGTCGCCGTTGTCTCTCTCGAGCTCTACCGCGTCGCGCTTACCTTTCCTTCGAATTGCATCGCATGGTGATCATCGCCGAACATATCACAAGGTGCTTGTCTTTCTCTTCATCCTATTGCTGGGCATTGTTGGAGGGCCGATGAACTACGCTTCCAAACGGTACTCCCTTTCGATCTCGCACCAAGTCGTAATGGAAAGTCTCTAGAGCCGTGAATGCGCTGCTCGACGTTCGGCACTCTCTTGCCACATCCACGTCGTCGGTCGCATGGAACGACGTTCTGTGGACAGTCTACTCTGTAACTCTTCTTTTCCTTGCGATCTTGTGGACCAAGTTGTCTCCTTCCGCCATCGGTATCCATCGGCGTGCAATTGTTTGTCCTCACCGACCCCTCTGTAGGTTCTGGCGTTTCCCAAATGAAGGTTGTGCTCACAGGAGTCGACCCAAACTTGTACCTTCCGGGCTACTTCTCGTTGATGACGTTGGTGGCCAAGCTCGGCGGTCTCATCCTTTGCAATGGGGCGGGGCTCGTTGTTGGGACCGAAGGCGCATGGACTCACCTCATGTCGATCTTGACCCACCAACTGCTTCGCCTTCCGATCTTTGCATCGCTTCAAACCAAGCCGTCCACGCGACTGCAGCTCCTCGCAGCTGCATCCGCCGTCGCTGTCTCGTCCACGTTCGCATCCCCCCTCGGCGGCGTTCTCTTCTCCATCGAAGTCACCGCAACGTACTACCTCATTTCAAACTACATGAAGGCCTTCCTCGGGGCCGTCGGCGCGGCAATTGTGGTGCAGGTCACTACAACGATCGTCCAAGACGACGTGGCGGCATCCGCATACCCCACCGACTTTCCTCACTCGCTCGTCCACATTGTGAATCTCCCGCTCGCGCTCCCGTTGGGTCCGTGTTGTAGCCTGTATGGCCCAAAGTATTTACCAGTCTTTTTCGTGCTAGGTGTGTTGCTCGGATTGCTTTCGTCGTTGCTCATCCGCCTGGTGCGCTTGCTCTCCGACAAGCGCACCGCGTGGCGCAACTCGTCGTCTCCACTCGTGCGCGTGTTTGTCACGTGGGTCGATCCATTTTGCGTGGTTGTCCTGACGTCCGTCGTGACGTTCTCGCCGTCAGCGTACGTCTCGCCGGCCGACCTTCCCCGCTATTACTTTTCCACAACAAACGCGACGGCGACCCCCGTCTCGCGCGCTCTCATGGACGGCCTCCTGCCACTGGCGCTCCTTCCTCTCGCCATCACACTGGCCGTCCCGAGCGGCGTCGGTCTCCCCACGTTTGCCATGGGCGCCGCCCTTGGCCGACTCTACGGCGACCTCCTCGTCCACATGTTTCCCGATCTACACGTCCTTCCCCAAGCGTACGCTCTCATGGGGGCGGCGTGCATGACGGGCGGCTCGACGCGAACTGTGTCGACCGCCGTCATTGCGCTCGAGACGACCGCCAGCTTGGCCTTCATGCTACCTGTGTTTGCCGCAACGCTTGTCGCGATCGAAACATCCAAAGCGGTCGTGACCGAATCGATCTACGACGCCACGGTCAACGACCTGCCGTACATGCCGTGCCTCGACTTTTACGCGGACACTACGGCCGACGACATCAAGGAGACTCAAGTGGTGTACGTCACCCGCAAGCCGTCGATCCTGTCGATTCTGGTCGCGCTCAACCGCATGCCTGGCCACGAGATTCCCGTTGTCGAGTCGGAAGGGAACCGCATGCTCCTCGGCCGCATCTCGTCTCGTGCGCTGTGCCGCGTCGTCGCTCGGTACTACGCCGCGGCGGATTTAGGTATGCCGACCGAGTGTGATGGAGTTGCCACAAAGTGGACGTGCGTTGCGAGCCTGTTTCGCATGGCTCGACTCGAAGCAAGTTGCGTGTAGCTCTTCCCAAACTTGAGCATCGTTGACGTAGGTGACTATCGAGCCGACTGCGGCCTGGACGTTGCCCCGGCGGCCGATGCTGCCGTCGGGGACATCGCGACGGCCACCGACAACTCGACGTGGGTTTCGATCAAGTCGGCCGTGACAAGCTTGAATCGCGCGACGACGAGCGACTTTACGAAAAATTCCGTCGATCGACTGTACTACCGCGAGCCAGGCTCGCCGTCGGACGCGCTGGAACGTGGGAATGGCGGGCTTCGCGCCGCCAACATCGTGGCGCTGCTCAGCCAAACGTGGAGTGTGGAGAAGTGCGAACTGCTTCGACATGGCACGACCAAGCTCCCCGCGTCGGCGGTGCAGGCGCTGCCGATTTCCGTCTCGAGCAACACCCTCCTCGAAGACATTCACATGATATTCCAAATGCTGCGGCTGGACCACTGCTTTGTCACGCACCACGGCGCCCTCGTCGGCGTTGTGACTACGAATGCCGTCATCAGCGCGAGTCGCGGCGACAGAAAACGCAGCAGGCGTTCTTGGTAATCACGGCGATCACGTGTGTATTTAATCGACGGGTGTTCGTTGTTGTCCCCGATCGACTCGATGGACGGCGGCGCACAACCCACGCGAGTGTGCGAACACGAAGATGGAGTGGCTTTTATTTGTGGAGGTGTGTCGAAGACTTGGATGTGCATGGTGCGGCGGCCATCCTGTCGTTCTAGCGAGCCGCCCTCGACACGGTGTGTCTCTGATGGGTGTCCGACGTCCCAAACGACGACGCAATCGCTTTCGATGCAGCACCGGCTAACGGTGGGCACCGACCGTGATGGGGCGGGCGGGTGGCGACGGTGCTGCCTTTCGTCGTTTCTTGAGTGCGTCGGCAAGGCTAGGGTGCATGAGAGCCATCGATTCGACGCGTACGTACCACAGGAGCGGGTTGAACGGTTTGACGACAATGTCTGGGCGCGAGACGGGCTGCAGGCACAGCTTGCGGCATGGGAGCCACTTGTCCGTCATGACGTCGATCGGCGCGCCGAGCTTCATCCCGGCTTTCTTGGTCAGACCGGCGAGGACGCGGCTCGGGATGCCATGGGACACAATGTCGTGGGGGAGTTGCGCCCCGATGCTCTCCATCACGTGGTTATCGAGGACGTTGAACACCATCCGCATGGGCGGGAGGCCGCGATCGTTTTCGCCGCACACGACCCAGTCGTCGCCGTTCCGCGTCAGCGTTCGCAGCGTCTGCTTCCACGCGTTCGTCGCCGGGTCTACCAGTCCGTCGGCATCATCTTCCATGCCATGACACGATCGGTACCATAATTCGACACGCGTTGAAACCGGGCGCGGCCAGTGTCGAGAAACACGCGTTGGTCGCGCTCGCCGTACCGGTCCCGATTCAGCACGGGCGTGTGCCACGTCCCCGCCAGCTCGACTTTGTGCTCCATCGGGCGCGCGCCCGTCCGCTTTTGCTTCCAAACGTACTCGAACGTGTTGTCGCCGTGGAGGACGAGCGTGTACCCGATGCTGGCAATGTCATCGTCGTTCATGAGAAAAGCCGCAACCGAGTTGTCGACGACCGAGTGCGGCGTTGTCAACGGGGTTGGCAACGCTTCCGTGGTCGCGGCGACGTCGTCCGATGTATCGACACCACCGACGGCGCCAGGAGGGACCGCGTTGTCGTCCATGGGGACGCCGTCGCCGGGCGACGGGGGTGGGAAGTGGTCGATGGCAACGGCAGCGTCGTCTTGGACTGAGTCGACGTTGGGTGTGTGCTTCAACCCATCGACAGCAGAATCCACCGACTGGTTGCTGACAGGAGCATCCTCCACGGGGCGAGCAGTTGGCGGACACGACGGACGGGCACTTGGTTGCACGAACGACTTGTCGGCTTCCCACACGTACACTCCAGGGAGGTACACGTAGCCTTTCTTGGAAGCGGACGTGGACGCGGCATTGTTCCAGTTGATTTTCGTGTCGGCCACACGGACAAGGTCCTCAATCGATGCTTCGAGGACACTCTTGATGGACTGCAAGTCCAGCGGCATCGAATGCACGCGTCGTTGTCGTGGGTTTAATGGAGAGTCGATGGAAGGACGCGCACGATGGACGTGCCAGGAACGTCCTGGCGCTGTCGGCACGGAAAGTGGAGCTTGCCGGGGGTGAAACCGCCATTCCACGAAAAATCGCCGCGTGAAACCGCCTTCCTTCATGGCGGACGGCGGTGGCGGGCCGGCATATGTGTTTCACATGGAAGATGCCGATGCCGGCGACGACGACGGTGGCGATGACGATGGCGGCGACATTGCCGGACTTCTCAGCCAAGCTGGAGCCATCACGGACAGCGCGATTGCAAGTGGCATCTTGGTCCCGGACCATCCATGTGCCACAGACAACGTTGCAGGCAGCACACACCAACCAACAGCGGAACTATGTGCTGGCAGCGTCGCCGACACTGCAACGACAGATCGTTTGATTCACGACCACGCGGCATCTCGCCCACAAGACGTTTTGCCGAACGTAGGAAATCCCGACGCTCCTGAACTTGCCGTGGCGATGTTGTCCATGCCAACGGCGGCTTCAGGGGTTGACCTCTCCGCCTTCACTGGAGATGATCGACCTCAGCATGAGATACCCACGCCTCTCGTTAGCCACCCGTCAAGCTCACCTCGTCCACAATCGGCACCTCAAACGGTTGGAGACGTTCCCAGCCCACATAAAGCTGCACCACTCGCCACACAACACGACATGCCCAACAATCTCTGCGAGCCATCCAGCGCGGGTGCGGCGTCCCCGCCGATACTCTCGGGAGTCGCGATATCCGCTTCCGCTCTGCTCCCCACGTCACCGCTGCATGGCCCTGAGCCCCCTCCGCCAGTTCACGGGCGCTCGCCGCATCACCGTCGTCGCCGGGACTCGGGCATCCACACTGTTTGCCCGTCGCGCACTTTTACAGATACCGCGCAGTGCAAAATCGCTTACGTCACTGCCCTCCGGCACTTGGCGAAAACGAAAATGCCCTCGACGGCCATGGAGCAACCTCCCATTTCGTCTGCACCTCCATCCATCATTCTCTCGCATTGGACTGTGGACTCAGCCGTGGATCACTTGGTCAAGCTAGCTCATGACGCCTCCATCGCGCCTCCTTGCACTCCATCTGCCAACGCCCCCATAGGTATATATGCCGTCCATCGCGACCAAGCAAAAGGCTTGACTCGGGGTACACTAGTCGATACTGCTGTCGAGAAACTTGCCAAACCCAAGCCCCGCCACTCGCCCAAACTCGGCGCATATGCCACGGTCGAAGACGCCCGGGAGTGTCGCTTTCGGCCAAAGAAGACCCGCGCCAGCGTCCGTGCGATGAAAAACCCAGCTTGCGGGTACGATTTCGTGACGCGGACGGCCGAGACCGACAGCGCGAACGACTTTATCGGGCGCATGGACGCCGCTGAGCAGAATCGGCAAAAGGTGCGACATGCGGCGGTGGCCATGCATGATGGAAACCATGCGGGTAGCGCTTGGAGTTGATTCGAGGCGAAGAAGCGTACAATGTCCGGCAGGTGGGTGACCAGCCTGCGCGACTTGTATCGGATATGCACTGGCATCTGCCGCGTGATCTGGACTCACTGTACGTGAGCGCAGAACAAGCGGCAGTGCCCCAAGTGTGGCATGGTGCAGTCGTTTGCCGAGTGGCGCGACAAGAAGAAGCGGTGCACGTTTTGTGGAGTCACGTTTGTCCTGCCCAAGGTACTTCGAACCCATGGCCTGTGCTTGATTCTGTGGAAGACCCGCCATCGCATACGGGGCTAACTCACATGGCCCCGACTTTCCCGACATGACCATCCAAGGCGTGGTAGGTATGGAGTGACGTGAGCGACACGTTTCTCGAGCGGATGGAGGAGTGGGGCCGGCACCACGAAGCCAACCAGGTCAAGATACGACAGGCAGTGACGCTCTTGGAGAGGACCCGTGGCACCGTGGCCAAGAGTTCGCGCCAAAAGTTTCTCGAGAAACGACTGGCGTCTCGGCAGCACACGGACGACCCGCTTGCTTTCATCCACGACTTCCTTACGCAAACGCGAAAGCAGCTGCCTGCACGAAGCGGCCAGCGCCGGATCCAAGTACCACCAAATTTTCCAGAGCGACTCATGCAGGCCATTGCCGCGATGGCAGCGGCGCAACCACCCGCTCTTCCCGACAACTCGCGCCACGCTATTTAATTCCAATTTTGAAACGGTCGTGTTGTAACTGTCGTCTTACCGGGACCTACCATGCCATGGCCATGACCGCGATAGAAGCGTCCTCTGAACCGCCAGCCAGTGCCCACACCGAGGAGCACGGGGTTTCCATGGTACCCGTAGAGGCTGGAGCTCAAGATGGGTCCGTGATGGCGGTCACATCGCCAGCCATGTTTGTCCCTGAAGTGCTCGTCGACTGTCACCAACCTCAAGCCACGGACAGTCGCTCGGACAACTCGGCGCCGACGCCATCGTCCGTGTTCGCGCCAGTCGACTTGCTGGATGTGCATAAACCAACAGTGCTCCAGTTCGTCCCAGTCGACTTGACGGGTGACCCGAGGTCGATGGCAGCTCTTGACACGCTCGCGACAACGTCGACAGAAGTTGCGCAGGAGACCGGCATGTCCGTGGAGAACGAATGCCCAGATACGATCGATATACCCAACGGCATCGATAAAGAACCAACTCACAGCGCTCTACAACCGTCGACTTCGGCTGAAAGAGAAGCGGTGCCACGTCGACAAGCCACCGCATCAAGTCTTCACTCGCCAGCGACAAACCGATCGCCAACTCCATTGGCAAGTGAACGAGAGCAGGCAAGCCTCCCGACCGTCCACCACGAAAACTCCTCCTGCAACTTACATGACACATCGCCGTTGAAGTTCGTGCCCGTCGAATTGGTCGAGGTTCGTCGCGCCATGCCAGCAGCCCAAATCCAAACGACAAGCGCGATGCTCGACCGAGTTGGACGGGCGCGAAGCACCCCCACCCACATCACCGAATCGACCATGTCAGGCGATGAAGCGTTGCCTGATATGATGGACGGTGCTGGAGAAGAAGACGATGTCGACAGCCTTGACGACGACGACGATGTCGAAATTGCTGCGATCCTGAAAGAAGCCGCCATGATCACTGACTTGGCGATCCAGGAAGGCAGAATCGAGCCCTTTCGGGGGGATCACTCTGTCATGAATGATGTACAACAAGCCTCGACAGCGATACGGTCCACCTCCTCCCCCACTCTTGGTCCCCACCAGGAGCAGCCAGTAGCAACTACTTTGTTTTCACCAGTTGAACTGCTTTCTCCTACAACTGGAGCGACCGCCATGTTGCACGAGCCATCCGTTGGCACGCCGCCACACGCCCAAGGCTTTCGCATGGATACGGCGGCGCATCGCCCTGGCAGGACGTCTACGTCGACGACGCCGACGTACAGCGATGCCTCCACTCCGTCACCGCCGACTCCCCAACACGACGGAACGAAACGTCGAAAGCGACCCCCCCGGGCGGCAGCGCGAGTGTCCCGGCCAACTACGGACAATATCCAAACCATTTCGACCCTTAAACGGATGGCCAAGCACAATGCCAAGGTGGCGCACATCGTCGTAACGCAAAAACGACCGAAAGCCACCTATCCTACGGCGTCCCCAACTGAAGCATCCAAAGCCCCCCAGACGCCCCCTTCAACTCACTCGTCCACGAAGCGTTCAGGGACTGTGTTTGCCAAGCTCAGCGACGCCCACCATTGCCGATTCTATCCAAAAAAAACCAAAGCCAGTGTCGCCGCGATGCGAAATCCTGCCTGCGGCTACGACTTTGTCCATCGCGGCCACGACGGCGATGACGGGACGGCGGGCAACGATTTTCTCAATCGGATGCAAGTTGCCGAGCAGAACCGGCGCAAGGTAAGCGAGGCACCAGCCATCCGCGCTGCGTTGATCATGGCACGATGGCCATCTCGTAGAAGCTCGAGACGACGCGGGGCGAGGAAGCATATATGCTGCGCCAGGCAAGTGTGTGGTGCCACAACGATTGCTGCTGGCACGCCGTGGCCACGCCGCTCGTTCGACTGATACTCGTTGGTCTAGAGTAAGAAAGAGTGCCCGAAATGCGGCATGGTGCAGTCGTTTGCGGAATGGCGCGACAAGAAGAAGCGGTGCACGTTTTGCGGCGTGCTCTTCGCGCTGCCCAAGGTACTCCTTCTTCTCTCGATTCCATGACCGATTCGGTCGCTCGTACTTGCTGTAACATGGCGGGCTGGCTACAGGCATGGGGCGACATTGGCCATGCGTTCTTCGTCCGCATGGAAGAGGACGCGCAGCAACGGGAGCAACACCGCCACGCGCTGCTGCAGAAAGTGGTCGCGCACGAAACATCCCAAAACGTTGTGGCCACGTCCGCCGTGCAACGTCGGTTCGCCAAGCAGCAGCAGCAGCAGCAGGTCCGAAAGCCACCCAAGACCAAAGCCACTCCCGACGACGCGCCGGCCGCGATCGACTTCGACCCACCTGCATTCGACGCGGCTTTGTCTAACGAACTCGCGAGTTGACAGAGCAGTCGCCCCCATGCATCAGCAGCACCCGCTCCAATCTGTCCACTTGGCACAACATGCACGTTTCTGCTTCCATGAAAGACTGCCGCATGAGTTGATGGCACGACGCCGCGGTTTAGCAGCCGCCCTCGGTGGCTCTCGGGGCTCAAGAACGAGCTCGTGCGGTGGTGGTGTTTACCATCGGCCAAGGGGGGGAGTTTGTATTAAATTAGTGAAACGGAGGCGTCTTTGGTAGGTTGGGTCGGCAGAGAAGGCAGGCGGGGCCGTTGGTGGTTTGGTGGCACGTGGGCTCATTAGTGGGTGGTGCTGCCAGTCGTCGGCTCCAACTCGGCATCCAGAGCTTGCCACAACGACGGCAGGTCCACAGTCGTCGGGTCTCGCACGGTCGGGAGGACGTCTGGCATCGCGCACGCTTCGTAGAGCTTCCAGTACTCAAACCCTTGCAGCATCGTGCCCATTTCCTTGAACAGGAGCGACCGAATCGGCTCTTCGTTTGGCTTGAACACACGATCGCTTCCGTCCGGGGACCGACTCGGCACCGGTAGCTGCTTGTAGTACAAGTGCAGCATGTTGTGCTGGAGACGATACGACGTGAGCAACACGATCGCGGCGAATTTGTAGCTTAGCGCGACTTTTCGCTTGTCTTTGGCCTTGTTAAATAAGCCAGCCGCCGACTCAATGAGCTTGGCCGTCTGCGCCAGCGTCGACGTCGAGTCCTTCGAGTGATGGTTCGCGTTGGTCGAGTCGTTCAGGGCCTTGTACATGGCTTTCAGGTCCGACGCATGCAGTGCCTGCTGCATAAACTTCAACGACGCGCGGAGGTAGCACACGCCATGCGCTGTCAAGTCGGCGCGCCCGATGCGGTCGCCTTCGTGCTTGAGCTTCCGACCTTCTTCTTGCAGCTTGTTCATGTCTCGCCGGACGCGATCCAACTCTTTGTAATCGGCGTTTACAGTGATTTGAAATCTTGCGGGCGGCAGGGCGTCAGCGACGCGCGGCTTCTTTGGCGCGGGCCGCCCGTCCGACGACTCCATGCTCGACTCGATCGAGCTGGTCATCGGAGCAGACCTCTTCACGGGGCTCTTGTCGGCCGGACTCATCGAGTCCGTGACTTCTGTCGAGGACGGCCCGCCGCTGGATGAAGACGACGATGCGCCCTTGCTGTTTGATTGTTTTGACGACGTCAGCGCGGATGTGGTTGGCGGTGTCACGGTCGACGATGATGCTTTTCGCGGAGACGTCATGGCCGCCTGCGGAGGCCCGTTGCCGGCTGTGTCAGAAGGAGTCTGCTTCGCCTGGTGGCTCGAAGGCGCGGCAAGCAGCGGGCGCGTCGACATGGAAGTGGTGGCAGTGGAATCCGAAGGGATGGTCGATGCCGGAGGAGCACTCGCCTTGGAATCGATCTTGGCCTTCTTGGACAAAGGAGACGCCGCAGACGACTCCTTGGACGACTTCTTGCCTCGCTTCTTCTCTTTGTCAGAGGTGGTGTTGGTGAAGGGTCGAGGAACACACCCGACGTCGTCTGGGGACGTGTCGTTGGACGAAGCTTTCTCGGGCGGCGGCGAGTCCGCCACCACAACGCGCTCCACGCGATGTTCGCGAAGAGCTTCTTGGAACGCCGCATGATCTTCGTCCTTGAGGTCCACGTCCGGCTGATCCTCCGTTGCATGGCGAAAGGTGAGGAGACAACGACGCACGTACACGGCCATATGTTTGGAATACGACGTCGGTGGGCGCACCCGCTTGCGCGCGCGGGCGCCAAGGATGGGATATACGGGAGCTGGTGCGACTGGTGTGTCGTCGTCTTCGCTGTCGCTGCCGTCGCTACTACTGCTGCTGCTGCTGCTGCTTCCGCTGCTCACCGACGCGTATCCGTCGGAGTCTTCATCGTTGTCCTGTGTAGAGGTGGAAATAGGCGGCATTCGCAATTGTTTCCCGGGGGGTCCCGAAGGTTGTGGCGCGTCCGAGTCGTCGGCATCACTGTTGTCACTCCCTTCGCTCGCGTTGTCGGAGCCCGCTGCGCCGTACACACCCAGACGACAATGAGTGCGAAATCACGACATCGTCGAGGTAGACCCTACCTTGTCTATGGCTCAGCGCCGCCTCCTTGCTTGCGTAAGCGTACCCCTTCTGAGGAATGTGCATGGATGATGTCGCGCTGTCCCTCGCTCCTTGTCGACGACGAGGTCGATGCGGGTTTGGACGATTCGTAGCTCACGGGTGATTTTATTCGCACTGAATACAAACATTAAGTATAGCCAGAATCGCAGGGGCCGTTTTGTATTCTTAGAACAACTTTGGATTGGCTAAAAGTCAAGATATTTGCACCAATGAAAATCAATTACATAGACTTCCTGGTGTTCAAAATGCTCCTGCGGTCGACACGCCCGAGACAACGTTCCTGGCAACCTAGTGTCGCAGCGAGAACACCTTCTCTGGACGACATCCTCTGCCTGGGACGACAAATCAACGCAAACGCGGCCATCACTCCTGGACGGTCTTTGTGCGTACAATGGGAGAAGCATCGAGCGACGAGTGGTGTGGAGATGACACTTTTCGACAAAATACGTAAAAATATTCGCGAAATTGCACCAGAGAATAGACCTCGAACATGCCCCGAATGTCCAACGGTACTTTGGCGTTGTTCAGTAGTCCGGGGTCGTCGCAGACGCCTCCCTTCGCCACGGCCGAGTCTTGAAGATGCGCTCTTCCATGAGATCGCGTACGGTTAGTGGCGGCACGTCCTTGGGCCGCGTGGGGTTCAAGCATGCTTGGGGCCTGGCCCGTAGAAAGTACGGCATCGACATGCGTCGGGTAGCTTCGTCTTCGACGACGGTGGCGGGAACGCGATGGAGCGGCGCTTGAATGAGGCCGTTCGTGATGTATCCTAGGGTTTCGCCGGCGAATACAGAAAAATGCAGCGTCGACGCATCGGACTCGACGTCTGTCCACAGCATGCGGTCCAGGTTCCACATTTGGAGGCCAGGAAGCGTGGCACAGGGCGACACCGTCACGAGACCCAAGTCGGCATGCTACACACATCACCATGATGGTGCATTTCTCGTGGAAGCAAGGATGCGTACCGAGCCACACGACATATGCAGGTCCATGCGAGCACTGGGGCTCTGGTCGACAGCTTCCTTCTTGTTGCGGTAGTTGTACACTCGGAGCACTGACGCGCCGTAGCGGCACGACTCATTCGTGGCCGTGACCTCCGCTTCCGTGGCCGGTGGCGGCGACACATCGTCGAGTAGGTCGTCAAACACAAAGCTCCTGTCCACATTGAGCACGGCGCAAATAGCCTCCATGCAGTCTCGGCCGATGCCGTCGAGAAATTTCAGCAGGGTCAACATATTGCTCGCAAACTCTGTCTGATTTTTCTCGTGGAAGTACGGGCGCGGCCACACCGTGCCAGCGCTGCGCAGGGGATGACGGAGCTGCAGGTACTCCCTATTTGGGTCGCAGCTGAACCCGACGTATCGACCTTTTGACGCCATGAGTGGCTTTAGCGGCGACGTCGTTGCCTTCTGTACATGGCATGGCGTGATTTCACCAACGGCTGCGGTGCCATACCGTTGGGGCTGGAGACCTCCAAAAGCACGCCAGTGACGCCAGCATCGACGACGGCGGCTTTGAAGCAACTTTGTCTTCGTCATCCTGGCTTGATTGCTCTGGTCCGCCGTCCAGTGCAGCAGGCTCAAGCGACTCGGTGTTGTCGACGCGTTCGCCCCACCTGTCAGCACGAGGAAGGGCGAGCTAGAAATCCATGCGTTGATGGGTACAGGCATGGAGATATGGAGCACACCTGCGCAGCAAGCCACGTGCGAACTTGCTCCCACGCATCGAGAGGTATCTGCGCTTGCTCCCGTGTGACTAAAACCCTGGCAAAACCAAACGTTTTCATTTTGGTCACGAACTCGACCTGCGCGCGTTGCCGCGCCAAGGAGGAGACGTCTTTGCTGCCGAGAGCTGCACCGTCGATTGCATGGAAAGGTGACGCCTCGTCGGTCGCAGGTGGGATCGGGGTGTTTAAATTGCTTAGAGGACGCACAACCAAGGCGTAGTCGAGGATGGGGAGCGGGGCGTCCGGCGTTGGAAGCTCTTGCAGGATTCGAAATGCGATCGTGTTGAGCAGCATTAATGGCATCGGGGGGCTGTACGCTTCGAGAACCGGCACGACAGCAAAAACGCTTTGGTCTTGCGGAATCAGGAATTGCTCCTTGAGCCACAGTTCCAAATGCAAGCACTGCGTGCCTTCGTCCACAGGCACGGCTTCCATCGTCAACGGAAGCTTCAACAACGAATCCACCATCTTGTCGCCGTAGAAAAACCGTATGCGAAAGTGCTCGCGGGCGGAAAGCGAACCCACCGCTTTCTTCTCTTCGCATGTCAATGCGGGTTGCGCCGCCGGCGCCGGTGCGGACTCGGTCATTGCTCGATGGATTTGTGCGACGCCGCGCGGGCAAGTGCGGCGGTGCCCGAGAATGTATGTTTTGTCTTATTTTAAAAGCAATCGAAACGGCAAAGACATGCAAACAATCGACGTGATTGGCCAATGCGAAAATATCTGAAATATTGTCATATTTTGCAAATTTGTACGAATATGTTTGAAGTTTACTGGTGTAGGATACGGATACAGCAATTTCAAAATCTGCACATGGGATTAGAGTTGCAAGAGTCATGGGTCATCCACCGCAGCAATCATCGACGTTCAAGCATGGGGGAGGCACCCAGAGCGCCGTCAACGCTACTGCTTCGCTCCATGAAACCCCAAAAGAGTTGGAGGGTTGTCATGCTATCGCCCCCATGTCCTTTCAGTGACATTGCGGCATGTGCAGAGTGATTCATGAAGTCCTGGAATTTGAGCACTACTAGTGTAAGTGGTTGTGCTCTGCAATGACGTCGACCTGGGGGCCCACAACCTGCCTGTCCGTGTGTTTCGCTTCCTCGAACTCCACGACATCCTGATGGAACCAATATGCGCCAACGTGTTGTACAGTTAACGACGTTCATATCCGAATCCGACGTGTCAAAATTTGCTCGGCATTCTCGTCTTGTGTACTGTGCACTGGTCTCGTACGAACTAAACGGCGTACGTGAACAAGTCGTTTGGTGGTTTCCTTGCGGGAAAGCCCCCGCCCATTGTACGTGCAAGCTACGCCAGCAGTGGTCCACCTCTCATGACGTCGGGCGGCATACCCAACATCGTTCTTGATTCACGATCCTGTGTCTGTATACCGACCCAACAACCCGGCGACTTTGCGTCGGCGGTCCCCGTCGTCGTCTTGTTCGGGCAGGAGAGCTCGCCTGCATACAAACGACCAGTCCATGGCCGGCAAGTGCAAAATGCCCTCCTCTTCCAAATGCAACATAATCGAAACAGTTTGCAATACTCCATCGAAAAGAAAACGGGGGCAACTTCATGCCCATACAATGCGCAAGTTGAATATCGCATGGAAAGTCACTCTTTTATACCTCGCCCCGTCGCATGCGTCATTCGGATATCGTGCGATTCAGTCAAATGTTTCGGGGTGCCAGGATTGGCGCGGTCGCCGGCGTCGTCACCACGGGCGGCAGCTTACCCAACATCGCATATGAATTCGGCAGGATTTCAGCCACATTTTTGACCAAGCGCGTTAACTGGTCAAGAAACCCACTGCGTGAGTGAAGCTCGACCGGTGCACCTGTGCGTGACGTTAACCGGATGCCCACGTGCCGTCCTTTCTACGGTAGTGACCAAACTCGCCCGGAAGGTTGCGGGATTCGTGCACAGTACTCCCATTTTCCAATCACCTCGATCGTCGACGCATCGACAGGAACATGTCGCCCGCGACGAACACCCACCAGACACAGGAGCTCGCGGACGAGTGCTTCTTCAATGGCTGTATCAACCCGATCGTGATCGGCGACAAGTGCGAGTTCCACCGCCGCCGTGGCAAGTGTTTGGTCGACGATTGCCGCAATCAAGTGTACGCGCGCCACCTGTGCGTGCGCCACGGCGGCAAGCGGCTGTGCCAGTTTCCAGGATGCAGCGCGAACGCGCGAAGCGGCACGCTGTGTTGTCGACACGGCCTCCGCAGTCGCAAGAAACAATGCGCGATCGACGGATGCACCAAAGTGGCCCACGCCCGTCAACGCTGTGTGCGCCACGGCGGCGGTCGCATGTGCAGAGTCGACGACTGCAACACCCATGCGCGGATTGGAGGGTACTGCTGCCGCCACTCGGCGCTGCAGTCGCCGCGAAAAGACGAACTAGCGCCGCATTCGATTGTCGTGGAAGGCGATACGTGGGATATCTCGCCTCGTCCGTTTGATGCATGGGAAGGGTATTGCATCTTGGACCCAGCGCTCGGTTGCTTTTCCGAAATGGACAACTTGCTCAATGCCGACGAACTCCTCACAGACGTGCAGTGCGTTTTCGAGACATAGCCGGCCATGGACGTGCCAATCCTTTGATTTATGCTGCTGTAATCTAGTTTCACTTGTGCCTTTCTTGACGTTTGTCATGGCGTTCCATCCACGTCGGTCTCCATCCGCACCGCCCCCAGACAAGCCGACCTTCCACACATTTCCCTCGTTCTTGCCGCCGCCGCCGCCTCGGAAGCCTTTGTATCCAGTCACGTCAGACGCGGCCTGTACTCGATCGCACGATGTTACAGTACTCACCGTTTCGCCTCACTCGGACGCCTAGGTTCCCCACAGTGTGTTATAACATGGTGCAGATCGCGAGGCTCTCGATTCGCCGTGGAGCGGTGCACGACCTACGCCTCCATGCACAGCCACCCCCGGCGCCGCAGCACCTTCGCCTCTTACAACGACGCCCCAACTTCAAACCAAGCCACCTCCGCGATAGCTACTAAAGCGTGTCAATGACAACGCAGCCAAGACGAGATCCATCAACATTCGACACACTGAAACCCCAATGACCATGCACAAAAGTACATGTTTTGTTTAAATGAAATGGATGTCATACACATAACCCAAACAAAATGTGCTTTTTCATTGCATGAACAGACTGCTCACATATCCGTCGGGCAACCACATTCCGGGAATTATCCGGATGCCTGTGGACAAATGGATTCGATTGGCTAGTTGCTTCGTCCGCCGACCAATCAAACGGAAGCATGCTCGACAACGACCGTTACCTTGTCCTGTCGATACCTGCGGTTCGCACTGTGGCGTTGCTGCATGGAACGCCTGCCGCGCAAAGCCCGCAGAGCACGCGGACCTCGCCAGGAGGTAGATGGGAAGGACCAAGAAGGTGAAGGAATGGCCGCGATGGGATGTATTCCAGGGAACTACACGTCGTCCTACTCCATGGAGAAGCCCGTCGCGTCCTGCGACAAGACAGCGATTAAATATGTGTGCATCTCGCTCTTGGATTCGTAGAGGGGCAAGTCGAGGCGGTTGAAGCACGTGTGGGCACGCGGGTACAAGTGCTCCATCGGGCAAAACGACAGCTTGAACGGTTGGACGCGGCCGTCGGTGCTGATGAGTGCCTACACTCAACATGGTCACGAATCGCGGCCGCCATCGACGTGCCACGAACCTTAAAGCCTTGGGCAGGCACTCGACTGCTGCCTGTGACAAACTGCAGTAACTTTGCGCGCTGTTCATTTGTAAACGTGTCCAAGACAGCCCAAAACCACGAAACGTTTTGCAGCTCCAATCGAGTCGGGGTGTTCTCGACCAAGTACGCGACTTGAGCATGGCGTTTCCAGTCGTCCACGTCGACGGTTGGCACGCCTTGGCAGTCGGCACGTCAGTGGGTCAGCCGCCGAGAAGACCAAATGTCGTACCGCACAGGAGCAGTTCCAACTCTTTGTAGTCGAACACTTTGAGCAGTTCTTCCGGGACGACCGAATAGATTGCCGCCAGGAACATGAGCAATTGATACGACACGCTGTCGAGGATGTGGTACTGAAAGAGCAAGTCGAGGTAGGCGGCCTTGTTGACCACCGTGACGGCGATGCTTTCGCCACCCGGCGCAAGCGGCACAGTTTCTGTCGTGATGGGCTTCCCATCTTGGCGTTGCGTTGTCCGTGTCTGCACGTACAACACGGGCGAGTGACGAAAAGGTGGCTGCAGGCCGTCAAGAGCACGAGCGACCGATTTCGTACCACTGAAAAATCCAACATGAGCGCGTCGACATCGTCCGGGTTGGAGCACTGCTTGAGCCAGACCAAACTCTGGTACAGCTCGTCGTCGAGGAATTGCAGGTCCGAGAACGAGATCGGGACGCCCAACACATGCTTGAGCAATGGCACAGTGAAGTGGACAGGCACGAGCTGCTCTTCAAACAGCGCCTTCCCGACGACCCGTCCGATCAAGGAAAAATACTACACGCGATGGTTCATGGCTTAGTTGGTCGATAAGAGCTCGGATGATCATCGCCACGAAATCAACGCCAAGCTCGTGGATGGCTTCGCTGTGGCCGTGCGATCCCCCAAGCTGCACACACCCGTCGCAAGCCACGGCACCAAGGCCATGGCTGCAGCATATCCATCCCGCCGCCACGCAAGAAATCGAGTCGGGTTCGTGGATCCCATCGTACCTCTAAATGACGCACTTGATGGGCCCCGGACATGGAATTCACCCACGCGCAGTGGTTGGAGCTTGCGGTTGAGACAAACAGCCCAAACGATGGGTCGAACAATTCGACAACGAGGAGCGAGATCCATTCCCGCAGCACGCCCCCAGCGTCCAGGGCGGGCTCGCCCATAAACGAAACACGCCATCGTTGCCGCAGTTGCTCGGGGCTGAGACGCATGACGTGGAGCAACGAGTCTTCAACAAGATGGTCTCGGCGCACCACTACAGCCATCAACCCCCCACACACTTGTCAATGCATGGCCCAACAAAACCGTCCATGCCATCGAACGAGCAATTTCTCGCCGCATCGTGAGCAATCACGACATCGCCATAACCCAGTTCGACAGGAAGCAGTACCAAATTCGACGTGCCCGAGCTCCCACGGCACCCACAACCGATGGATTTCCATCGAGTACCACTTGAGTTTGTTGAGAAATGGCATCTTGGACACTTCAACCACGAGCGCCGCCGACGCCAGTCCAAATCTTCGCGGCGCGAGCCGATGGGCACCCCCCACTTGATCTAAGAAGAAGTGTTATTGAGGCGGGCTAGCATGGTCGTGGATGGGACGTGATTGAATCTGCCAACCCACAGCGCCTCGGCGGACACTCTCCCGTACTACCTGATTCATTCAGCACGAGTCGGCCAGTCGAGTCGCGGACGCGAACATAGCCCACGGACATGCAGCTCGAGCCGCGGGAAGAGCACATGTCGGGCGATGGTGACGACGAGTCGTCGCCCAATATAGCTGTGTGGTTGTCTTGGGTGTGTGGACGCCCTGGTAAGCGAACCTAATCCGTCGTTGTCGCCGGTGTTGTGACGTGAACACCCGAATGCACGCACCCATCGCACTTCGCCCGTGGGCAGGGCTTCACGCCTCCAGAGATTGCGGCGGGCGGCGGCGAGCTGTACTTTGTTCAGCTGCTGCTCTTCAGATTTGGTTCGTCCGCGAAGTTTGGCCGACGCTTGGTCTGTCTTGGCGGCCGCCTGAAACAGTGGCCGCCATAAGCTTGGAATTTTAGACTTCTTCGCCTCTGAGGAACACGTCGTTACGTGGACTGGATGGATAGAAATGTACCGCGCGTGGTCTGGCAAAGGTCGCAATTGGTTTTGTCAGGGACATTCGAGAACGAGCAGACGCTGCACTTCCATAGCTGCTGCTCCATAAAGCTAGAACCGGACCGCAACGACGTCAACGAGTCCACATAGATTGAGGATATCAACTCGACGTGGTGCGAGATACCTGTCAGACAAGTTTTCGCGGAATACGTCGGCATCGGGCTCTTGGAACACGGTCAGGTCTCGGGAGGTGAGTAAGCTGTGGCGGTAAGGGACAAAGCACGACAAGTACAGGATCAGCCCGAGAAGGAGCGCAATCAACACACTCAAGATCAAGTACACGAGCATGGTGCGTTGGATGGCCCTCTCTTCTTGGCGCCGCGACTGGACGGCCTCGGTCGATCTATGCGGAACTGTCCCTGGCGCTCCGTCGATCGACTCACACCTGTTCCTTTTGTTGTGTAATGGCAGGCGTTTTAAACACGTTTGAAAATCCACACCTCATCTTGTGATCGCCCAATCAAATACTGCAATGGGATACAAAACGTTCCAAACGCGTCTCATACATCCATCGGACACGCTGGCGTGTATAGCGTGGGCGATGGACCTGTTGTGCAACGACGCCCATGTCGTCGCGCTGCATGCATCGTACCCGACGCGTCCACGTCTCTGGAGCGCGCTTCGCCCTGGTGTCTCCAAGCGAGGCTGTGAGACCGTGCGAAACATCGCCATGTGAACGTCGCGAAGGTCTTTCCTTATGGCTCCAACGTGTATTCGCAGCAGCTGTGATTTCTTCTGCTAATGTCCGTTGACCTGCGCCGTGCGCAATAGGAGACTTGACTCGAAACTTATCTCAGGAAGCACGAGCGGTTGTCTCGTCTTCAAAGCGCCGACATGTCTCGGCTGGCGATGGGGGAGTGCCAGTGTCGCATCCAAGATGAAAAAAACGACATCATGCGAGGAGAAAGCTATCGAATGCATTGATATCGACGTCTAACTGGGCTCGCTCTGGCCGACATATACGGCTCGAGCAATGTGCCTGTCCTCCATCGAATACAGCGGTCCCGTCACCGTTAGCTGCAGTCGCGCCATCGCGTCGGCCGTACAGGGGACACTAGGCAGTCCTATTCCCGTCGTCATCCTTCAAACGATTCACAGACCAAGTGCCTCACAAACCAACCACACATATTGCTTAAATAGAACTTTACACTTTACACCCAACTCCCGGCGTCGCCTGCGTCACGCGGGCGACGTATGTGCGACCCAAGTTCATCCCGTGGTTCGACCAGACGTCCCGGTTCGGGTAGACCGGATCCAGCGCCGACGACAGGGCGAGCCAAGCGCGCCGTTGAAATGTCACAATCGGTTCCTTCATGTTCATCGCGTCCAGCCAGTGCTGATACCCATAGTACGTTGACGTTGTCACGCATCCGTGGAGGCCAGGCTCGGCCGCGATCGCATTGACAACAAGCTGCCCGGTCCCGGTGTGCAAGACGTGGTCGTTGCCTTTCTCGATGTACTCTGGCACGAACGCCGACACGGACGGAATCCCGGCGGTCTCCCAACGAAGGATCGCGCGGACGACGGCCTGAACATCCGTCAAGTTTGTGTACCGTTTGTCCGTGATCTTGACCATTCCAAGTGGTAAGTGCGTGTGGAGATCCGACGACGTCATCATGGTCGTCATGTTGGCTTCGCTGATGCGCAGAAAGTAGTGGACGGCGTTCCCGATCGAGACCTTTCGCACCGTGTGGTTGCAGATCGAGATCAAGATATCCTTGCGCGTCGTCGTGTAGTGGCCAGCATCCTTGACCCCAAAGTCTGTGACAGCCAGCGTCCCGACCTCGCGCGCTTCCCACCACCCGTCCTGGAGGTTTGCGTCGCCGGCGGTCGTGTACACAAACACGCCTTTGGCGACGCGGTCCTGGAACGTCGCGTATATCGCGTTCGCCATGAAGAGCTCCCGGTCATCCTGGTGCGCAATGCCGTAGATATGCACGCGCTGGATCGTTTTGTTGGAGAATTCAACGGCTGGCGGCACGGTCGTGGCGTTGGTGACCACCGTCTTGGCCTTGATCGTCGGGACGATCCATCCCGCCATGATGGTCGCGTTCGACGTCATAGCTTTGTAATGCGTGCATTCTCGGGACCGATACGTCATCCCCATGCACGACAATGTGCGGTTGCACGACGCGAGGCAGTCCGCCTTGGACGTCGAGTCAGCCGACCCGATGTTTAGCGCCATCGACGCCGGTGGATCGTTCAGGAGGCACAGTTGACGTGGGTATATGTATGTGAAGAAGCTCTTGTTGAGTGCGCGCGCGATGGTCGAACACTCTTTCGGGGACCACACCTGCGCTCGGAACTGGACAGTTGTGTTGGACGCAGGGAAGAACAGCGAGTTATTCTTGGGCGACGAGACAACCACCGCGAGGAGCGGCGCCATGAGCTGGTATATCTTACCAAGATCTGCTTCCGGCAGCCAATGCGAGTTGTTGCGGTACCAAAACGTGAAGTTGGCGGTACCGTCGATGAGAAGGCCCGTGGCATTGTTCAACGGAAGCTCCTTCTTGTGGGGAAGCAGCAACACGACCATGCACGTTGCGACGCCTAGAGCCATCACGACCACCCAGACACGTTGCCGGCGGCTTTGTGTCGGCGCCGGTGTGCCCGGCGTCAACAGAGGCTTCGGGTCGTCCATCCACGTTGGCTGCGAGAAGACGTGTAATGCGTTGAGATCAACCTATGTTGTTCAGAACGCGCATCAGATTTTCGCCATCCGAAAATTCTTTTTAGCCAATCCGATCGCGAGAAACGTTTCACGTGGGTTTAAGACGGGTGCCGCTTGAAACAGGTCAAGTGACTCAAGTTAACGAGGACAGGCCATGTATTTACGAAATTTGCCTCGTTGAAGTTGATGATTTTGAGTCACTGGAACGAATCTGAACACTTCGCCCTCTCTCTTTCGGGTGCCTTACACAAGATGGAGCAATGGAATGTTGATGACATAGCTTCAATTATTGGTAGATAATCAGCCAATGAAATGGAATACATCAAGGTAGTTTTGCAAAAGACGTCCTCGACGCCCTTCCGCAATTCTTGCAGAGGCCATTGTTGCCGCTCGCTCGTGTGTGGAGTGTCGGAAATGGACGTGTCGTCCGTCGGTGGTCCATCGATGGACCCGAAACTTCTGCACAGTACGTCAAGGCACTCAATGATGTCGCCAGAGGCCAGGCGTTGTTGCGAGAGGACCGCAATATGGCATCCTCTGTCTCGGAATCGAACCACCCGGGCACCATACATGATGCGCAGTCTTCGACTGGTTCCCGCTCCCCAAGATCACGTATGGGATGGTGGCAATCCAACGAACATACCACCAGAACTGTACGAGTATGTACGAAGGAGGCAACTGTCGCTGTGCAATGGCCACCGCTCCTGACTGTATGATACCAGACTGCGCTGCGCATGATCGCCTGGCCGTCCCATCCCCGTGTGCGCTCTCTGAAGTACTAACGCCGTCGACGGCCTTGGAATATTCCAGAAGCCGCCTCCTCCACCACCAAACCGACAGACCCAGCGATATGTTTCCCTCGGTGGCACCCAATCCACTCGCATGGGATGGTCGCCATCGTGTCCAACCAATGCGCCACCCCCTGCGAAGCTTTCGATTCACGTCGTCCATGCAGTTCAGTGATGCGGTGGACTGCGCTCGACACAAAGTCATTCGTATCCAAGTGACACAGCGATATGATAAAGGGCTTGTCGGTTGCCCAGCCTTTGTGCTGGCACTTTGGAGAGTTCCTTCCTCTCTTTCATGAGATGCGTGAGGCTCCACGCATTGCACAAGACCCTCTGGTCGAGTCGAATGGGCCAAGAGCTCTCCCATGTGCCAGAGACTTCGCAACATCCGATCGCAGCCGGTTGATGACCTAGCAGCGCCACGTCTCCCGCGAGTGGAGCTAGAACGGACGTGTTTATGTCGGCGGTGGCGATGAGAGGCCATCCACGTTTTCAGTCGTCGCGGCGACCATGATGGCCATAGCATGCCAATTTGTTGGTACAATGTGAAGTGCATTGATTCTCAGCATGGTCCGGCCAACACCGGCCGCAGTGTTCGGCTTACGTACATGCGTCCGACATGACTGGAATGACGAAACCACAGGCGTTTGTTCTTGTCGGCATCGACGGCGTTTGCCATGTCGACTCGTTCAATCCTGTGCTGGTACACAGTTTCGAGCGTTCATGTGGCAAGCTGGGACCATCGGGGTTGAGCGGCCATGAAGTCTGTACGCGCCCTTCCAAACAACCCACGCAAATCTTGATCTGGCCCTGCGTATTCGTACTCGAACCCGTGGACGGTCAACGCCGCTCCTTGGATTGTTTCCGCTTCGATGATGGCAGCCAGGACTTGGTGCGTTTCGGACGTACATGCATGCGCCGGTTGGTTCAAGATCACAACGATGTGATGAGTCACACGAGCTAGCAATACGAGGCTTCCCGTACATGCAGCATATAGTGTATTGCGTTGGCAAATGAGCCACGTGCTATGCCTGCGCCAAGGCGGCGCACTTTTGTGCCGAAATCACCCGTGCCGTTACGTTAGCGAGGCTCATCGTCGTGGCGATGGTGATGTTTCTGGACTTGCAGTGAGGCGGTTTCCGTCGGTCTGTCGTCTACTTCATGATGCTCATGAGCGAGTTGCCTTTGACCCACCACGCTATTTGAACTATCGTGTATGCAAAGGTTGACGTAGTCGTGCCCCTAAAGCGACGCGAAGCGTCAGGGTACTGCTCGAGCTCGCCGTCTCGATCACGATGAGGACGATGGCAAGTACCACGACCATCGATGCGCACACCACCACCCACTCAGCTCGCATGTGGGCGGTGTGTTGTATTACGGAAGAGGTGGAATCGTAGTTAGTGCTGCGTGCTCGTTGGTCAAACAATCCCTATGATAAAGTGGTAGGCCATTCGAAAGAACTGCCGCGAGTTGGCCAGACACAAGCCAAAACAATGTGCAGCGCACGCACCTCGACACGATTCCGTTCGGATGCATTGAGAAGCTCTCTTGACTTTAGCCCGAGTGGTGGGGTTACGAGACTGGCTATGCTCCTGTCGCACTGCCAGTCTCCATGAAGACTGGGCGTTAGCCATCGTGACATGGAGGCAATATGTTGCACTGCGTCCTTCAACTACTCACAATGCTCTTCAAACTTATCTCCGCAGTGCCATGATGTCCGGCGGGATTGATGTTGAATGGCGCATCGACCATTTCCATGCCATGAGAATTGTCCTCGTTCAAGAGCGGAGCATCTCGAGCCTGTGGGGAGAATGAACGAAGGTCGTTTCATCCATTAGAGCCATTGCTCAAGCAATGGAAGCAAGCAAGACGACTCATGCGCCATTCACGCTGCCATACCATGGCGACGCGCCCCAGACGACGCCGTCGACCACTGCGTTGCAACAAAAACTGTCAATTTTAATACTCTTTGCCAGTGACGACAGAATTCATTTTTGAGGAATTTTCATTGCGCGGGACGAACGGCGATGTCGATCAGCGAAGCGTTGGAGTGCTGCGCGCTCGTGAGCATCCACGAGGAGATGGTTCGTCGTGAGCTCACGACGTGTATGTTGTCGAGGCGTGTTAGCTGACATGCTGCAGAATCCTAGCAAGCGCAGATCCATGGAAGACGCTCTTCGTGTTGTGGACGCATTCGGCGGTAACCCACGCCATGGATTCTTTGGACTCTTCGACGGACACGGAGGTAATTCATCGTCCATCTTGCTGATCGGTGCACGTGATGGTGTGAATCATTCCGTAGGGCGAGAGATTTCGGCGTATCTGCAGGAAAACTTGCACATAGCAGTAGAGAACGAACTTACTCATCTCGACAATGACAAGGACGGCTCCGTCGACGTTGAAACCTGCATTAAATGGTAGCACTCGCAAATATATCGTGCAAACATGCTGGGAATTCAACGATTTCATAGCGCGTTTGTTGTGGCGGACATGGACTGCTGTGAATTGCCTGAAGCCGAAAATGCTGGGTCGACTGCTGCGATTGCACTACTTCGCGACGAAGGCAACCACCGCATCCTGTATGCTGCTAACGTTGGGGACAGGTATATTTCGTTGAATCTAGCCAGCTCCTCATAATGCGTAGCCGGATAGTGCTGTGTCGCAATGGCACTGCTGAGCGCGTGACACAGGTACATCGTCTTCTCCGAGGAACCGATGTCCCGACTCCCACCGCTGCGCTAGGATCACAAGGCAGAGTTGCATTCTGAAGCCGTTCGCGTGTGCGATTCAGGCGGGTTTGTCATCCACAACAGGGTGTCTGGCGTTCTGGCGGTCTCAAGGTATGCGATTCCGTTGTCGTTGCTGCTTCGTCCTCAACTCGTTCCAGATCATTTGGTGACAGTTCGCTCAAGAAGTGGGTCATCGCACAACCATACACATCCAAGTCCATGTGAGCACTCCGCAATTGTGACGAGGCATTGACACGCTGAGCAGCTTAGACGGATCATGCGCCTTCTTTATCCTTGCATGTGACGGCGTGTGGGACGAACTCGAAGATCAAGCGGCCGTAGACCTGGTCTTGGCCTTGTCCGAACCCGACCGAGCACAAGCTGCCGAGGTCCTCGTCGGCGCCGCCCTGGAGGAAGGCAGCTGCGACAACATATCTGCCATCGTCGTGTTCTTGTAGACTCTGTCACCGCCACATTCACCATTGCAATGGTTTTCAACAAAACGTTTCTTTCATTTATTTGTGATTATTTCGAGATAATATTCGTGAAAATATCTCCAATTTCTTATACGGCTGTACCTTCAACATGGCAGCCGTTACGGATAGCGCTTGAAACTCCACGGGCCAATCGCTCCTGGCACATAAATCCACGGAATCGCATGCAGCTCGTCCAGACTACTGCTGCTGCCGCATGGATCTTGCTCAGTACAGCGCTTGTGGCAGCGGACACCCCGACGCATTGCTCCCTCGACGACCTGGACTCGTTGAAGCACTCTCTCCATGGCAACGACATGCAAAAGCTCTGCGAAACTGACATTGGCGACTCCTTGGACAGACTACTCGCTGGCAGCATTACGCAAGCGCAAGCCGATGCATTTTCAAACAGCACTGCTTGCAGATCGGAGTACGAGACGATCGTGACTAGTGTCGCGACAGCTGCCTCGACGTGCGTCGAACTCCGTACTTACCTGCCCCGTGTCACCTGGACCATGGTGACAAGTGTGGTTGAACTAGTCGCTTATCCCCGTGCTTCTGTCGACTGCGACCTCGACGCATTGCAATCCAAAGGCATGACCCTCTCCACGAGCTCCAACCTCCTTCCGTGTCTCGCCGCGACTGGCCTTGCCTCGACCTTCATGACGCACACAACGCCTGAGTCGGCGCAGTGGACACTCGCAGGACAGACACCATCATGCCGTGCGCTATTTAACGAAGCCAAGGCGCTGATAATGGCGCTTCCGCCCTGCAACCTCCGAGGAATCAACACCCACGCAGTAGACCACGTCGAAATAGACCAAGTCGTGCCTTGGTTGGTGCTGGCCACTGACATTCAATACACTCCAAACCTTTTTGAAACAGCCCGTGCGCTATGGGCAGCGACATCCAAGCAACACGAAGCCCTCCAAGCGCAAGTTGATGGGAGTTGGGTCATCGGGCTAGCGGCTCTCGCAGCACTCGTTCTCCACTTGAGGCGTGGCCAGACTGCAACCTCGTCAACGGGCCACCGACACGAGCGCACTGCCTTGCTGCACCGACGAAATGCACAGAGATAAACGTCTCGCCCTTGGCCGTACGCAACTTGGACAACATTATACATAACACCAGTGATAATTCCCGGGTTTGATGGTGCAGCTCTCCTCGACTGGTTCAACGTGTTGGGCCCGGTTCGCTCAACACTTGAGTGATTTCTCGACCACCGGCACAAGAAGCAAGAGAAACTATTCAGCGTTGTAGCCACCGCACCTTGGTTCACTTGCATGGCGTGGAGTCCACCAACAACAGCGCTCGCACGAGCTTTCGCTTGTGCAGGCACCCCCCCTACGCGAAGGTCGGTCGCGTTTTGTACGATGCGATGTTTGGGCGGCACGTCGCCGCGAGCATGGGGCTCGGCGGATGGATTATTCCAATCCAAACCCCGTGATCTCCATTTGAATGACCTGTGGGAACGACATCACATGCGCATGTCAGGGATGCCTCCGGTTCGGGCCAACGGAGACGTACCAAACTCAGATAGTTCTCGAGCTCGTCCAGATCGTTGTACAACGGAAGGTCGATCCTGATGTAACCAGGCGAACGTCAACGACTCACAGGGCCATGCGCATCCTACCTGTTGAAGCACGTGTGCGCTTTGGGGCACATTCCAGCGGGAGGCTGGCCGCGCTCGACGAGTTGAATCGAAAACGGGTAGATTTGGCCGCTTGAGCTCGTGAGCCCTTTGAATCCTTCGACGGGGAGCCGACTCGACCCGGTGGCAAACTGGAGGAGCCGACCTCGTTCGACTTCGTTGAACCCCGCCACCACGGCCCAGAACCACTCGACGACGGATTGTTGTTGCTTGTTCGACGTCGAACTTCGAAAGAACCGCACGATTGTGTTCTTGCGCCAGTCCTCGACCGAGATGTTGGGCACGCCACACATGAAAAACTCGAGCTCTTGGTAGTCAAACACCGACAGCATCGCACGGGGAATGACTTCGTACAGTCCAAGGAGCAGCTCCTTGAGTTGCGGCGCAATCGATCCGAGCATCTTGTACTCGAGCACAAGGCTCAGGTACTCGAGTTTGTTGGCGTCCGTGACGTCAATGTTGCGTCCGTTTGGTTTCAAGTCGACTTCTTCGCCGTGGCTTCCCATCTACGATCAAAAAGTCAAGGGAGCGCCGCCACCAGACGTGGATATCTCCACGACCCAACCTCGTCGTACCATGCTAAAGGTCAAACTGAGCGCGTCCATGCCGGCGTGGTCCCGCACATACACGCAGCTCTTGTACAAGTCTTGGTCGAGGTATTCCAAGTCTGAAAACGAAATCGGGACACCGAGGATGTGCTTGAGCAGCGGAAGACTCAAGTGCGCATCGAGCACGAGGCCTTCTTGGATACCACGGCCCAACAAGTGGCCTGCAAACCGAAAGTACTTCAAGTGTCGAGGTCCCATCGTGAGCTCGGACGCCGGGTTGATCCAGTAGCTTTGGTTCTCGGCATGAGTGGTCGAGAACAGCCCAAGCGTCGCTCCAAACACTTCGTGGCACACCAACAAGTACCTGTCGCAAACCGCCATGAGCGCGACCATCCCGTCTCATGTTGACGTGCTACCATTCGCGCAGGATCCCACCAGCATCCAACCCTTCTTCTCCTTCGAACGAAATGTGCAACGACTCGCGCGTTCGCCCCGTCACAATAGAATGCTGCAGCAACTTCACAGAGTCTTCAAAGATGAATTGCCGTCGCACGCCTGCACGACAGATTGAGCCAACTGCGTGAGCAGCACCGAAACACGGTGCCAGCACCCGCGCGACGGTCGAATGCCGACACAACCGAGCGCAACTTACGAATGGCATACACCGCATCGACACGAGGCACGACGAGTTGCTTGATGCGCTTCACAAACCACGTCTTCTTGGCCGTGAACGGAAGCGCCATGATGCCTTCCACGTCTACGTCGTCCAGGATGCCGCCGTTGCCTTCGTTCACCAAGTTCTCGTCGATATCTTCCAAATGATGTCGACCTGCGATTTCCACTCCATCAGGTTCGGTGCATGTCCATACAGCCCCACGCACTCAACAAACAACAAACATGGATCGCATACAGCACGACCCTCGCGTGACCAAACACAAACCCTCTCGGAATTGCCCCGATCAGCGAGTGCACTTGGCAGCGCTGAAACACGACGGTGGGGTGTACACCACAACAATCGTCTCGAATGGATCGTACCAGCCAGCGACGCGCGGCTCCACGACAAATCCCCTGTCTCTTTGTTCTGCTTGACAATGTACCCAAACGACTTGGCGTTTTTTCGATGTAACATCTCGTCCAGGGATTCCTTTGAGTGCAGCACACCCGTTGAAGACGAAGACGACATCGGCTTGTTGTCGTGGGCGGCCATAGCGACCAAGAACGTGTCGTCGCGGTTGCCGTGGGAGTTGACAAACGTCGCTGTGCGCACCCACACGTACTCGCCAGTCGGCAGTTGCGCGCGCTGCCACAGCCGACGCCGCTTGGCTTGTCGCTGCCGCTGCGTAAGTTGCATGTTATTTCGGCGATAAATGAGCGCGCGTTGACGGGCTTCTGGCAGCGACAACTGCTGCGAAGTCGAATGTGGATGTTGCCGACTCGACGACGTTGACGATGGACACGGATGACCGTCTTCGTCCACAAAACCATCCACGAATGAATGCAGCATGAACGATTTATTGAGCACGCTGCCAGTAAGCATGGTCGACGTCGCGTTCGACGGGTGCATCGGCATCACTACGTCGTCGTCACGTCAATATTTCCATGCAGAACGAAGTACCTTCTGTTGCGCCGCACAACGAGCAGATTGACTTGTCAGGGTGATTCATGTGCGCACACACGACGCACTGCCACTCTATCTTTCCCTCTTCCAGGAAACTGTCCTCGAGATCTTCGCGCAACATGACGTCACCACCCGATCCCATCATCGCGTTCGTTCCAAAGTCCAGGTTGCGGTACACATCGCCTTGCCCTCTTCGAGAGAGGTAGCGCCAAACTCCATACCCCAACATCAAGAGCGCCGCAATGGCCCCCATGATCACCGACAGGTATGCCGACGTTGCCTGCATTGCGCAGCGTCGGCAAGGATGCTGTCAATCGGCCAATGCAGAAGCCCACAGTGCGGTCGTGAGTTATAGATAATTCACCCCGATTGGACAAAACAGTTGTAATAATCCTATCTTGATTGGTCAAATATTGATTAAATTTTCCTATGACACGATTTAATTGGACGCTTGCGGTGGCCAGTGAAAGGTTCAGCTTGGCGGATTTTACGAGAATTTTTTGCAAACGGTGTGATTGCGAGGTGAATATCACGCATTTCTCCTCACGACTCATGCAAACAACTACTGTGGTTGCGTCGTACGATGGAGCAGACCCTCCCATTCTTGGTAGAAAGAAGAACTTGCGTACAAACTACATATCCTGGTGGTGGAGAAGTCAGTCTGTTCGTGGTAATTGGGCAAGTTTCCATGCATCAAGGCGATTTATCAATCGAAACATTTTTGTCATTGTCCACAAAAAAAAACACATCTAAAGATTGGCGCTAGTTTTTGACATTATTGAACAATTTTTTGCTAAGAAAGTCACACTTGCTGAAAGAGAGAAACCGCAAGCGTTTCGCAACTCTGGCGACGGTGACTGCCGCGGCGTCGATGCCATCGACGCGAACCACTGGACTGAATCGGCGCGGGTCGAACGAGAAGAACAGAGCCACGTCGGAGCCGGTAGAGGCGATCAAAACACCCTTTGAGAGTCCTGCAATGTCCAAGTTCCCCCACACTAACCCGTCGCCATCCCCCACGCCACCACCGCGCCAACTCATGGAGCTGTTCCCGCCACTGCCGACGTCCACTTACGTGCAATGTCTCCAGCGTCATGCGTACCTCGTAGAAAAACTATCCAAGCTAGGCAGCACTAGCAGCATCCTCGATCCCACGTACCGTCAAGTTCTTACTCTCACAGTGACCGAAATATTGGACGCCTCGTCCGCGACCCTTGAGATCGCGTCACTGACGTTGCCACCAACGTTGCGATTCATGCTGCACTTGCTGATTGCCCAAGAGCACCACGTGTGGCCAAAGGAAGTACCGTCACCAGAGCTAGTCGTGGGACTCTGCAACATCCACGTCTTGTTGTGGCGCGTCACCACCCGCATCGACGCAATCTTGGCTCAGGCATTGGCGAATGGAGCTGCAAAAGAAGCATGGCAGGATGCGACTCCTTTGGAAGACATCAACGCTAACCTGAAGCTGCGGCTGGCTCTCATCGCGGAGGAGTGGGCCAACGTTGTGTGCACGGTCTGTGCTTTGGATCAAAGGAGCTCGACGTGCCTGACTCCGCTCGTTGACATAGGTTGTGCGCAACATCTTTCAAGCAGTGGCTGCGGACACGGTTGCTACGGTACGTGGTTTCACGAGTCGCTCCAGCAATTTCTCTGCTCGTGGATGTGTCGCCGACTCTATTTGCGTCGGCGGGGTGTTGACACGCCAAGCGGTGGCGTAGGGAAGTGCTTCAAACAAGCACGAGGGCACGCCGTTTATGACCAAGTTGCTCCACGAGTTGCTGCGCCCGATGGGCAACTTTGTCTTGACTGTTGACGACGACAATGCAAAACGATACGTGCTGACACACCTGCTCGACAACATCATCGACACTACAATCGAGTGAGATCATGGCCGTGCATGGTTTCAACCTTCTCTGGCGCGCAAGACAGCTGCACAAACATGACGACCGTTGGTGTAGGGAACTCGTGTCGTCGGTGGGCCAAGTTACTGAGAGCGACCGGCGGCACCTCCAGGGCAATATCGACCAGCTCAAGGCGTGGATCGAAGCGACGTGCGACCGATTGTCGACTCTGCCGTCCGTCAAGCGCCTCGATCGGCTTAACCAGGAGTGGAGCATCCTCGGCGTCGACAATCGACGTCGGCGATCGAGCTTTGACGTCATCATGGACTCGCTCACGTCCGACTCCATCGCCCGATTCTATCGAGGCAAGCACCAGCAGTCCGTCGGGTCCATGCGGCACCTCAGCACAAAGACGACACGCCGACCGTCGTCGCACAGGTCGCAGATGCACTCGACAACGTAATCCACCCAGGGCTACATACATCCTCGTCCCCCATCGCCCACGACGTCTCTTGCGCCACATCCTGTCGATCTTTCTGCAGCCTAGAAGCGCCGTAGGACGGCGACAAGTTGACGAACTATGTGAAGCCCACACGTCTGGCAAACTTTCGCCCTTGGCGGAGACTGGTGACATCCCCGCGATCTAAAGTTTGTCTCCGCGTGGTGCCATCGCTTCTACGTGCTTTCAAGATGGGATCGTGTTAAGAGAATCGGCCGCTACGGTGGGTCCACTCAAACCCAACGTATTGACTGGCTTCGTTGTCGAGAACTTCGAGACCAAGAAATGTTCGGAGGGGATGTGATGCCCTCGCTGCGGCGTCCGCAACCAATGTCTTCAGGTACCTGGGACGCATCGTTGAACGAGACAGTGGAAAAAGACATGGAGATGCATATTCACGCTACGTACAAGTTGAGCATGCTTTGCCGATGTCGAACGAGAGCTGTGCTTCGGTTGTTTAGGACGATGCGGTCTGGGAAAGCTCGAGACGACGCAGACGCAACGACATGTCGTAGCTACGTATGCTCGAGTGTAAGAACGGTGAATGCGAACGAAGAGAATGCTTGTGCCTGCTCGTGGAGCGCAAAGAACTGCCGGTATCGCCGCAGAACCGTCGATGTCACGCCGTTTTTGGTGACAACGATGATATAGACCTACACACGTGCCTGCCATGAACATCACGGAGCCTACCATCGAGGATATGCCGCGTACAGTAAATGTATCGCGTCCACAGGTAGTCACAGCGTGGTCAACGACGTCGACGTCCATCGATTGCCCTGTCTCGGCGCGCTGCAACAGCTTGGATGCGCGGGAGACTTCACGACCACGACGGTCAAATTTGCTCTACAGCTCGAGGAGATGCGTGAGATGCGCAAGTCAGCACGTTGACAGGGCCTTCATCGCCGTACGGCTGGAGGACTCGCGAGGGGGCGGCACCATCCTGTGATGGCATCGAGGACCATTAGGGTTGCTGAGGATGCGGCCGGATCGTCGTTGTCTCAATGAGCTCGTCAAGTACCGAGCTACAACCTATTGGTGTGAGCTTCATACAAAACCCTTTACTAAAGTACATAATACTGTGAAACCTGAGTTTAGTGTATGATACAAGGTCATGGCAAAATATATGTAACGCCCATTCCATCGTGCGATACAGTGCTCTATAATAAAATTGAGATATCCCCGCCAAATCCACCATGGCTATGCAACGACCACGTCACGACTGCGCCGCTGTGCCCGCAAGTCCGCCACCCACAGTCGCAGGCCATCCGCAGACATGCTTACATCACCTCAAGTAGGTGGAACCACGGTATACGTATGAAGGCAAGCGCGATGTAAGCTTTCCCAGCGCTTGTGGCGCGGCTTTGCATGCAAACCCTTGCCACGCATGGCTATGGTTCAGCCCACCCTTGGATGTCGTCGCGGAGGTGCAACGGGTCGGTCGTGAATCCTAGTATGCGTAATCAAGTTCAGGCACCGGTGCAGCACACCTGCGGACGTCGCCAGGTTCGCCTCCGCCTCGGTTGTCAGTCCGTCTTCGATCACGCTTGATAGCGCTGTCAAGATCGATGCATCAACCATGCATAACTTTAACGTCGCGGCGGTAGAACTACCTTGAATTCTACAGCTATACACTGGAGATGGTTTAAACACGCAACAACGTGGTGCGTTCTTCACGGCGCATGGCAGCGGCGGTGTCCTGACGTTTCTTCATCGCGACCATCGCAGCCAGTACAACAAGGGCGAATCCGACGACGCCGCCAGCAATCAAGCCCGTCATGTTGTGAGAAGAAGGATGCACGTAGGCGACGGCGAACTTGACCGCTCCAGGCACGCTGGGCGCAGTCGTGGCGTTGCCAAGGATAGCTAGCCAGTCCAGGGTCACGTTCCAGTTGAGCTTGGTCAATACGTGGATGTCCGTGCCCTTTTCGTCAATGGCGCAGTGCGGCAGCGTTTCAACGGTCGCTTGGAGTTCCGAAAAGAGTTCGGCGCAGGTCGGGTTCGCGCGGAGTGCGTCGACGCGGGCGTGATCGGGCACAGTGAACAAGTCCTTGGACGAGGTTCCAATGCAGCTGAAAAACGTCGGCTTGGTCGCGAGGCCAGCAAAGGCAGCCGTGAGCTCGACCTTGGAGCATTTGGCACCGGTCACCTTGGGGTACGACTCGACATCCATCAACGCGACAACCATGGGCCACGTGATGTGGTGCGCAATCAAGTCGAGCTCGTAGCACGATTGGGTCGCGGCGGCCTTTTGAATGTCACCGTATAACCACTTGCACGACGTGGACTTGGCAAACTTGGCTTCGACTTCTTCCGACAGCACTTGGTGCTTGTCCAAAGTTTCACTCGACACACCGATGCTGAATGCACACAGACCATGGTACCAACTCGCCTTGGACGCGTCGTCCACGACCTTGTACTGGGCTTCCGTGCAGCGGTCCGTCGTCGACGGCGCCACCGTGGTGGTTGTGGCAGCAGCCACGGCCGCAAGAATCGCGCAGATCGACACCGACTTCATTCGTCAAAGGCTGTAGTGGGAAGGGTGCTTGGGTTGGGCAACGAAGGAAGGCGCGCGACGGCCGCCCTAACCCGTCTCGATCACGTTTAATCTTGGTGTACATATTATATACAAAAACCCAGAGCCGGTAAAACAAGTTTACCCGACTAAAACCTATGAAAACTCTGATAGGTGCAACAACTTCCAACCCAACAGGATATTTTCTCGGATCCTGCATCTATCTTTGTCCGGTATATTTTGTCGGGTTTGGACACTTTACAGTCATTTTTCATCACACATTGAATATCATGACCAAGGACGAATGGATTGAACGATACTAGTATGTCCGTTCAAATCGAGAGGATTTCATAGACTATCCAATGGCGCAGTATTCAGAGTCCAGTTTGGCCAATTCTGAGGGGTGCATTCATGTTGGCACGAAGATCATTTTGCACTTCATCTACTCAAATTTCTATGCTTTGATATCTGATTCATTATATAGCATTGGTTTATAGAGGTTTACGCTCAATATTTGTGCTACTAGTAAAGTGAAAAGTAAATCCATCACTACATACCTACTTCGAAGTATAAATTGAATAAGAATATTATACGTAGCGACTAATACCAGTCAATTTACCCCGGACAGAAGTTCAGGTCGAAGTGGGGTTGGTGGCGCTAAAGGACTAAAACGTAGATGTTTAAACGTGGGAACAGAATGGTTTCGCCAGATACTGGAAGAGCTGACGGCGGCTGCGTGCAACCAAGGACGGAACGAGATGGGACGTCGAGCGCTTGCGGGTGCGGGTGCGGAGCCACGGTAAGCGGGACCGTTGATGGACCAAGCGGAGAAAGCGCAACGTCTCAACCTTCGCCAGTCCACAGGACCACTCAATTCCACGGAAACGGGTCATGCCCCTGCCGTTTAGTTACGTTACGACTGCCTCCAAGTCGCAAACTTTTGGACGGCTCTCATGATCCAATTCACACGTTCATGTCGTGCGCACGGCTGCCTTTGAGCCAAGATTCAACCGCGAAGACATATGACACGATCTTGCTTGGCAATTCGAGCCCCGCTGCGACGCCACTCGCTACAGCCGATCTCCTCCCCCCGGCAATACAATTCAAAATGTCGCACTCGACCGCACACAAGTACCACGCAATGGACGAGCGCTTGTTTTGGCCTCACTCGTCCACTGCGGTCCTGACTTTTGCACACGCCTGGACGGACCAAGCACACCCAGACGACGACGGCGCGCGACGTCGGCTCCATGCCGTGCTCGGCGCGATATATCATCATGGCCCCATGCTTTGTTGAAGTTCGGATGGTTCGACAAACATTCCCGTCGTGTATCACGTCAAAATCGATGGGATTTGCAAACATTCTTCCATGCAACAAACATTCCGATGCCCCTGCGTGGTGGCTACAATGCCACAGGGGGGCGGCGCCTTGTCGGCCTCGACGCAATTCATTTTCACTTTAGCTCGGTCGTCGCCATGCGCTTCATTGCCCCATTCGTCGCCCTTGCCTCTGCCGCTCAGGTCAACTCGTCGACGGGAGTCGCCCGATGCACCAAAGCCGACTTGGAGGCCTTTCACGCAGCAGTCGTGGCGACACCTGCATATCCTGCATGTGTGGCGGACGTCGGCCTCACCGTGGACCAATTCAACTTTGAGCAAGTCGTTATGAACTCCACGGACGTGGATAAGTTGCTGGCGTCGGCCAACTGCGCCGCGCTGTATCACAACGCGCAATCCCTGTCGGCTCCGTGCTTGGAACTTCAACTATTCCACGGCATTTCGTGGGATATGGCCGCGGCCGTGCTCAAGGTTGCATCCTACCCCAAGGTCTCGGACAAGTGCAACAAGAATTCGCTCTTCGCGGCTTTTGCCCCCTTGATCTTTGACGAAAACGTGTACGCGTGCTTGCAAGATGCCGAGCTCCACGTCAACGACCTCAACGACGGCAAGCGGTTCCAGAAGAAGGATCAGCTGCCTACGATTGACCAAATCGAACGCGTCCGCAACTCGACGGCGTGCCGCGCCGTGTACGCCAAGGCCGAGGACGTGCTAGTCACGTTGCCTCACTGCCAGTTTGACAAGTCCAATGGCACGGACATCCACATCTTGGAAGCGTTGTCGTTCGATGTCTTAGTTGACTGGATTGAGTTTGGCATCCGCGTCAACAGCGAGGCCAAACACGGAAACTTTCCCCCGGTGGCGCTCAGCTTGGCGGCGCATTTTGGCTACGCCCCCGTCACTGACACATCCAACCACTCCGTCGCTGCAGTGCCGTTGTACATGGCGGTCGGCGCCTTCCTCGCTGTGGTTGCCATGTACGTTGCTCAGCAACGTAAGCAAGGGTATGAGCCCATTCGCGGCCCCGCGTCTTCGCACGTCGTTAAGTGAGGACAGCCCGGTAATCGTTTAATTGATTCGTCATCGTGTCGAGTTGCTCTCGCCATTCCAGCAACGCTTCTCCTCCTGTCATTGCCCACTAGATTCGGAACACAGGACGGAGCGTCGTTCAAGGGAGAGCAGGACATGGTCGGCGACCCTGCAAAGCACTCGCGTCACTGAAATGGGAACGACATGGTCACTGGGCATGTGCATGCTGCTGGCACCTACCAAACTTGACGGCAAGCTGGAAAGGTTAGCCAGTGACGTTCGAATAGTTTGGAGCCATGAAGCCGCACTTGCGCGCAATGGCGAGACTGGCCGAACGACGACCAAGCTATCCAGATGTCGTCACGGCCATGGCTTCCGCCACTTGAGACGTCCCGGAGGCACCCGCCCTATTTTCTCATCCTTCGGAATCGAGGTCTGGCACCACGTCAGCCTGGAAAACGTGGCAGCCCTTCGCAATGTGCAACGACGGGAGCGCAGCACCCTTTGGGGGGAGCAGAGTGTTCATGACGCAGGCGTAACTTCGTATGAGGCTGGCTCATGCACTCCGGCTGCAACCTGCGTCGACAGCGCGATCAGTCGTCATCAGCATGGCGGCGCACTTTGACTCTGCAGCTAAGGAGACCAGCCATTCGTACGAGAAGATTGCAATGTGCATGGTTGCCGGTGCACTCCTTGTCATCAGTGCTAGCTACGTTACTCAGCAGCGCCGACAAGGTTAGACGCCCTTTCGCGGCGCAGCAGCGATCGTCGTGTAATCCAACTCGACGCTGCTTCGATGCAGATTTTTTCAATGCGTCCCTCGAGGGTTGTCGCAAAAGCAGTGGAGTAGACTTGGCGACCTCCCACATGGCCACCTGTCGGCGCCATGGTCTGCACTAACGATCGCGATGACCCAGAGAGTGCTGACTACACCGCTTGATTTACAATACCAACGTCGCCACAGTAGGAAGCACCGTCGATTGCTCGGCCACTGTGATTCCTGTTGTTCCGGCGCGAAGTCTTTAACGAATCGGACCATAAAGTTATCGCGTGACGTCGAGGGCGAACTTTCCTATTGCATTTGAAACGACGGGGGGGGGCAACCTGGACCTGACTGTAAGCACAAGAATGCCCCGTGCAGCGTCCAGGGCCGTGGTCGGCTCGCTTCCCGACGTGCACCATGCCGCCGATTACGAGGGACCAAGTCCCGGTTATATCATCGATGGTTGAGGATTACATCGGACGCTGCCGCCGACGTGGTTCAATTCTTACCACTGACTTGTTAGAAGCTGTTGTGGCAGGTCACGAGGCATCTGGGGAGGCGATTGGGGTCGAAGGGAAATCGATCGTCCGTCGATCGCCACGAGCGAGTCGTTCGAGGGGTCGATGGCATGGCAATGCACCATGGACAGGAACGAGCGGGCGTGGCGTGGAATAGCTCTATGGATTTGGCTTCAATTCGATGGCTCGTACGTGATGCCAAACTCAGCGCAATCTCCCGAATCGAACGCACAGGTCGGTGTAAAGCACTCCAAGTCGCAGTAATGGTCGCTGACCATGGTGAGGCACACAGGACTCGGCAAGTTGGCGAGGATGAGGGATTCAAGCAGTGGGGCGTTCCATCCAAGACGACTTGGCGTGATTTTACCATCGCCTCGTGCAAAGCTTCGTCCAGGGGTTGAAAGGAGGGGATCGAGGCTCCGCTGAGATCGACGACCACACCATTCTCCGCCAACACCCACGGCACTTGGGTCACTGGATTGCCGCTGAGTCTCAAGAGGGTCAGAGCGCGTGGTGTCGTTGGGCCGTCTTCCGTCCATGGGAGGCTGGTTGTGCAAGTCCAGCTCTTGGAGATTGGGCAAGTCCAGCAGCGCGGGGGGGACCTCGCGCAAGCTCACGTTGACCAAATGGAGCTGCTTGACATGGATCCACGCCTGTATTGTGCTGTGGGGAATAGTGCGGAGGTCGCACTTTCGATAAAGATCACGACGAGGCTGGGCGAGATTGATTCGAATTGTGCTTGGGGCACAGATTGGAGCCGACTCTGTTGAATCATTACATGGTTCACGTTTGGTGGCAGCGAATCGTCCCACGATGTCATGTTTGTAAACACAATCATGACCTTGCTGAGGTTGCGGAACAGCGCCAACACCGCAGCAGGAAACCCACCAAGTCGCACCGGCTCACCTGCAACGATAGCATCTTGCTCCCGATCGTGGCGGTGGCGAGCAGCGGGAGGGGGTCAGTGATGCCAAAGGCCACACAGTTGGCATCGACATTGGCGCAGTGGCAGGACAGATCGAAGAGCGGCCGAGCGTTGGCACGGCAGTACTGCGGACACGGTGTGCGACTGACGATAGCCCGTGCCATCACAACAACCCCTGCGACCCCCCACGACAAAGTTCAAGATCAAGTTGACTTGTAAATGGATTCGCTTTTCGTGCGCCAGGTTGACGTGCTTGCCATGGGACGATTTTCCGTCGGCGTTTGTCGCCCGCAACCGAAGCGCTTGGAAAATGCGGACAGATCGGCTGCGGAAGAGGCTAGACATGCTTTTCACTGACATCGACGAGAGCGCCGCGGAAATGTGGTGGACGCTCTCGCTCACACGTCGAAGGGCGAGGTACGTGCCGACATGCAGCGCGAGCATGGTTGCGAGGTGAATCTTTGTCGATGGCACAAGCTGCGGCGTGAGAAGAATCGTTTGGGTGGACCACAAGTTATCATTGCCGAGGTTGGGGTTGAGCAGGATATACTCGACGAGCTGGATCGTGACCGCTGCAAACGGGTGGCCACACGACAGCGTTAAGCAAACGATCGCGTCCGCGAGATTCACGAGCGACGTCTTGGCTTGGGTGTTGCGGATGAGGAGGATGAGCGGCGACACAAAGCAGTACAAGATCACAAATGACGGTGTACGATATGACTTTGGACGGGTCCACCAGGTTCTGGAACATCGAGTACGCTTGATAGCATTGGCTCGCCGTCTCGACGGAATTGAACACTAGGATCAAGTGATCGAACCTCTTGTGTCGAATGCCTGTCGGATCCGCTCTCGGCGTGGCATTGACACAGCTCGGGCGGTAGGGCCCACTCGGCTCGCTGCCTTTGGACGCACACTTACGGTGGTCACGATTCGCGGAAGTGGAGCGACCCTGCGAGCGCGTAAAGCACGGACGCCACGTGCGGCTCGTACACTCGAATCGTCACTAAATCCGCCGCTGTCGCGGTTTGCAACACCGTCGTCAACGTGACCAAGTATAGCATCACCGTCGTGTGCATGACCACGACCGTCGCGATGAGGCACCTCGTTGCATGCTTCGTATGATGT